TTGTACATAATATGAATCGGTTTTCTCTTTTCGTGGGGCCTGGGCTCTGGGCTCTGGGCCCTGCCGTTTTCTTATCGTGCAAATGTTTCCCATTTATACATCATAAGCAGTTTTTCTTTCGCTTCGTTGCTGTGGGGGGGCGTTGGGGCGTTTTCTCTGTTGAAAGGAATGCGGGTGGAAAATATGTTTTTCCATGGCTGCTGAGGGTCTGCCTTAAACTGGTTACTGTTGAGATTTATATCTATTATTCGGCCATGAATAAAGTGCTTACACTTTGGATGAATCAATAATCCATCTTCCCCCCAGCGATCCCGGTGATTGCTTCGATAAACTTTGTCACCTCATTTCCATTCGTAGATTTCTTAGATATTTCGTAATATTTCCCCGTGCAACACACGGCGGGAGGGGGGGGCTGTTGCATCTGTGCAAACTTTGCAAATGGCTCGGCAAACGACAATTAATTCCGTCCTGCCACAATGTTGCATGGAAAGGGGGAGGGGGCAAGGAGAACAAATAAAAACTAAATGCTGAATGCTGAATCAGTCAGTCCATCAGCAGGAATAGTTCTGGACAGTTTTCAACACACACAGAAACGGGACCAAACCAAAGTCGAAACAGAAATGGAAATAGAAATGGAAATGGAAATGGAAAACTAAACAACAAAATGAAAGCACACACACACACACAGAGAGAGAGGGAGAGAGAGAGAGAGGAAGAGTACACAAAGCACCAGCGGATGGCAAATAGACAAACAAGAGATGGCATCTGCCAAATGGACAGGAATTTATAAATTAAAGCAAAACAATGGCCAAAGATTAACAACAGTTACTGCCACACACACACACACACACACACACACACACTCGAGCAGCGCATAAAACTCACATTTCAGCGACAATGGCGGCGGCCATACGGTTGTTCTGCAATAAAATGGCGGAGAATCGTGGGCCAAACGGCTGATGGCGACTCTGCCGGCGCTCTTTTGACGGCCACGCCTCCACGGAGAGCAAAAGCAAAGGCTAAAGCAAACACAAACAAGCGTCTCTCTCTGTGTGTGTGTGTGTCTGTGTGTGTGCGCGTCTCGCTTTGTTGCCATAACGGAAATGGACGCCATGTCGCTTGTTTGAGGAAATGTTCGTGTAGCTGTAACGCCAGTTGCAAAACGCTGCAAATATCTACAAATGTACACATGTCGGTGCCGTCCTCGCCTTCCCCTCCCCTTCCCCACCCCCTTCCGTCCACTTGCAACGGGCGGCTCCTCTTGGACGCCTCCTTGGGCTTTGTTGTTCCAAATACTCTATATGCTCTATTACTAATGGAATTTGAGAGGAATATCTGCTCATCTTGGTCGTTTTATGGGGAAAAGCACTCGAATTTTGGATTATTTATCGCGTGTTTCTTTTGGTAAATCAGGAGAGACCCTTGGGGTGGCCAGAATACCTATGGGAAAGGGTTTAGGGGATTGGTTTTACTTGGACTTAATGAAATATTACGCATGCTGTCACGCACCGAACCTAATCGCCCTTTACCTTTTTAATCTGTTCCCCTTTCCCCATTGTCATCCGATGAGTCCAAAGCTCAATTGTAGGCTCTCAATGGCTGAAAATGTGGCCACATCGACATCCATCCTCCTTCGGTGGAACACTGGACCAACACTTCCCATCGGCATTAACTAATACGCGGACGTCTGTGTGTGTGCGTGTGTGTGTGCGAGTACTTGTGGCACTCACTATTCATATGCAGGCCGTCACATTCATATGGACATAGACATTCACTCGGATGTGTGTGTGTGTGTGTGTGTCGGCTGCTGGTGCTGGGTTTTGTTTGTTTGTTTGTTTGTTTGCTGAATGTGGGGGGCGTGTTGCGTAAATGAATGATCCGAGTCGGGGCCAGGGCAGGAGAGCGGGAGAGCAGGACCCAGACTCGACTTGACTCAAGCCTGGCCACACGCCGCGCCGTGTGTGGCACGCATGGTTGCGGGTGCACTTGCCATGTGTCGAGTGAGTGTTTGCCGCCGACCCGCCTGAGTGCTGAGTGTACTCGCCATGCATGCGTATGAGTAACGAGAGGAGGTGGCTGGGGAGGGGGGAGTGGCAGTTCCACAACAGCCGTGCCAGCGGCAGCGGTTACGCGGCGGGTGTAGCAGCATCAAGAGCACTGCTGTTCAAGAGGTTGATGTATTACAAAATACACCTCACCCCCCGCACCTCCCCACCGGCCATCACCACCGCAGCAGCGCCTACAATTTACAATGCCAAGTGTCGGCTGCAGTCGGTCTCGCTCTCTCCCCCTCCCCCACCCGCTCCCCCTCTCTCTTGTGCGAGTGTGTGACGCAGAGAGAGCGTATGAAACTAATGTGTACATGAGAATATATTCACATACCCATTGGCTTATGCAGAGAAAAGGGGATATTGTGTTAGTGCCAGCCTCAACGACCAACGGCCATCGGAGAACCGCACTGGGGTACGATCGGGTCGGTTCGATCGCATGCTAAGCACAAAATTCAATTCAAGTCGACGCGGCGCTCAGCAAGAACGCAAACGCTCGAAGCGAAAAATTCCAGATCAAACATGTTCGAGCCGACCTGCCGCTATCGGGCTTGGGCTGGGGCTTGCGCTTGGGTTCGGACTCGGGCTCGGGCTTGGGCGCGGGTTCGGCCTCGGGCTCGGGCTTGGGCGCGGGTTCGGGCTTGCGCTCGGGTTCGGGCTTGCGCTTGGGCTTGGGTTCAGGCTCGGGTTGTGTGCAGTTTGTCGCCTGGCTTTGGCTTGCGATCTTACGAGCTTCGTGTATGAGAGTCAACAAATGCTAGACGACCGTCCAGGGAAGGGCAACTTCGGGTTTGGCTCACAGGCAAATTGATTGTGCGTGAAAGCAAATAACTGTAATGGAGTGGAGTGTGCGATGGCAGTGATAACCAAATGGATTTTATGGGCGGATCTAGTTGATACCCCAGATATGCATCTGCATGAATGGGAAGCACATAGAATATTTATAGAATATTACCTGCCCATCCACGGAGCGAGTTGTTTGCCAGAGGTGCCCTTTGCCCGATTGCAGGGTATTCCGTGGTTGGCAGGTGACTCTTTGCTGGTTTAATAATGCCAACATGTGCCCACGTGGCCCTGTGCTGTTGTCTTTCTTTTTATTATATTAATAAACATTTAATTGGCATATTCTATGGGGCATATGACGGGGGCTTTCCCCCCTTTTCACTCGTTCCGTTGCCTGTCCTTCAGCAGGCAGCCCATAGTGTCCCACCTCGGCCCCGCTACCCCCCCGATCTCTATTGAATTGCCGTAAGTGGCCATTTATTTACATATTTGCGTTGAGTGGCACACTTCAAAGTTGCCTCGTTTGTCGTTGCCGTTGCTGCTGCTGTTGTCGCTGCTTTATGGTTATTGTTTTGCCATAGACCCTGCTGCTGCTGCTGCTGGCAGTGGCAGTGCCACTTTTTTGTTTTTTGTTTTGATATTGTTACTGGGAACTTTGCGTCATTTCATGCAATTTACGAGTTTATTGAACAGCCAGAGACTGCCAGAAGGGGCCTCCTCCTCCTGCTCCTCCTCCATTCAGGAGTGTGTGTGTGTGTGTGTGTCTGTTGTGCCACTTTAATTGCCACTTCTCGGCGCATGTCATCAGCTGTTTGGAGTCGTTTGCTGCTGCTGTTAATGTTAATTGCTCAAAGCATTCCATGCCCATTCTAAATGCAGGCCAATAGTCCCTCGCATCCCAGTAGATCCCAGTATATTGAAGCAGTCATTGCCTCCTTGCCGCTATAATTGCAACACGATTTGCATAAACATTTGGCGGCAACGCCTCTCCACGGCCGCCTCTCCACAGCAGCCCGAAAGCGAAGTCCTTTAATGGGGCGGCATGTGGCTAATTAACGCAAATGGGAAAATGGATGGGGCTCCGTGTGTCCGTGTGTCCCTGTGTCCGTGTGTCCCTGTGTCCCGTGCCGTGCCTTGCCGTGCTGTTTGCTAGTTTGTTGCCATCCCACGCGTCTGTTTGCCCACGATAACAGCTTCGTTTTACGAGCACTCTCGCATCCACAGTGAATGCATTCCATGGCAGGATTACAGGATTGCAGGATTTGTAGGAGTGGGGGCGGGGGCGGTTTGCGGGGCATACAGTGCGTATGGTTAACTTGATTACCGCCAATTAGCTGGCGGAAGTCTCCCGAAAAGCTGCGAATTAGCGCATTTCAGTGGCGAATAATCTTTTAGTCGGTTTATAGCACGGCCTGAATTATGGACTCTCTCGTCTAAGCCCCTGGATGCTGGCATTTGCCTAATTTATGCATTGCCTAATGGATCTGTGCGATGAGAAATGCATGAATCATAAGTGGGCCAGGCACGGGAAAGGCTTAGAGCCGTCTCTGGCAGTGTAGAAAAGACGGAAGGAAGGCGGAAGGGAGTATCCCTAATATTGAGACAAAACACCTAGGAATGGGGAAAACCAGGGTAATCTTTGCCTAAACTGCCTAAAAAGTACTCCCGATTATACTTTTACCACGCTGTGACTTGTTTTGAAATCTTTGCCCCCATTTGTTGCCGAGTTTCTGGGCAAACTACCATTCAATGAGTTTAAACTCTATTTTACATCCATCAATATATCATAACATACGATTATAGTCAAAGTATAAGTGGGTATATTACAAAAGTCTCTGATCTCTAGCCCATGGAGGGTGTCTCCAGCGAACCCCCAGTGGCCGGTCTTTTCTCCATCCGGCAGTTCCGCAATCGAGAAGAAAATTCGACAATAACGACGGGCTTGGCATTAAGAAATCCTTAGAAAATAACTTTCTTCTTTCTCTCGTGGAGCGTTTTCCGTTACTGATTCTGATTGTTCCGTTCTGGAAGTTTGTGAAGCCCTTTCTTGGGTGCCACCCGCACAAAAGTTCTTAATCAAAATAACTTAATGATTATATTTGCTTGCAATTGCTCATTCCTTTCTACTTTCTACTTTCTACAACTTTCTCTCTCTCTCTCTCGTTGCAGGACCCACTCCACTCCACTGCACGCCAAACCAATCCGACGGCCAACGCCAACGCCAACGCCAATTTTAACTACTGTTCGGGGCGCCACCAGCGACTAGCGAAGGATAATTGAATCATAAAGGAATCGGGAGAGCCGGGGCGCCAAAAAAGCGGAGAGGAGCTGCCCGAAAGTGTGCGTGCCCCGAAAGTTCGGCAGCGGGAAATGCCAACAAAGCCGAGCAAATAATTGCTGTACCCAGATCGAGCACGGGCCAACATTACGTACACGGACGGAGAGTGGCAAGCGGAGACTGGCAAGCGGAGAGCGGCAAGCGGAGAGCGAAGGGAGAGAAGCTTGCACAGAGGCCGGCTGCAGGGAAATGAGTGGCGTCCTGCTTTAATTAAAGCCGAGCGCGGAGGAGTGCGCGGGACGTGCACGGTGCACGGAGCACGGAGCACACGGAACACACGGAGTGGAGGCAATTGAAACGCAATGTGGCTGATGCCGTGGACCGTGGACAACGCAACAAAGTGGACGAAATTGCTTTTGGAAGAGCGCGAACGCTTGCAGAACCGCAGACAGGCAGCCGATACAGCGATAGAGCGATAGAGAGAGAGCTAGACATTAATTCTGATTAAAATTTATATATTTTTTGCCGAGACCCCGAGCAACCCGTACAACGAGCCCCCCATACAAGCCCCGACCAACGACTGAGCAACAAAAACAAGCAGAAACCAAAAGGAGGAAAGCAGGAAAGCAGGAAGCAAGCTTAAAGTTTTGCATTCCTGTTGCAGGCATCTTGTGGCAGGGAATTCGGTTTTTGCATGCCGCAAGCGTTGCAGCAGCAGCAGCCACACATGAACACGCCGCTCTGACGAGAGCCAGCAAGGAGGACGACAAACAGCATAATTTCGTCAACTGCAGCCAAGCGGTCGTCTGTCAGCAGCAGTGGCAGTGGCATCCACATCCACATCCACAACAGCTGCAAAACATAGCCCACCACCACCTTCATCGGAGGCCCCACATCACCACCAGGAAGAGGAGGAGCAGCAAAGGCATTGTCACATCCAGCATTCAGCATTCTTTGTCATATCCCCCATTCAGGAGAAGCCCAGCACGGGAGCAGCAGCGTAGGAGGAGGCAGAGACCACCCCAAAGCCCGCACCAATGAATCTGCTCTGCTGCTGCTGTTGCAGTAACATGGCACCCAACCAGCGCGTCACACGCAAATGGGAACTGTTTGCCGGACGCAATAAATTCTACTGCGATGGATTGCTAATGTCCGCACCGCACACGGGCGTCTTCTACTTGACGTGCATCCTGATAACCGGCACCAGTGCGCTCTTCTTTGCGTTCGAGTGAGTATTCCACGACCAACGATTCGATGGTTTGCCATTTGTCCACGTCCAGGTCCTGCCCCCTGCGGCCTCTTCTGTCTGTCTGTCTGTCTCTCTGTCATTCCGTTTCGTGGCACGAGTAGTTGCATTGTTTGCAAAATGTATACGTTGCTAATTAAGCATTGCGACCAGCACACAACCCGCCCCCGTAACCCTTCCTGCCGCCACCGAGCCCCGGATCATGCTTGATTTCCAATTACGCCCACATTAATGGTCTCTGACTTTGGACTCTTGGACTCTAGCTGTGGCTCTGGCTGTGGCTGTGGCTGCTCTCTCTCGTCGTATCCAATGGCATGTAATTATTGCTGTGCAACGTGGCGTATGCGTTATGCTTGGCCTGGCAAAGGACGATGTCAGCATTCCTCCTACTGCCACTGCTGGATACTTTTTCAGTCTTTCTCTCGCTGTTTCCGTCTACGGAGCATCTGTTGAATTACGGGCTTCGTCAAGGACCGCCGAGGGCCACAAATAGTTTCAGCTTTTGATTTGTCAATCTGCCTCCTGGTTTGGTGGCATTCAAATGTGTTGCCCACAGAAGTGTGTCCTCCTCTCCACGGAGAGCAGCAGCTTGGATTTCTGCTTTCATTTGAGCTTCAGTCATGCGGCCCACATTTCTTGGGCTCTGTCCTGGCATTTGATGTGTAAATTACTTCGATTGAATTGTGCCACAGGATCTCCGTTTGGGTTTGGTTTTTTCCGCAAATTCGAGGCAGGAATTGAAATTTGTTTGAGTTTTGATAGCAGCATTCACGTGAATCTTTGAGGATATTTCCAGCAGCGTCTCCAGCGTCTTCCTCTGCTGCTGGAGGTGCGATTCCTGTGAGGCACTGAGGCCTCAATGGCTCTCTCTTTAAAAAGGGATCTCTATGGCCACAGGGGTCCACGAAAATCTCTTATCGATGACACGATTGGTTGAACGGTAGTCGAACGATAGGCAAAAATAATCGGATATGCGACACAGACAGCAGCCAATCGAATCCCCAGGACAGAGGAGTCACCCTGGGATTAGCTTAAACTAAAGTTGGGGCAAGGTGCTTCTGCTGCCGCTGCCGCACGTGGCTCCCATAATCATACATAATAATAATGCCCGATCTACGGGTTTGTACAGAATAAATATACGGCGATTACGTGCGAGAGGCGTGTGGGGCACGTGTCGGGGGGGTTACGCCCACAAACGTTTAGCTGCGATTCAATTTAGTTGCAATGTTGCAGTGTCCGGGTGCGTTTCCGGGTTTTTGGCCAAATAACGCATACGTCACGTAGTACAAATAGCAATAGAAAAGGATGTTAAAGCGGCTGCATGCTGCACGGTGCACGGTGCACGGTGCACTGCCGACAGCGCGATTAGACCAAATTATGCTCAACATTTTCTGCACGAAATCATCTCCGAGCACTGAAAGGAGGCGCCGCATGTGAGGGGCGCGCGGGAGGCGTGGGTGTGCGGCTGCACCGCAAAGAAAGAGATTGGAATCCCCCGGCCTAGAACCGTCTCTCCTCCCTACCTCCCTCCCTCCCTGCAATCCAAAATTTATTCGCTGCTGAAAAGCTGCCCCCGCACCATGCCGCACCGCGATTTTATTTCCATTGCTTGCTTTGCATTAGCGCACAGTCGAGTGGAAGCGGAGGCAAGCAGCCCAGGAACCGGCAACTGGATGGAGCATGGATGGGCATTACAATATCTGCAATGCCTTTGAGTGCTCGCATAGTTATTCCTGCAGATATTCCCGCGAATCCACATAACATATTCGCCCCCACATCCGCAGTAGTGGCAGCATCTCGTCCTCGTCCTCGTCCCCATCCTCGTGGACCTGCAGACTCTGGCAGCCCGGGGATGTGGGCAAACTGAAATTGTGTTTCGCCCGACGCGCTCGCAATGCAAATCGCTAAAAGGTAGCACAATGCAATCGTGCCTCCTGCCTCCTACCGTGCCTGCCACCCATACCCCTCTTTAGGGCATTGTCAGCGATTTGCCAGCTGAATGCGAGGAAACCATTTTCTGAATGCATTCCCATTTAGGCGAGCTTTGTGGCAGGGGGAATTGCGTTGTCATGACAAATGTATTTAACTATTTTCGGATGGTTCTACTGTCGCTCTGTCTCCGGACTGCATTGAGTGAGTGTCCCCGAAATGATGCCACTGGCCCGTCCCCAGCCCCAGCCCCATTCCCATCCCCATCCCCGTCCCCACCGATGCCGATTACATTCGGAGCGTAGCTCTGGGACTTGTCACACATAATTGTCACTGTGCTGTCCGGGCGAGGGGGGGGAGCGGGGACACGAGTGAAAGCGGCGACTTTTGCTATTCGCAAATCGTTGGCACGCACTGGGTATTAGGGAACAATACGATGCGTGGGGCAGGGCGAGCTTCCTCGGGGAGACACGTGCCCCTCTCGGCCCCCTATTTCGGCACATATTTGCACGGGCTACGGGATTTGGGGCATTGCCAAAACACCGGGGACTTTTTCTATGCATCTCTGAGCACTGCTCTGCCCTTTGGGGCAGTCTCTTCATTCAGTCGGGACCCAGGAGCCGAGCCTGGGGAGGCAATTCAATGGACATCCTTAATTCAATTTGTTCTTAATTTCTTTCGAATCCTTGCTGGGATGTAAGCCATTCGGCTTTTCAGCCTTTAAATGTTTGCTTCCGAGTGGTTTCCTTTGGATACAAATACGAACGGTAGCGAAATAGGATGTATGTACGGGCAGGCCTAAGCCAAACCCGTGACGAGGCAGTTCAAGGGTTAGATCGAGTCAGGATGATGCTCGTGCCCGTAGCACGAAGCCTCGAAGGTTAGCGAAGACTGTGACAACTAAGCCCCAATGAGGGCCAGAGATCGAGAGAGCTAGAGCGCGAGAGGGACTTGGACCATGACCAACCATATACAAGTTGGTCCACTCCCGCAGCGCGCTTTTTTTTCGGGTCTTATTTTGTGCAATACCACAGCAAACTTCGTTCTTCTCTGTCTCTCTCGTCAAACAAGACGTCAAAGCGGACTCTGAAGTGCGGAGCGTGGAATAAGACCCGAAAGAGAGCCAGCGGACCGCCGTGTATAGTTCCGTCAGGGCTTGGACGCAGTGTTGCAGCATCTGTGAGCATGTTTCGGTAGAGAACCACTTGATTCCAGATTTAATAGCTAATATCGGACGGGAACCGATGTTTATTTGCCGACCGAGTCCTCATTGCCTAATCATGAGCACGATCTGTATGTAACCGTTCTTTTGTTTCGTTGCAGCTGCCCGTTCCTGGCGGAGCGCATCAACCCAGTCATTCCCATTGTGGGCGCCGTCCTCTACTTCTTCACGATGAGCTCCCTGCTGCGCACAACCTTCACGGACCCGGGCGTCATACCGCGTGCCTCCAACGACGAGGCGGCCTATATTGAAAAGCAAATTGGTACGTACTGCTCCCGCAGTGGCGGGCCCTGCCACAGTCCGTCCGAAAGGAAATGTGGCCAAGGTCGTCGGCTGTGCCTGTTGCCGTTGCCTGAATACCGCGGCCAGAATCCTGGCCATGTCCCCTCAGCCCAAAAGCCCCGCGCCCCAACCAGCACACAGTCGCAGTCGCAGTCATCACATATATGCAGTATATATATATTTGTTTTCACTTCATTAAGTTTGTGTGTGCTGGGTGGAGGGTGCTGGGGGCTGGGCGGGGGCATGGGTGAAATGTTTGAGGAGTGGCCTGCGAATCTGCGTGTGTGTGTGTGTGTGTTTGTTTGTGTGTTCTGTGCGGCAAGGGGGCACATGAAAAGTAATGAGCGTGCCACGACATAGAATGGAGGAAAAATAAAGTCCACATGAAAATCATCATCAAAGCGAGCGCTGGCGCTGTCGCTGTCGCTGGCGCTGCGTTTCCCCCCTGCACTAATGAGTCGCTGTTGTTGTTGCCTTTATATAAAATATTTAAAATGAGAAAACTTTTGCTCTCTCTCTCTCCCCTCCTCCCTTTCTCTCCTCCTTTCTTGCATGTCAACAACACGCTGCTGCGCGCGGTCCTCCGGCTGTCGATGCTGATGCTGCACTTCCGCTACGCCATTGCACGTCCCTGCCGCACATCCGGTTCCGGTTCGGGCTGCTCTGCTCGCTACAGAGGTGCCAAACTCGCTGAACAGCCCCACGTACCGCCCGCCGCCGCGCACCAAGGAGGTGCTCGTCAAGGGCCAGACGGTCAAGCTGAAGTACTGCTTCACCTGCAAGATCTTCCGGCCACCGCGGGCCTCCCACTGCAGCCTGTGCGACAACTGTGTGGACCGCTTCGATCACCACTGTCCCTGGGTAAGTCAAGGACCTCGTTAGCCCCCCTAGCCCGTAGCCTGGCTTTTAATCACGGGCCGGCAGTGTCCCCAGTGCCCCGACTGCCTGACATTGAGCCTGGGCCCTCGCCTAATGCGGGGCTGCTGTGCGCATTCATTGGACGCGCAAATGTGGGACACAAAAACAGCCAATGCCTCCACCCTGCCTCCTCTGTCCGCCCACAGAGCACTGTGCCACTGCGGGTCTGACTTTAACCCAATTCCACAGCGCCAACCGCTGAGGTTGCTAATATTTTAGCAAAAATAATTTCAGCAGAGCGCGCGCGTCACGTCTCTCGCCCTTTCCATCTCTCGGATAAAAAGCGCACCCGGCCACAGGGCCCCTCCGCCCCGTAGTTTTTGTCGCAGGCAGAGCAAAGCGGATACCCGCAAGCGCCTCAATGATGCAACAAGATGTGGCTGGGCGCGGACCAAGCAAACAGACCACAATCTCGCACAGCCACCACAGCCCAAGTAGCCGCACAGCACACTCGTATTTGTGGAGCTGTTTGCATGGCTGGCAGATGTGTGCCCGTGTGGGGCACGCAGATACCCTAAACGGAGTGGCAGCCATGGGATTTCCACTACATTCAGCGGAATTGCGGGTAGATTCGTCGCTCAGTCCTCGAGCGAGCTTTGAGCCATGTTTACGATAATTTAGCGAACACTTGGCGATTTGTATCGTTTCCCAGTCCTTGTACGATAGTTTACTGTCGTTTTCTGCACAGATCTGAACATAAGGATGGATAGAAGGGTGTGCAGATCTCCGACCAGCGCGAAACAGGGTCCGTGCCGTCCTTTTTCCGCACCCCTTTCTCATTTGCCGGCTGAGGCGTGCTTCAAACCCCCCAGAGGAGGACCCTATCATACCGCAGTGGCTGCTGATGCTGCCAGCTTGAAGGTCGACTACTGCCTTTTGGGGCTTTGGCAGAAGGCGTTTTTGGGCGGCTCAAAGCGGGCGTTGGAGGGGGCTGTGGGGGCTGTGGGGGCTGTGGGGGCGCCTCCTGAAATGAAGGCATTTCTCTGGCGCTGGCAACAAATTACGAAATGCTGCGGCGCGCAGCTCTCGTGAAAATGCAATTAACCTTATTATGCCAAGGGTCTTCATTCTGTTTGTACTTTCGGTCTTAATGTCTCTCTCCCCCCCCCCTCTCTACCCCCTCTCTGCCCCTCGTTGCAGGTGGGAAACTGCGTGGGAAAGCGGAACTATCGGTTCTTTTATTTGTTTCTAGTCTCATTGGCATTTTTAGCTGTATTTATATTCTCGTGCTCTGTGACGCATTTAGTTTTATGTGAGTATAGAGTGCAAAGTGCTCCACAGATCGAAAAAGAGTAACCATTCTCCTCCCAACCCCCCAACAGTGATGAAAACCGAGCAAGAGGTCTTCGAAGTAATAAAGAAGGCGCCCTTCACTGTGATTGTTGTGTTCATTTGCTTCTTTTCGATATGGTCCGTCATCGGACTGGCCGGATTCCACACCTATCTGACGACGAGCGACCAGACGACCAATGAGGATGTGAGTATGCCCTGAGGCCGTCAGGGATGTTCTCCAGCACCGCTAAGCAATCTCTTCCCGCAGCTCAAGGGATCCTTCTCATCGAAGGGCGGGCCGCGCACCCAGAACCCCTACTCGCGGGGCAACATCTGCCTCAATTGTTGCCACATCCTATGCGGACCCATGACGCCCTCGATGATTGACAGGTGAGTACCGCATGGCACATGCCACAAGCCACATGCCACACACACACCCGGAGAGAGAGACAGTCGTTTTGCAATCCCCACTAATCGTTTTTCGACAGGCGCGGCTTTGCCACCGACGAGTACATCCAGCAGATGCAGCATCAGTCCAGTCCCCGGCACGCCCTCAGCGATGTGCTGAGCGCCTCCCATATGGTCACCACCGCGCAGCCCATGCTGGGCGGCCCGGGCGGCGGCATTGGGGGGGCGGGCGGCGGCATCAGCATAGGGGGGGCGGAGCTGAAGCCCCGCTTCTACGACGAGGTAAGCGACCGAATCAATCCACTCCACTCCGATCCGAACCGAGCACCCTCTCACCGAACAATATCTAAATGTCTGGGCACTCTGCTTGCTTCAAAAACCTTATTAAATCTCTCGTACCGATGATCTTTGTGCACAACATTTTGACGATCTGATCTGTATTTTTCTACTCCTTTTTTTTTTTGTGTTCCATGCAATGTTTCTTTTTGGTAACAACAACAACAACAACTACCACCACCACCACCACAACCACAACCACCACCAAAACTACAACAACATCAATCAAATCACACTGAAACAACAACAACAACAACTACCACCACTGACCACCAACCAAATCCAGTCGAATCCCTCCTCCTCAACAATGGACGGATCAGGGGCCGCCGCATCAGCCGCCCTCAACGGCCACGGCCTCGGCCATGGACATGGACACGGACATGGCCATGGCCATGGCAATGGCAACGGGAACGGCAACGGGAACGGCTTCGAACACCCGCCACCCAGCTACGACCTGGTCCAGAACGGTAAGTCCCGCAAGCAGCAGCACCAGAGGTGCTCACTGCAAACACTGCTGCCCGCCAGCGCCCAGCACCAGTTCAAAGCCAACAAGCACAAACAACTCAAACACCACCCACAACAACCAAAACCACATCAGCTGCAGCTGCACCACCACCACCACCAGCAGCAGCAGCAGCAGCTACAGCTACAACAGCAGCAGCTACAGAAGCAACAACTGGTGGCCGCCGAGCTGCAGATGCAGCAGGAGGCACTCGCCCGCTCGCACTCGAACCTCCACTCGCCCTCGCTGGTGCGCTCGCCGGCCACTTCATCCTCGTACCGGCTGAACCTGAGGCGCTCGCTGCACCTGCCGCTGACGCCGTCGTACGACGATGTGCGCAACTCGCCGCTGCCGCTGCTGCACCACCATGTGCACGCCCAGCAGACGACGGCCATTGGGAGCGTGTCGGTGGCCACGGCCATGGCTGAGGCAGCGGCGGTGGCAGCGGCAGCGGCAGCCACTGGGTCGGCAGGCGGTGGCGGGGGCGGGGGCGCTGGCGCTGGCGGTGGCGGTGGCTCGTCGTCCTCGACGACGGCCCCCACCTCAGGCTCTGCCTCGGCCTCCCTGGCCCCGGTGCCGCCGCCACTGGCCCCGCGACGCCCGTCGACGCTGCAGCTGCAGCTGCAGGGCAGTGCAGCGGTATCAGGCAGCAGCACCACGCTGACGACCATACACACGTCGGCGCCACAGCCGCCGGCGCCCAGCGACTTCAAGTACTACTCCCCGCAACGCCACACCGACAACACCTCCAAGTTCAACTTCCCGTTCGGGAAATCGGCGCGCGGGATGCGCCGCCAGTCGACGCAGTCGGTGGACTCGCAGAAGGTGAACATCGCCGGATACCAGCCGCTGCCGATGCGGTCGCGCTACAAGCACCAGGAGGTGATGTTCGAGCTGAAGTCGCCGACCAACCGGCTGACCATTCGAGAGTGCGACTTTGGCGGTGGCGGTGAACCCTGCGACGACGATCAGTCGATCAAGGACAGCCAGATCTTCCGTGTTAGTAAACGAAATCTTTATATGAATCACCGGTCGCCGTGGAAGGAACGCGACCGCTACTCGAACCTCTACGAGTACTCGTTCAACATAGATCTCAACTCGATTATCGAGGATGCCGCGGGCAGCGACTCGTCATAGTACGCAGCTCGCTCCCCCGCTGTTGTCGTTGTCCACCTGCCCCGTGCGGTGCTCGAAGTCGCCCAGGACTTCATTAATTGGTTGTTAGGCGCTGTACATAAGGCAGGCCCCAGTACCAGGACCAGGACCAGAACCAGAAACAGAACCAGACGCAGGCCCAGGCCCAGGCCTAGGCTCTTGGCCCGCTTCCTGCTGCTTCCAGGCCTCTGCTAGAGAAAGCCCAGTTTTGTTCTGGCTGTGCAGGCTTCTTTTTTTGGCCTCCTTTGGCGTTCTTTGATGAGAGAAGACTTTAGGGACTTTCGAAGAGTCTGAATGGGGCATAACACATTTGGCTTCCATTCTCTGACGCGCTTAGAAGCTAGCAGGAGAGTAAAGTCTTCAGTTTGCAGCCCCGAAATCCTGCTCTTGAGTTTCCCCCTCCCCGTTGTATGCGTAGATATAGAAGTATGTAAATTGCTAAATTGTATTTTATGATTTTGTCCATGTCCGACCTCCGACCTCCGACCTCTGTATCCGGTATCCGCTATCCGCTATCCGCATTCCGCTGTAGAGCCCCCAGCCCCGATCCTGAATGAAATGAAAAGTTGGTTCATAGAAACTTTTACGTTTATGTAGCACCTGTTTCCCTGGCTAATCACGCCGGTGCTCCTCTGCACGCGGTGCAAGGGCCCACCGGCGCCAGGGGCCAGGAGGGAGTCTCCCCGCCCCCCATGTATGTATATCCACCCTGGTCTACGTCCCATCGCCGCCACCTCCAATAGTGATGCCACCAACCAACCAACCAACATCCCTACCAAGCATGTTCAACTTAAACTTTGTTCGCTTGAAAGAAGATTAAGTTTTTGGATTTTTGATTTGAGTTTTGTGTTTTGTTCTCGGAATCATGCTGGATTCCTGGCCAAAGGGCCACGCCACCAAACGATCGCAGTCACTTGGACTTTCGTTGAAGTTTTGAATAATTTTGAAGGTTTCAACCGAACGAGAAGATCTAGAAGAAAGACACCACAGAGCGGAAGAACATACAACATACGAACATACGATACACTGAAAACACTTAAACGCAATTGGAGAATAGAAATTAAATGCAAGAGTTAGCAAAAATCTTAATGAGCCAAAATAACTGCCATTTATCGAAGCAACATTTTGTTAGAACTTTGTTCATTTTTACAATGAAAGTTAAGCGTAAACTAACGTATGGAATTCAATAAGAATTTGATATATGTACTATGACGATGTATCGGTTTTAAGGGAGTCATTTTTAACTACTAGTCGAATACAGAGAATACTGAAAATACAGAATACAGAAACCAAATACAACCAAAATTGTTGCTAACGAGTCGAATCGAATGGAATATCAAATATTGAAATACTCGTACTTAAACGTTGAATACTCGTATCGGGGAAGGGAGCATTAGCATTAGCATTGCCAAGTGACTGCAGCAAATAATTAGCAATAGAGATAATATGGAGATGGAGATGGGAGTGTGTTGAAATCGAACATGAAATTGAAACGAAATATGTATCTATTTATACCTAGTTGTAATAGTAATTGACATTTGTTGGGGGCAGAAACGGGGACAGGCCGCACGCTCTGCGGTTGTCCCGGAAGTCACTGTTGCTGGGTTCACGAACGGAGCGAACTGGGTTCACGAACGGAGCGAACGGGCGCGAACAAACGCGAACGAACGCCTCAGCTTTAAATCTTGAGCATTAACAATATTATGAGTTCCTTTTATAATTAATTGCAAGCATAGTACGACGCATTAGCGAGGTAATTGAAGTTATAGATAGTTATATATACACATGCATATACAGACAGATACATATATATACAGTATATATATATATATTTCATGCCGAATCGGAGCATGAAGCGAGTGTTAAACGATGCAAAAGTAGATTTATATACCTATATATACATATATATAATATACATTATGTATGGTTAAATGTTGGGCAATAAAACTGATCGATCTGAATGAAATGTTGGCGGATCGAGTGAACAGATACCGCACACACAACTAAAGTATAAGTACGGATCCGAGTAGATGAGGCCTTACGCTCTTCTGCTTACGTTCCTGAACGTTCCAGCGAGTACGCGGAACCTCGACCGATCCACAGACACGATCCACAGATCCACACGCACACAGACACACACACACAGACGAAGGGAGCGTTTCTTTGCAGCAGTTCGTTCTTCTTGAGTTTTAGTTCGCGTCTCTCTATCGTCGTCTCGCTGTTTCGCTGACTCGCTATCCATACCATTTCGTTCCCCTTCCGTTCCGTTCCGTTCCGTTCGTTAAGTTTCTTAGTTTTGATTTGAATGGCAAAGCGCGCACTCGTCCATCCACAGCCTTTAGCCTCTCGTTATATACTCGTACCATGAACTGAATTCAACCTACCAGCCTACCAGCCTACCAACCCACAAACCTACCAACATACCAACCTACCAATGTTTTCTCCTGATTTATCGCACACTAATGTCAAACTCTTTCTATATCTTTCAACTTGACTGTGGAAATACAACCAATACAAATTGGTTGCTTGTTGTTGAACAATTTTACAAAAAACTAACGATCTAATAACGATATATAACCAAAAACAAATACCAAATACCAAATACTGCAATTGAGCGAAAGTTGTCGAGGGCCGCTTAAGACTAGAGTAAAAAATGCATTTTAAGCCTTAATTGGGTGAGTTCTCTCCTAAAGCAAAGTACAATATTTCTAAAGAACAAAAAACAAAAGCATTTTATTGTTGTATTGTATGTACAAATATCCGAAATTACAATTAATAACGCTTTAGACATTCATTTTGGAATTAGCTACACCGCATATACCCCCATATCCATACTATATTTGAGTTGATTTACCCCACGACCCCCTGCTTATCTTATACGTATCCAGTGGCCAGTGCAAATACTAGCTAAAGTATACTCCATACTCGCTTCTACACATCCCACATGCCAATACATACATACATACATATATTCTCATGTTGAGTTGAAACCATCAAACGCATACTTTTGACAGACGGAAGGCAACACCACCATCCATCCATCCATCCATCCATCCGTACACACAGACCCTGAGACCCTCAGACACGTGGAACACACAAACAAAAACACATACAACACACAAGCCAAAAAGTTGGAGTTAAACACAGTATTTAGAACAGTATTTTATTGGCCACCTCGTAAGCGACACATCAGTTCTACTGTAAAATCCACTACCCACTAAATGTATTCACGACATTTTGCAAGCATGCTTTAAATTGTTCCAATTGGCACCGAATTAACCATTGAATCCGAGTAATTAGCGCATATTTCACGTTTATGCTTTGCGACATTTAACAGTGTTCCGTTGTTTATTGGTTAAGGGCTTATCAATCGATATACAGACATGCATACACACTCGTACACACACACACACACACATACATATGTATTTCCAACCAAGTTGATTATCCCTGCCCCGCCGCATTCCTGCCTTCCGGCGACGCCTCCGAATGGAAAGGAATGGAATGGGGACTGGGATTGGGCCTGGACATGGACACATGCCCGCCCATTCAATTACACATGTACTATATGTTAATTTGAACAGACAAACCGTTTTAATTGAATTACGAATTACGATTTTAATTGCCGCCTTTTCAGCATTTATGATTATTTGCATTTTTAGAGAGTTTTGTTTTTCCCACAGCCAAAAACCACAATACAACACAACACAAAAATAAAAGAAAAAACCACTCCACCAAAACCAATCAAAAGCAAACCAAAACCAAAACAAAACCAACCCAAAACCAACCCAATACCAACCCAAAACCAACCCAAAACCAACCCAAAACCAAACCAAACCAAAACCCAAATCCAAACCCAACCATCAACGCCACACAAATAAAAGACACACAAAAACCACTAGCAAAAAGTGCTCAAAATTGAAATTCGAATTTTAAATTAGTTGGCAAATTTGTTGTAATGAGCATTTGAATAATTTACATGCATTGATTATACGATCTAAACATTCGGAAATATTGAGACTGCACTGTTCACTAATCAGCCACACCGCTGTCACCTCTGCCCTCTGTCTCGTCCGCAGGTAATTCCAATAGTCTAGCTCAGCTGGTGGACAACGAGATTCCCCTAGCCCAGATGGACATTCCGGCGTACACGCAGCAGACGGCCACCCAGGCGCGCCAGTTCCGCCACCGGCACCACAAGCAGCGGCAGCTCTCGAACGGAGCCTCGGTCAGCTACGAGAATCAGCTGGCCACCGCCAGCAGTGAGGACGAGCTGGACGACGCCGAGGTTGTGGTCGTCGGCAGTCCGGAGGTGGTGGCTGCAGTGGCTGCCATTGCCACCAATAAGGCGCGGGGTCTGCGGAACCGCAGCGGTAGCTACAGCAATCTCTTCGACGCGGACTTTGAGGCGGCACTGGTCAACTCCGCCCTGGCTGAAGGGCAGGCAGGAGCGGAGGCAGCTGGTGGCACGGCAACGGGCTCCACCGATGTCTTCAAGCCCTCGGCTGGTGCTGCATTGTTGGCTGTCGCCATGGGCGGTGACCATGCGCTGGCCAGCTCGGCCTCCAAGACGGAGAACATGTACAGCAATGTGCCGCACGTGGCGAGTGCCTCCAACGCAGCGCCCCCAGACGCCGCCCTGCACGTCTACTCGAACATCATAGACGAGCGGGCACAGCAGCATCAGCGAGAGCAGCTTCAGGCCACCACTGTGCTGTCTTCGACGCTCTTGAGCGACGACCTCGATCTGGACGATCCAGTGAGTGCCTCCTTTGTGGCCGCTCACTCGCAGCGCAAGTCGATCGGCGACGGGGCGGAGCAGGCCAAGTCAGCAGATCGGCTGCGCATGCTTCACGACACCACGATGATCGACACGGCACTGGACCTGGACAGTCTCGACGGCTCCAGCATGGGCAACAACTCGCAGTCTTGCCTGGTGAAGTCGAACAAGCCGACAGCCAGTGGTTCCAACGTGAACATAGTCTGAGCCAATCCTTGCCCTATGCCCTATGCCCTGTGCCCTGTGCCCTGTACATAGGTGTACAATAGATAGATATAATCAGTTTTTGGGTCTGTCGAGTATTACTAATGTTCCATTAAACGTGCCTGCCGGGGTTTTTATTTTATCATTTTAACATTTGCCACTTTCCATTTGTGTGCTGTGGTGGATGGGTCGAGGGGCAACACGAGATATATATGTATGCATGTATTAATGTATGAATGAGAGAAGATAAACCTATCAGCAGGCAGCTAAAATATTACCTTAACGCGTTACGCATTCGAAACAGATATATGTACACTTATACACATGCATATATTATACGTACATATATGGTATAACTAAGCATTTACACATATACTATGTATACATATGTATGTATGTATGTATAGCAACACAAAATGTGGTGAACAATGTTAACAATTCAATGGCATTAATGAGAAAAACCAAGAAAAGTAAAGAAATAAAAAGAGAAGAGAAGAAACCAATACTATATGGGGAGAAACTGTTTATACAATACCAATACACGACGCAAACATATAAATCAATTATAAGTACGTACGCGGATAAAGATAAAGTTATACATACATGTATGGTTAGTTATAGTGTGCGAGTATCATTTGTATATTTAAGTTTTTACAGCGACCCAAACGAGTCCGCATCGTTGTTCAGAGTTTAATGCTAGTTGCGATAGTGGGAGGAGGGCGAACAATAAAAACCCCAACAAGAATACTATCCTGCAATATACATACATATGTACGTGAAGTTAAGTTACGTGAAAATATAGGAAGAACGGGGAGGAGCAAATGTTAACAGCATAAGAGTTAAAAGCAACAATGTGGTGTATTAAATGTTCATAAAGTTACCATTAAGTGTATTTTCAAGGTGTAAAATGTTATATGACAAATTAAATCGAGTTCGAGAGTTCGACAGCTCCAATGCATGAGAGGGCAAAAATGTTAAGCGTATGTTATGCGAAACTAACAAAACTACAATTATACAAAGAATAAAAATTTATAAATAGAGAACACCAAATGTGTTATTTCATTGGGTCGGACTTGGGGCAGGTAAATTTAAATTTAACTAATCGTGCGTGATCCATAATCATTCATATCCAAATACCAATAAGTTCATTTGAAATTAACAATTCTCTGGAAATCACCAAGCTTGAAGTTCAAATTTTGAAAATGCGTTAAGCTTGACGTCAGGCTTGAAATGGCCCGCCCTGCCAACTCGCTTGAGTTTGATGATGTGAACTATCGTTAGATATAAGCATCCCATTAGTGCTGCCATTTTGGCGTATTCAATTTTTTATCCAGCATTTTATTCATTACCCTTGGCTTGTTTGAGCTATAAAGATTTGTTCTTTTCATCTGATTTTGATCGGTCTGCTCCAACTACGATCTACCATTTTGACCATTTAAACTTGACGATTATCGTTAATTTACCACACAGAATTATAGGTAAATTCAAGGTATAACGATATATTATGTTATATTTTATCAATTTAATCAACATAGGGTAAAGAAATTTCCATACGCAGGTTTATTGAATTTTCGCTCTCTCAAATCGTACTTCCGTGCATTATCTATTGCATATAAATCCTTGTCACTTTCAAACAATTCCGCTTTGCTGCGCAGCTCTACCGATTATCCAGTCGATAGTATCGATGGCCAAACGACACGAAATAATCATTCTGCATACCGTGGAAAAAAGGATATTGAATTGAGGAAATGTTTGTCATCCCTGGCTCTGAAGTAGGCAGAAACTAGTCAGTCTCTGTTTCTGTTCTGTTCTGTTCTCTGTTATTGTCTTCTTACAGAGACCGAGAATAGGTATCGGGAACGAGATGTATAGACAAGATACTATTCATATTTTTTAAACATCTCAATCTGAGAAAGGGTCCTTATTAATTACGTTCTAAAACAGCTTGGAAAACAGTATCGTCAAAAAATAACGAAATAGGGTATACAAATTGCCATACTCCGGTTGACTAGCAATAAGTCTGAAAATACCAGCAACATGGACGTGACAACATTGCTACTGTTCTTTTGTTGAACTTTTTTGTTTAAATACAATAAATGGGAGTACTTAAAAGTAATTAATCTTGTTGAAAATTTATTCATAAAAGGGCTAAAACTATGTGAGCAAGTCCAAAAGTTTTAGTAAGCCAGCATTATTCAACGGAATATCAAAACTGAGCAATAGGAACGACTAGTATTTACGGTATTTCTTTGAAAATGAGACAGTATATTTCTGAGGGTCGATAAGATACATTTTCTGAACTGATATCGATAAATGGTAAAAAATCAGCTGATTTCGGTCGAAAAAGTTTTAAATTTCTTGAAATTTTAAATTTGTTCTTTTTGGTTCTTTCTTTGCCCGCTGTTTCGCTCACTCACTGTTACATGCATATAGAGCATATAAACCGTGCATTGGAAAAGAAACAGAGAGGCTGTGCTAAAGGCGCATCTACAGGACGACCAAATCTCCAATGTGTAGCAGATCGAGGACTCGGCTGCTCTTCTGGACCTACGCCTACTCCAAAAGAGTTAACGTGACCAAGTGAATCTTTCTCTCCTGTTCATCCGACTAATTGTGTTCCTAAAACGTTCATTTTGCGTTCATGTGCAAAATGAGCGGGACCCTGGATTTCGATGCAAAATTTGTTGAAATTAACCCAACAAACACGTTTTTAAGGTAATTAATGAATGAAATCTTTAAGGCGTTAACTAAATTCGTCGAATTTCAGTGCCGAGCAACTTGTTACGCACCGCCACTTGGAGATCGAAGCCACATGCGGTGGCCTGAAGCGCACACAGAATGAGGGAAGTGCAGCTGAACTTGAGGAAATTACCACGGCTCTTTGTAAGTTGTAGGATTGATGACTGATGTACATCAATTTAATATAATGTTAATTCTACTTCAGCTAATCTGCGGGCTCAATTGTCAGTGCCACGCATAGAACGACTCGGAGGGAGAGCTCTGGCCTCTTGGGATGAGGAACAACAAGCAGCGGAAATACTGCGTAAGGATGGAAAATTCGGGAGCTTCGGATACAGCGTGCAGAGTAAACTCTATTTGGAATACTACGAGGCCTTGTTTCTTCTGGAGTTGGTGGGTAAATCCGCAACCGATCCGTATCGATTTGTATTAACATGGCAAGCGATTCCAGGGTCGCCTGCAGCTGGAGTACCATGATGTGACTGTTTCCGTGGAACAGGCCTACGTCTTATTGCTTGGAGAACTGGAGAGTGAAAAGTACCACAATTACTTGGTTTATTCAGCATTGTCTCGTGCTGGTTATATAGTGGTTAGGCATAAACGCCATCAGCCAACAGCAGAAACAGTGACCAGAGCAGATTGCATCTGGGCTCTGCTGAAGGAGAAGGTTGGGCATATTCCAACAGCTGCACATATCAAAGCTTCACCGCTCTATGCAACTGTAGAGAAGAGTATGGAAGACGTCAAACAGTTTATCATGTGGCCAAATACCGAGCAGAATGAGAATAGCGGAGAGCGGATCGATTTTAAATTTGACACACGAAAGCGAAAAGCAAATGCAGCGTCTAGGGACTATCCTAGCAGCAAGAAAGCATGTATATCAACAAGAACGAGCCTTGTAGACCTTCCAAAGACAGAAGCAACATATGCGAGATTCGAAAATGTATTTAAAAAATTCGACATTGTGCAGCTTAAAAGCAACGATTACCCAACCGATGATCAAACAACTCCACCTTCCTTCAGTATATCGTTTGACTTGCATCTTCATAATGGAGGCTTCAAAAAGCGTACTCCCAAAACGCCCACCTTCAACGTGATGATTCTCCCGCCCGATGCGCCGTTTCCGACACACAGTGAGATTGCCCAGTGCCAGCGTCAACAGCTCCATACAGCGCCCCTGCTCGTCGTGTCGGTTAGCGAATCGAAACAGATACAGGCGTTCTTGTACTTTATTAGTTGATGATGTCGGACTCTGCGGATGTGCTACCTCAATAAATTGTACGTTTAATTATTGTTCATTTATATGCGCCTCAAAAAGGCCAATTGCACGTAATTTATTGTAGTTAGCAATCACTTTTTGTGCAGACGGGAGAAGTTCCGACAAAACATGCCCAGTCAAACATTGTCAAAACATTCGAAAAAAATTCATTTATTTGAATGTACATATACTGTTTGGCTTTTTAATTTCAACAAAATTTACTCCCGAAAATGGTAAGTTTATTGTGAGGAGGGGAGGGGAGGAGAGGAGAGGTGAGCTACTGGCCACTAATCTGTCTGTAATGTGAGTCATTTCAGAACGCACCAATAGTTTGGATAATGGGAAGCGCGAACAGCGGCAAAGACGTCCAAGTTCAAAAAATTGTGGAGAAGTATGGCTTCACGCACATCGATCCCAACGCCATAGTGGACAAAGAGGTGAGATAAACCAATTGCAATCGCAATTGCAATACTAGTTGAGACATCTCTATTTTAACCAGATCGAGGCTAAGAGTGCAGATGGCAAAAAGTTCGAGGCAATACGCAAGGATGGCAAAGAAGTACCCTTGGCCGACATAGTGCCGCTAGTGGAGAAGCAAATCATGGGACAACGTGGCGGGGTCAAGGGCTATTTAATCGATGGGTAAAATATAAGAATCCATTTAAGGAAATATAACTTGATGCATTTATATTACATTTTTATAGATATCCGCACAACGAAGCCGAAGCCAAGATATTGGAAGAACGTCTTGGGCCGCCTACAATGGTGATTGCGTTGGATGTCCAAGGGGATACCAATAAAAAAGACTCCAAGGCAGTACTCCAGAAATATGCCAACATAACGATGCAAATCAATGCCGAGCGTGATGCCAAGGAAGTGTTCGAGGACCTAGTTCCCAATTTCGAGACACTGGCCAAGAACCGAGGACCCCAAATCTCAATCGGACGCTAGAGCCTCAAACTTCAAAATCCTTAGAAATCAAGTACAGCACCATAGACACCATAGACAATCAAATCAAATCAAATCCAATCCAAACAAATACAAATTTAGCACGACTGCTTGAACGGCATAGCTACAGCAAAAAGCACACGGAGCTCGAAAAGCTCACATCAAAAGCTTGCTTCAGCGGTGCGCTCGTCTACGCGTACTGAAACCGTTAGCCGAAAGCCTTTTCATTCAGTCACTCGCAACATACGCTGCACCGAGTGAGGGTGGTGGAAAATCGTCGGGCGGAGAAATCGAATAACGGCGCTGAGGAAATCAACTACGACCACAAGGAACAAGGCTAGCCAAGAACGTCAGACATCGGCGCCGCTCCTAAACTACCGAAAAGTTCGCGATTTGTTCAACGAAAGTCCCTCAGAAGCGACGTATATATCTCGTATACATCACAATGGTGAGTGAGAGAGTGTGCTCGTGTGACTGTACTCGTACTCTCGTATCCCCCGCACATTTGTTTGGGTTTTTTTTTACTGTGCTCTGATTTATTTATATTTGTATGCCACTTATATCGGTTTCGCTTTGAGTTAAATTTCTCTTTCGGAATTTCACTACTTCCCCCCGCGGTCGAGCAGCGAGAGCGAGAGTTTGGGGATTGCATATACGACTCGACCTTGAGCCACTTCCACGACACTTGCGCTTGTGCACTTGACCTTGCCCGTCCAGTCGTTGCAATTGCCACCGGGATTGCACACGTACTCTTACAGATATTCCGCATCCGATGCGATGTGTTTTCTACTCGCAGCTTAGAAGCTCCCAGGTCCAGCTCCAGCAGCAGCAGCTGTTCGCTGATGATCTGGTATAAATAGAGACTCGGCTAATAGCGACGATTACGTGCCTGTGAAATCCCCCCAAACACAAACAAAAAAACACAAACAACCAACAAATTAGCAACACAAATGGCCCGATCGATCGCGGTAAAAAGCCGAAATTTCACATTCCAAACACAGTGAATTTTGACGTCAAATTCCGATAAATTTGCATATATTTATGACCAGTTGCCCGAAACTCAGGAATTTCTGGCGGGGCTTGATTCATTAGCATGTCTCCAGTGCCCAATGGCCCGTCCTCAGTCCCCAGTCCCCAGCATCGTCGCCAGAGCAGTTAAATGTGTTTATTGACGCTACCCGAACTAGACAGTCATGCCGGTTTTGATTCAGTCGCGACGGATGGAATGATTAAATTAATTACAATAAAGCCAACAGCAATCTTGGGATCGAAAGAGCAAAAGTTGGCCTCCCAAAAAATTCCTCTCCACCAGCTGGATAGTTTTGCAGTTCCGTTTGCCCAGAGCGCATGTGTGTTCTAACTTAAATAATGGTTTGGTTATAATTGACAGTTTCAAAACGGAGGCGGGAGCGGGAGTGGGAGTGGGAGCTCTAACAACTGTTCATACATAATGAACAAGTGTTTTAGAGGTCAGTGTTCAAATATGTATTAGCGCTGGACACGGAACGCCCTAGTGACGGATCCTTGAGAATGACATTGGAAAGTCACTGAACTACTAAAAATATAACGAAATTACGTAAATCCGATTGAGAATCATAAATTTTCACACGCAACAATTAAGATGCGTAGAAAATGTGCTAAATGAAAAGCCAAGAGATCAGAGCAAAAAAGAATACGAAAACAAGAAAACAAAATAAGAAAATGTATGCTCCGAAAAACAACCACCAAAGGTGCTACCGAACAACCTGCTCATTATCAAAGCTGCCAGAATTCATTCACTTTGTTTGTCTGGTGATTTTCCCCTTTCGCCAAGTTTTCGCTGGGGTGCGACAATGCGGAACAGGCGAATGTCAGCGGGGGATCCGATCCACATCCACGGGCAGTGTATAAGGGAAACCGCAGATCTCTTCGCCACCTACACACGCAATGGAGTCACGAGCCGCCAACAAAAGCGATTCAATTGTTTACAGTAATTGTGATTTTCTCGTTGAAATCAAACCATCATAAATACAATTTGTTGGCGCTGGAGAGAGAGGTGCCAATTGCTCTGAACGAGATCTCCGACGTGCTATGCCACGGATGGCTGGGAACGGGGAGCCCTGCGCTCTGTGCCCCTTGTACTCAGTGCCTTTTGCTCAAGATCAATGCCATGTGGGAATGTAAAATTTATTAGTTCTCGCGCTCGTGCTCGTATATAGAAATGGGTATTCATGGGATGCATATGTATGCAATGTTATGCCTGGTGGTATGTCTGTTTATATAGCTAGGAAGTTTATTGTCGGCAAACATTTGAGGTAAATTTGCTGTTGGCAAAGTGCCCAGAATACTAATAACTACATATTAACAAAACCGAAAACATCTCAGATATAGTTCAATAACACTGAAACATTGAGATATCTAACCATCCCCAACAACTGTCTCGATTGTGTAGTTATTTATGTGTCACCAAATGGCCATGAAGAAGGAGGCCCAGGAGAAGCTCAAAGCAGAGGAGCTCCGTAAGGCACAAGCCGCTGTAAGTAGCCCCAGTCACAGATCAGACCGACGGGCAAAGCAATCTTCTACTTGGTTTATTTGATGTATGGCATGTACATATGTATGTATACTGTGTGGCCGCCGCTTCAAGACCAACCTTTTAAGACCCCCCTCCTCCCTAACTGAACTAAGCTTGCGTCTAAGTAAACACTAACTAAGCTAATTGTAGATGTTACTCGAGTCTGTATGTTGTGCATCTAACCGTCTAACCTACATCCCATTTTGCAGGCTGACATCCCCATCATCTGGATATTGGGCGGTCCCGGCTGCGGCAAAGGCACTCAGTGTGCTAAGATTGTGGAGAAATATGGATTCACACATCTGAGCAGTGGAGACTTATTGCGCAATGAGGTAATTTTGCTCGAAACACTGCTATTGTATTGCGTACTTGTGAAATCTAATTGCGAACTTACATATTCAGGTGGCTTCAGGATCGGACAAGGGTCGTCAGCTGCAGGCCGTCATGAGCAGTGGCGGCTTGGTATCCAACGATGAGGTCCTTTCGCTGCTGAACGATGCTGTGAACCGTGCCAAGGGTGGCTCGAAGGGCTTCCTCATCGATGGATATCCACGTGAGAAGACCCAGGGCGTGGCCTTTGAGGAGCGTATTGGTCCCGCCGATCTGGCCTTGTACTTCGATTGCTCTGAAGACACCATGCTGAAGCGTATATTGGCGCGTGCCGCTGCCGCAGCTGTGAAAAGATCCGATGACAATGAGGAAACCATTAGGGCGCGTCTGCAGACTTTCAAGCAGAATACAAGCGCCATTCTGGAACTATACGCAGACAAAACCTTGACGGCAAGTTCTAAAGTAAACTTGCATCAACTTTTATTGAATAACTTTCGCCTATCCACAGATCAATGCCGAGCGTGATGTCGATGACATCTTCCAGGAGGTTGTTCAGGCCATCGATTGTGTGCTCAAGAAGAAGGCGAAAATAGCCGCACACTGCTAGTAGGCTAGTAGAGAGCTCTTATTAAGAAACAGTACCAAAGTTAGCAATACAGCCAAAAATTTATACGCACTTTTTAACGCTAAACTCGAAGAAATCTCACAAATTTGCACAAATGAAAGCGAAACACCAAATTTATTAGTTTTTAAATGAATGTCATATTATCCCATTAAGTGGGACTACAACACATAATCTCATGCAAGAAATGGTTGATCTAATGCTCTAAATAAATTTACCCATAAATTCAAGAGTTAGTCTATGATTTACATGCTGAAAAAGATAGTTTAAAAATGAATTTACCTTGTCGTTCGATGTTCATCAGGTCAGGTCTGCTAGAAACTCAATTCATAATTGAAATTTGAGAACATATATTGTTAATTAATGGACGCATTACAAACAGTATTTCTTTCAACGAATGTCAGTCGCTTTCCGTGAGCTAGACTCTGATTAAATATTTATAAGCCTTAACTGAGAGCACCAAGGGCACAGGTTGTTCGAAAGGAAAACATTCGAAACAAATTCGCCTTGAATTCGAGTGTGAGAGCCACGTGCTTAAATGTTAAAAATTAAAAAGTACAACTTCATTCTATCCACTAAACCAGTTTCAGTTTCTAAACAATATGGTGGGAGTGAAACGATGCAAATGATACCTTGTAGGGTGAGAGTGATTAATAACTATGGGTGCTATAAAGTACTTAAAACAACTCGACTCGACTGAAAGTTTATGGGATAGGGTATTTCCCTTTTAAATCTTCGCAGATTTATATATTTATGACCCAGGAGAACTGAACAGTGCTGGATTCGCAAAAAAGTTTATTGCGCTAAAGTTAAAAACTGCTTTAGTCACACGTTGAACACAAATGCAATGCAGATCGTTGAGTAAATGATCGACTTTGTCTCGATATTTCGTGTACGATATTCGAATCTGTCGGGTCTGGCAGTTGCCAGCGGCATGTTTAATTAGAAGTGGGTTGTATTTCAATCAAGATGATATCAATTGTTTATAACATTTCATTTGTATACTGACGAAAGTGTGCGTCACGAATCTGTAGTCTGTAGTCTGTGGTCTTAAATGCAAAATAGATCTGACATAATTTTTGGCAAGTCAATAGTCCAGCAAACACCAATAGTAAAATCGTATCGAGAATCGGCAGTATCTGTTTTTCTTCGAAACTGGTAGAAACCGAATCATCTGTCTTTATCACGGAACTAAATACCATGTGGAGCAGTCGAGCGTCATCATGTGGAGTGCTCCCCTCCGAACTGGAGTGGGCTTCGAGTTCGTGTTCTTGGCGATCGAGTCGAGCGTAAAGTCAACATAGAAATTTATGTAAACGAAGTGGTTGGCGACAGGCAGCATTGGCAGCATTTGGCAGCATGCCTCATAATTGTTCGTTTTGTGAATTATGTAAAAGGCAGCAGCAGCATGGAAAGAAGAAAGATACAGATACCTATAGCCGTTGGTATAGAGAGGCGAAACAGTTAACTGATCAGAAATTATCACATGGCGACGTAAAAGTTTTTATCGGACGATTATCGCTGGACGCGATCTCCGAATTCGGGAATTCCAATTCCAAAAAAATCAGCATGACTAAACAGACAGAAGAGCTCAAGCAGGTTTTTTGATATTGTTGTTTGTTGTTTGGATTTTGGTTTTTTATTTTCATATACAATTTCTTTATATTTTGCATCGCATTTGTATGCTTTCTTTTTGTTTGGAGACCACATTTCTGTGGGGTTTTGTTTTTCATTTGGAGCTGTCACTTCAGCCACTTAAAACTAAAAAAAAAATAAATATAGATGTTTAAATAGTTAAAACTAAGAACAATGTACAAATTTTGATGGAGACATTAGCCAATTGAACGAGTATTTAGACATATATCACACGATTAGAGAATTTTTTCAAATAAAGCTATAAAGATTCAGTCGAAGGAGGCACGGCTAGACGTACTGATCCTAAATGAGATTGTCATCACTATACAGATGCTGGTGGTGCTGTTGCTGATGCTGTTGCTGTTGCTGGTGCGGCTGCTGTGGCCGGACGTAGTGCTGAGTCGAGTGGACCCGCTGTGGTGCATGGGGTGATAGACCTCCAGTTTTGCTCTCAATCCAGTCCAAATAGTGTGTGACTCTGGTGAAGCCTCCGGGAATGTTGGTCTCGCAGCCATCGGCTGGCCCAAAGCTGGTGATGCCCACGACGACCTGGGTGTTCTTGAGCACCAGAGGGCCGCCGGAGTCGCCCGTGCACACTGTCTCGTCTTTCAGGCCCTTGGCACACATCACACCAGACGTAACCACATCGTATTCCTGTGCGCACTCCTCGTTCGAGATCACTTTGAGCTCGGTGTACTGCATGGAGTCCGAGTTGGACATCTCCACCATGGCGCCCCATCCGCTGGCCACCACGCTCATGCCCGTGTACTGGTCGTGCCGCTGTCTGCTGGGCAACGAGGCTGCCTGGATGCGCGAGGTGAAGGCCACATCCATTGGCAGCTTGACCAGGGCGATGTCATTTGCAGCCGTCTCCGGATTGAATTGCTCGTGGACAATGAACTTGTTTGAACGGATCACCAGTCCTCCCAACTGTTCCGTGTCCTCGACGCTCTTTGTGCCCAGGTACACGTCGTAGTGGGTCACTCCCATGGTGCAGTGGCCGGCAGTGAGTATCCAGCGCCTGTCCAGCAATGTGCCGCCGCACAGGATGCGCTTGCGCCACAGCTGCTTTCCTATCAGCATCACTTGGTAGGGGAACTTTTCGATCTTTCCGAACTTCGACTGGCCGATGGCATAGCCCGTGCTGGGGGCTGGCTCCCACATGAGGAGCAGGACCAGGCCGAGGCCCAGTACGGTGTGGGGACGGAGCAGAGGCATTGTTTTGGCCGCCATGTCGCTTCGTCTGTCTGTTGCACTTGTCACTGATCTTTCGTCTAATTGTTTTTGGAACCGCAATAATCGAATTTTGTCACTTGCTTGGTTGTGCTTCCGTTGTATATCTGCGCGCTTTGGACGTTCGCTTCAATCTAAATCCGTTCTGACGGAGTCGTGATATTTTATACGTCGTCGCTCAGCGAAATAATTTTGCCGGTTTTCTGCTGTCTGGTCCCAGTCCAGTCGTGTCTCCCCGGCACTCTCATACGTATCTCCGCCTCTGTCGCTCCGAGTGTCGCTCGCTGAAGCCACTCTCTTCTGCGTTGCCTGGGAGACTCTTCTTCGGTAGCTTGTTATTATGACAGCCAACAGGTCGTAAAATCTCGTTTAAGGCGAACACTTTGTGTATAAATATGTACATACATATGTATTTATTTATATATATGCATATGTATCTGATACTATGCCAATGCTAGCTGTGAGCGCGCGAAAGCAAAGTTCAAATTTCGAACTGCCAGCCTCCCCCCCGAAATAATGGGAAACGGAAGTGAAATTGGGTTGCTCCGATTTCGTTCAGTCCCGAAATATCGCACAAATCTGCTCTTTGCACTTTGAAGATTTCGTCACTTGCAGATCTGCGATCTGCGAAGGATTCCACGAAAAGAGAGCTTAAAATTATGAAATGGAAAGAGAAAATGTGAACCAAAGCGACAGACAATAGAACAGGTATTCCAGCTGAGCGGAGACTAGAGACCTAGGCTCTGGTCCAGACCCCGACCCAGACCCAGCCCCAGCCCCAGCCCCTGCCGGAGAAGTGAATTGGGGTGACAAATACGATTTTAATTATGTATAAACAATTTTGGAATTCTGATTAAAAGACTAGTTTTGTTTGTCTTTTTCCTCTGGTCTGTTCTTTTCTGCTCGTTCTATTCGATTCGGTTTTATTCTGTTCAGTTGAAAATGTTTCATTCAAATGAAAAGGTGGAATTTTTTTGAAAGTTGCTTTTGCGCATCTTTATTGCATATTCGTCTTCTCACATACATTTTCGGGGCGGCGCGGCCTGTAAACAACGGGGACTCCAGATAGGTTTTTTTTGTGTGTTTTTTCTTTGATTCACTGGCGCCATTAGAATTTGTATTAATAAGTTATTCATTTACGCCTCAAAGTCCAAAAATGCTGCTAATTTCCAGCGAAACTTTCGGGCGAATTTAAGTCGAACTGTGATGAATCAAGATTCGTTGTCTGTTTATTATAAACATTTTATTATGTAGATTACGTTCCCGTTCGGAATAACAACAATGCTGACTCAATCAGTGTTTTTGTTTTTATCCCATTCTATGGCGTTTTCCTTCAAATTTTCCTGTTGTCTGCCGCAAACTACTCGTAAGTAGATCGCAGATCGAAAACAGATACATATTTATAATGGGAGTTAATTTGTGTGGCGCCAACTTGGAATTTTGTTGATGAAAACATTGTCGATTGTCGATCGCATTAACTTTATTTACCAATTAGCAGTCGACTTGTAAGAATCTCTGACGAAACGGCTTTGTTTTCGACCGAGCTCCGAGCAGGGATGTGCGCAAAAGTTCTCAAGGCAGGTCCACATGCTGTAGTGTAGACCTTGGTTGATAGAGCATCCCGGATTCGCAGGTTTCATTAAAGAAGAAAATTGATCGGAATGTTTACATTGCCAATTCGCAGGTGCAAATTTATAAATACCAAACAATAATAAAATTAATTGGACATAAAGGTGCGAAAATTCATTATACAATACAGCTTTGAACGTGTACTTTTTGCGGGCCCGTCCCTGAAAATCCCGGCAGTAGCACGTGTCTGCGCCACCACGAACACGAGCACGAGTATACATATATATACATACATATATAGCTTCCCGTTCTGGGTGGTGTCTCTCGATTATTCCGGCGGATTGGGCTATCTAATCTTCCAATTAGTTTTCAGCACATCATCAAAGTTTATTGAACAGGTTCACATCCATCAAAATTGTTCCATAAAAATTAGCTTTTCAGCTTTTCGAACCAATTTAAGTTTTAGTGGCCAAACTGAATGCATATTTCATTTTTCAGCGATTGCTACGTTTATGTGAGTATTACTGCAAGAACCGGCAAGATTTATTCGAAATCAAATCTGAATTTATCGATCGGGAATACGATATGTTAATTAATGCAAATCAGCTCTCGGGAACACCCGAAAATCGTTGTTTTTGTCGACAAAGTTCAGCGGCTTGGGGCTCTGGCGCCATGAATGTTGCTTACCTTGCACGAGAAAGTAGCTGACCTTGACGGTATTCGGAGTATTCGGTGTATTCGGAGACTGCTCTGCTAGAAAGCGGATGGGAGGCTGTAGTGGCAGTGGAGGCGGGACACCTACATATCTAATTGGACGGACGGAGGGTGCATTGACCAAGTGTTTGGGTATCGGAACGGGCATAACAAATCGTTCATTGACGTCAGCCCAACACCATTTATTTTGCACGGGTCTTACAATTCAATTTAATTAATGTTCCAGCGAATGAGCATTTAATATGCAACGGCGTAGAACCAGTAGTCGCCCCACAACTTTTCGCCGGCAGTAAAAGTTTCTTTCCCCTGCCCTGCCCTGCCCTGCCCTGCCCTGCCCCCATTTTGGAGAGTGGCTGGCAGGCGACAGGCGGGATCTCTAGTCTTAGCTTCTTAAGTGGCATAGGCAAACTAGATCCGGTTGGACTTCATTTTATGCTGAAGACCTAACAGAAAACAGAATTGGCCGGACCGAAGATGAAAAGAAAGAAGAAAGAGAAGCTGGGAAGCCAAGAAACAAGTTGTCGAAGAAATTTATGGCGATGGGAATTCCCAAAAAAACAAAATACTGGGCCAAATCGGCGCCGGCACACAATAACAAATTCCCATGACGTTGTGTAGCAAACAAATTTTACTGACATTCATCAAAAGCATTTATCATTAGCCAAGAAAGAAAGATGATCGCTTGATCGCTTGAACGCTTGGTCGCCGTTAGCCAAATGCAAAGAAACCCATTGGCGCCAGTTATCCAGACGGGGTCGGATCGCAAGTATAATAAACCTCATAGTATCTGTATCTGTATATAGGAGGGTATAGTAGTTCCCGGTGCAGTTCCGCCGCCACCATCGGGTTTCCCAAAAAAACAAAAAACAAAAAACAAAAACATACGTGCTAAGAGCCTATCAAAACTTTAAGAAAGTCGTCAAAACAAACCGTTTAAATGAATTTCCGATGCTGCGAATCTCATTTCCAATTCGCATAATACGTCAAGTTGTCAAATTAAATTTGCATGGCATTAATATTCAGCCAAATGAAGCGCAGCTGAAGCCGCCCATAAAACTTGATATGTTTTGCCAACACATAAAGAATTGATGGAGCTGGAAAACCGCATTTCAAACTCAAACTCAAATTCCACCTCAAACAATGCTACCCCCAAAAGAAGTTCTAGGTTTAGTGGTAATTCTAGGAATTCTGGAACTTAGGAATTTTTGTTTAAGCATTGAATATGTGAATTATGTTGTCGGGGACGACGAGCGGCATATTGGCGCCGAAATAATTAATTATAAATTGACTGTCTCGACATTAATAACCCATTTGGCATTTGCATATAAATTAGAACATTCGAAAACAACAGCCTCCACAACACACTTGCCAATACCACAGAGACGTATAACTAAACCAGTGTGATGCCAACTTAATACGGCGCGACTACCGCATACCCCTTGATCACAGGAGGTACATATGTACATATATACATGGATAGATCCTGAAGCCTAAACCAATATTTGCAACAACATAATATCCAGTTCTGTTTCATAAATTCCCAGATACAAGGCAGGGTATCACATTTTAATCTTAGCTTCTTAGCAGAGCTAAAGACATACAAGGTATGATATGGCATAACTATTGTTTGAACAAAAGAAACCTGATGCTGAGGTAATATAATTTGAAACTACCTTTTCGGAAAACAAATCATAAGTGGGCAAGGCAATCATCGTATACTTAGTCAAGACAAACATGAACATCAGCACGCGCACCAGGCTTTAGGCTTACGACTTGACGTCACATGGGGCTTTCTTCCATCGCATGATTCACAGCACCGTTCCTTACTGCGGTTCTCCATCTAAGCCGAATTATTACCTGATCTAAACATAGCTGAAACGTCACTGTTTGTTTGTATAAATTAATACCAATATTTTTAAAACGATGAATAAAGCATTGACTGTCTGTGGACTGGACTTTCTCAACTTACCGCGTGCTCATTGTGACAATGCAAATAACAATATCACTTATGCGGTGCCGTCGAACTCGGGTTAAAGTTAATAAGACCATTCCGTACAAATTCCGATTTCTGGACTTGTAAGGTATTCGGGAATGCAATTAATGTGTAAAACCCGTAAATAAACATTTTGTGTTAAGTACAATTATTTGAATATGTATCTTTCCTTCCATAATTTAAAGCATCCTAAATCAGACATGTGCATGGAAAATACAATTATTTATAACAGATGCAAATTGTGAGCGCCACCGAGTGATTTTGAGCGGCTGATTACAATTACCATTTAATATATTTCCTTAAATCGAAATAATTAAGTGAACTTCAAAACCAGTTGGGTGACTTCTTGAAATTTCAAATAAATATTTCCTGAGTTTGAATATCGCGCCTAAAATGTCATAGCACAAAGAATCCGAACAAAAGCTTGCGTTTCGTGGGAATGGCAAAACTTGACATTCACAGCAGCGCGTAGGACGTCTATCAATATTTCGTAGTAAAATCAAGCTAGATTGAATAAAGAAGTTAAAACATTGTTAAATAGGGCTACACAACCTTTTATTTTTATACTCGATAATCAACCAATCGAGTGACACCTTAAGGAAAAAATATATAAAACAAACCCTGAAACAACCAAATCTAGAATTCCCGCTGCCCACTGTATTCAATTTGTTCCCGTATTTTAGTTTGAAAAAGCACTGGTATCGACAGATATTGAGCAGTATAGTTTCCAATCCTTGACGGAGAACGATTAGCCCATTTTAAACCAAGGGGGTATTTTAATATTCCACCGAAAATAATGAAAATTGATTCTTTTTAGCGCAGTTCAGGTGAAAGATATCGATTTTTTTTTTAAATTCAAATGAAAGATGCCATATATCTACAAGAAGTATTTGCAATCGTTAATATTTTTTGGCATTTACCTCAAGTCGTTTAACTGTTTAAATAAAGGGGGCTTAAGAGGGCTAATCGTTTCCTATCGATATACTCAACAAATAAACAGAAGCCGGCAAAAATATAAAAAAACAATATCCTGCATTTTAATCCACAAAAATGAAGGAAACCGATCTGAAACGAGCGTACAACAATGTGCTGGCTCAGGCTTTATCTTCGTCACAGCAGTACCTGTTTTCGGGCAATCTTTTCGGTGATATATTTGTACTCAGGTAAAATTTGTGTGGCACATTGTATCCATCATATCATTGACACTCCTTTTGCAGATTGAAAGAACTGGAAAAGGGCACAGAGGAGCCCCCAGGCAAGCTCAAAATCTTTCCGCAACGTAGTGCTGTGGAAATCAATTGCCTAGCCTTTCGACGAGACTTTCTGATAGTCGGGACCGTCGGTGTCGTCTATGGGTTGCAGTGGAACGAAGATGACGAAAAGTTGAGTACAAACCGCTTATGGGAGGTTAAAATACCGATGCAAGCAGATGCCGTGGAAGTGCCGGACGTGAATTCGTTGTGGTTGAGCGCAGACACCGACACCCTGTTCGCTGGTTGTGGAGATGGAATAATTTATCAAATAAGTCTCGAAGATGGACGAGTGGAGCGCGACTATCGGGGGCACACAGACTATGTGCACTCTGTGGTTGGCAACTCGAACGGACAAATCTTCTCGGGGGCAGAGGATGGGACAGTACGAGTCTGGACTACAAAGCAAAAGGAACAAACGTCAATGATAGAGCCGTATACAACACCAAAGCTGCATCGCCCCGATTGGGGAAAATGGATCGGTTCTGTTGCGGTCAATGACGACTGGTTGCTGTGTGGCGGAGGTCCACGAGCATCGATCTTCCACTTGCGGTCCTTGGAGTCCACCTGCGTTTTGGACTTTCCTGGAGGTGTGCATGTGTGCGACTTTGTGGATGACGGTGTGTTCATCGGCGGCGAACACAATCATGTGCAATCGTACACCTTGAATGGAGCGCTGCAGGCAAATATTCCGGTGGAGCACACTGCATGTTATTCTATAGTGTGGCAAACGTCACCGATCAAGATTATGTCCATTGCTGGATTCAGCAATAGGCTGCATATCCTGAAAGATTTTCGTTTTCTAGACAGCAAAATCGACTTGTATGGCAATGTGGAAGGAGAGGACGACGCAGCGGAAGGCGACGAAGAGGAGTTAGAGGAGATCGAATCATTCAAATGTTCAGCTGCGTAATAATTTAATAATTATACGATTATATGAAAATGACCAGCTTAAGCGATTTATTTTTATTTCGAAGGGTATTCCAAAGGCTTAAAATCAAGATTTTGAAAACGGTAGCCTGCTCGTCTACTAAATGAAGATTAAACATCTCTATATAAAAAAATTAAGTTGCTTGTTCTCGCAACCGTCTCGTGTTATTGACAGCAGTTGCATGTGTTTACTACCAACATTATTCTGGAACACACAGTCTCCGTATGCCATCGTGTCGTCGATGCTAAGAGCAAAGTACTCCAGCATCTTTATAAAATTGCGGGAAATAATTTCTTCGTCGGGACGACGATTTGCGGGCACGAACGAAACGTTGAATATGAGGAAGACATCGTCGCCGTGAACCGTACCTGTTGTCAAATGAACAAATTGCAAAGAGTTTTCAAAAAGTTGAAATCGAACGTACCAAAGTATACATCATTGCGCCCAGATAGAATCTGACCAACTCCAACTTCAGAAGGATTGTCGTACACAAAAGCATAGACTGGACTCTTTCCGTATTTTCGATGCAGATCCACAGAAACCGTCACGCTGTTTTTAAACAAGAGGTCTGTGAACATCCGTTGTACGTCCCAATAGCTTTCCACACTGAAGCGCCGATCTCCCAGATACTCCTGCCTCAGTTTACGAGAGTAATCGTCCATATCTTTGATGGTCGTCATGGAGTCCCGGTAGAACAACAAATACGGAGCCCAGTCAAACCACCGGTCATTGAGATCCACAATCAACTCCCGACCAGAAGACGCCTGTTTTTCCAGCAAAAGAGCGGCGTTGTAGCCACCATCCTCCGTGGTATACGTCACAGCCCAAGGGACTTGGGAAAACTTTCCGCTCTTAATAATATCGATAGGATGATGGGTAATAAAGGCTTCTGGTGCATCTGGCGATTCTATAGCTGGACCGAAAGGCGTAAACGGCACATATGAGAACACGAGGAAGCTCCGGACCGCCGAGACTATTTCAATCGCTGGCTTGGACTTCAAACATTTCTTGAGGGTCACGGAGTCGCTTGCCTGTCCACAGCCCACAATGCGGCCCAGCTCAAAGGCCCGTCCACGTAATCCTTGCTGGATCACCCAGGGGTCCAGAGAATTGCCACTAAATGAAATTGCTGCTTTAGCCACCTTGCTGAAGTCCTCACGTAGCATCTGCAGATGAACGGATGCCCCGCCCGCGGAGTGACCTACCACTAGAATGTTCTCTGGTTCCCCACCGAAGCTGGCAATGTTCTGCTTGATCCAGAGCAGAGCCAGGCGCTGATCCTTCAGTCCAAAGTTTCCGGACAAATCCGCGTCACCAGTGCTCACGAATCCCAACGGCCCAAGGCGGTATCCTATAGTTACGAGTATGACACTGCCTTCGCGCATAATGTTTTCGTGTCCGTATTGGCTGGGTCCGCCGAACATAAAGGCGCCGCCATGCAGATTTGCAACGACAGGAAAGTTATTCCGACTGCTATTTTTCGGCCTATACACGCTCACGGTCAGACAGTCTTCAACGCCAAGTAGCTTATTGGTTCCATTTATGAACTGATTCCACTGCATGCACAGCACTGGTGGTTGGGTGGCATCGAAAGTGTTCGTCCACTGCTGCTTGTAAGGTTTCGGAACTTCAAATCTAAGCTCTCCGGTCGGAGGCTCAGCATAGGGAATCGCCTCATAGCTGTAATAGTGGCCGTTGTCACGTCCGCGTAGTTTGCCGTTGGGGATCTCAATTAGCAAAGGATCTAGTAGGGTGACTGTTCCAGCCGCTCCTAATTGTATCCATAGCTGTATCAAGCAGATCAGCCATCGCACAAGGTGCATGTTGAATAATCCGAAATCAAACTGCGCCAAACCGCTGGGCATCACCTGTCTTTATAGTCGCATTGTGCCTGAACAAATCGCTTAATTACCAGACTCATTCCACCAGTCATTCAAATATTTCGGGTTTAATATGTATGCCTGTAAAGTAATCGGCATTTCGCGTATATTTGTACGCATATTTATAAATACATATAAGTTATGAAGGAAATCCATGAAAGGTAACACGCCGAGGTTCATATACCCTGCAGCGGGACATCCAGAAAATATTTTTTTCGAGTATCTGCTAAATGCAAAACCGGATTTATAATCTGTATTTGAACAGATGGCGTTGAAAACGAATGTTTAGTAGGCCCGAGCCCGAGGCTTAACATATGTATCTTATAGGAGAGCTATACTCGTATGATAAAGGGATACGGTTAACACATTTATTTGTAAATTATGAAGAAAATAATTGAATTCAATTAACAAAAGTGTAAACGAATACTTACAGCTGTGTTTATTGCACAATTAGTTGTCATCAAGTACCAAAAACAACATGAACAGCGGTTTCCCGCTCCATTTCCTTTCCCATGGTAAGATTTCCATCGGTAACCGATATATTTTGCTTGTTGATGCTGCCAGTAGTCCAGTCCGCTGACCAGTGGGATCATGTTTTTCCACAACCATTAGCAGTGCCAGCTGCTGTATCAATTCTACAGCTGATACAATATCAAGTCGATGTGCATTCAAGTGTAGTATCAGAATCGGCTTAAACAAAAACTAAATCAATATGGCGGAACAATTAATTCCATATGACTGAAGCGGCCGCTCTGTGACGTCTGCGGAACTGCAGACGCCTTTGGCTGTTCGATTCCCAACCCAAAGTAATCCACGAGTAAGTGTACCCGGTACTCATAGATCACAAGGGTATATTAAGTTCGTGAACGTGTAGTAACAGCTAAAAGGCACATATAGTTCCCACAGAGCTAGATATACAGCTATGCAGCTAGATTAGCAGGATTGTGTGGCGTCTCTGGTATTATCGCACTAAATAAGGATTGTTTCAAGCCTGTGCAGCAATAACTTTAAAGATTTGAGAAAATAGTAACTGCACAATTATAAAAAGTGATCTTATCTACCAGATTCTCGAATCTAGTGGCGATCAAATCATCATTTCAGCCAGAATGTCTATAAAAGTCAACCCATTCTTGGTTAACTCATCCGCATCGAACTCTTTCTGTCTCTCTCTATCTTTTGATCTCACTCCCTCTGTCTCTCTCTTTTTCATATTCTTTCATGCGTTCATGTTCCTCATGTACATTAAAAGAGCGGGTCACCTCTCTTCTTCCCACCTACTGATAATCGTATTTTGACTTTGTTCATAGAAAAGCTGATTACCGGGTATCAGTGTTCAAGGGACGGTTTGCAGTTTAAACGAGAGTCGTCCAAAATGTATTTCAAAATAAATATGTACAATTTTTAAAATTTTATTACGGAAAGCTCTCAAGTTCCAGGTTCTCGCATCCGTTTCGGGTTATGGAAAGCAGTTGGAGTTTGCTGCTGCCTACATTATCCTGGAAAACGCAAGCTCCAAATGCAAGAGTACCATTTTCGCTCAGTACAAAGTCATTCAGCATCTTCAGGAAATTTCGTGAAATTGTTTCCTCATCTGATCGCAATTGAGGCTCTCGAACGATATTTTCGAATATCAAGAAATAGTCATCACCATGCACCGTTCCTGTAAAAGAATCCGTGTTTAAAAATGCTCTCTTCTCTCCCCACAAAGGTCCTACCAAAATTAATGTCAGTGCGCTGTGCCAACCCTTGGCCGATTCCTGTGTTGGCGGGATTGTCGTAGACAAATGCGTAAACCGGACTCTTTCCGTGTTTGCGATGGAGATCCAAAGAAATCTCCGTGCTGTTTTTAAACAGAACGTCCGTAAAAAGGCGCTGCAGGTCCCAATAGCTTTCCACACTGAAGCGCCGATCTCCCAGATACTCCTGCCTCAGTTTACGGGAGTAATCGTCCATATCTTTGATGGTCGTCATGGAGTCCCGGTAGAACAACAAATACGGAGCCCAGTCAAACCACCGGTCATTGAGATCCACAATCCACTCCCGACCAGAAGACGCCTGTTCTTCCAACAAAAGAGCGGCGTTGTACCCACCATCCTCCGTGGTATACGTCACAGCCCAAGGGACTTGGGCAAACTTTCCGCTCTTAATAATATCGATTGGATGCTGGCTAATGAAGGCTTCTGGTGCATCTGGCGATTCTACAACAGGACCGAAAGGCGTAAACGGCACATATGCGAACACGAGGAAGCTCCGGACCGCCGAGACTATTTCACTCGCCGGCTTGGACTTCAAACATTTCTTGAGGGTCACGGAGTCGGTTGCCTGTCCACAGCCCACAATGCGGCCCAGCTCAAAGGCCCGTCCACGTCCTCCTTGCTGCACCACCCAGGGGTCCAAAGCATTGCCACTGAATGAGATTGCTGCTTTTGCCACCTTGCTGAAGTCCTCACGTAGCACCTGCAGATGAACGGATCCACCGCCCGCTGAGTGACCTATAACTAGAATGTTCTCTGGTTCCCCACCGAAGTTGGCAATGTTCTGCTTGATCCAGAGCAGAGCCAGGCGCTGATCCTTCAGTCCAAAGTTTCCGGACAAATCCGCGTCACCAGTGCTCACGAATCCCAACGGACCAAGGCGGTAGCTTATCTTCACGAGAATAAGGTTTCCCTCGCGCATAAAGTTCTCATGGCCGTTTTGACTGGCTCCGCCGAACATGAAGGCACCTCCATGTATTTGGGCCACAACGGGAAAGCTGTTGCGACTGCTATTCTTCGGCCTATATACGCTGACCGTCAGGCAGTCCTCATTTCCAGCGAGCTTATCGTCTCCCTGGATGAACTGGTCCCACTGCATGCACAGAACTGGTGGTTGGGTGGCATCGAAAGTGTCCGTCCACTGCTGCTTGTACGGTTGCGGGGCTTCAAATCTTAGATCTCCGACTGGGGGCTCAGCGTAGGGAAGCGATTCGTAGCTATAATAGTTGCCGTTATCGCGTCCGCGTAGCTTGCCATTGGGGAGATCCACTAGCAGCGGATCAGCTGGATCAGACGCGGACGAACTAATCCAAAAACAACCCAATAGGAGGATCAATTTCGCACAGTACATGTTGCTCACTGTGTCGTGATCTGAAAGAAACTATTTTCAGCTGTGGAAACTGTGTCGACTTATATTGCTTGTCGAGCAATCGGCTTATCGGCGCCTCGCCACCTGCCCAACCAGTCTCAGGGGGATAGCTCTCGAGCGATCGATCACTGCACGCTATGTGAGATTAGGAGATTTCGCATGCTCGGCTTAGACTTTGACAAGACTCATGGGGAGCATTGAATACCCACATTTGTATATGCATATGTACATATATATGTGGATAAAGAATTAATTGCCTATCAAAATTTGCAGCAGTCAATCAGATCGATGTAAACATTCCAAACTATTTTCTACACGATTGCATAGGGTATTATGAGCTTATACAAATATTTGTAACGAAAAGAATCACACTTAGCGATCATATGTATCTTGACAGAGAGGGCCCCATCCTTCTCTCTCCCCCGCTAGCACATAAATGGAAATGTAGAAGCTTATTGGAGTACAGGGTATTCCATTGTCGAGGCTCATTAGCGTATCGTTATCTCTTGTTTTATTTTCTTGTTACGGCACCCACTCTCGCAATCGAACAGCTGAACTAATGTTTTTGAGCGTGTTATTAAATCATCTTCCGAAAGCTAGCCTTTCTTCTTTTGTTCCTCAAATTATACCACAAGTATAATCCGGGGTATCTCTCATAGAGAGAGGCTCGACTTATCGGTCTAACTGGTTTCGTTTTGAAAATATAATATTTTTTTTCGATCATTACCCAACGGGTGCGCTACACCCTATTAGGCATGTTTTATTTGTATTAATTGCACCAATTATAATTAAGGAAAGCTCTCCAGTTGCAGGTTCTCGCAGCCATTTTTCGTTATGGAAAGCAGTTGAAATTTATTGCTGCCGACATTATCCTGAAGAACGCAGTTTCCAAATGTCATAGTTCCATTACCGCTAACAACAAAGTCGTTAATCATATTCAGGAAATTTCGTGAAATTATTTCCTCGTCTGAACGCATCTCAGGACCTCTTGCGAGGTTTTCGAATATCAGGAAATACTCATCCCCATGGACTGTTCCTGTAAAATATTCGCTTTAGAACGTATTATGAAGAAATGAATTGTTGAGAATAGCCCTACCAAAATGAACATCAGTGCGCTTGGAAAAAAACTGGCCAATTCCCGTGTTGGCAGGATTGTCGTAGACAAATGCGTAAACAGGACTCTTTCCGTGTTTTCGATAAAGATCCAATGCCAGCTCTGTGGCATTTTTATACAGAATATCTGTAAAAAGCCGCTGCAGGTCCCAATAGCTTTCCACACTGAATCGCCGATCTCCCAGGTACTCCTGCCTCAGTTTACGGGAGTAATCGTCCATATCTTTGATGGTCGTCATGGAGTCCCGGTAGAACAACAAATACGGAGCCCAGTCAAACCAGTGATCGTTAAGGTCAAAAATCAGCTCCCGACCAGATGAAGCCTGTTTTTCCAGCAGCACAGCTGCGTTGTAGCCACCATCCTCGGTGTTGTATGTCACAGCCCAAGGGACTTGTGCAAACTTCCCGCTCTTAATAATATCCACAGGATGTTGGCTAATGAAGGCTTCTGGTGCATCTGGCGATTCTACAACAGGACCGAAAGGCGCAAACGGAACGTACGCAAAAACTAGGAAGCTATGCACAGCCGAGACGATTTCACCCGCGGGCTTCGATTTTAAGCAGTTCTTCAGTTCCGTTGAGTCGCTTGCCTGTCCACAGCCCACAATGCGGCCCAGCTCAAAGGTTCGGCCTCGTGCACTTTGATGGATGACCCATGGATCCATTGCATTTCCTCCGAAGGAAATTCCTGCCTTGGCCACCTGTGCAAAGTCCTCACGTAGCATCTGCAGATGAACGGATGCCCCGCCCGCGGAGTGACCTACCACTATAATGTTCTCTGGTTCCCCACCGAAGCTGGCAATGTTCTGCTTGATCCAGAGCAGAGCCAGGCGCTGATCCTTCAGGCCAAAGTTTCCGGACAAACCGGCGTCACCAGTGCTGGCAAATCCCAGTGGGCCAAGGCGGTAGCTTATCTTTACGAGAATAAGTTTTCCCTCGCGCATCATATTCTCGTGTCCATTTTGCCTGGCCTCGCCGAACATGAATGCGCCCCCGTGCATGTGGGCCACAACGGGAAAGCTGCTCTGACTGGTATTCTTCGGCTTATAAATGCTAACAGTCAGACAGTCCTCAACGCCTGCTAGCTTGTTGTCCCCGAAGATGAACTGATTCCACTGCATGCACGTCACTGGTGGTTGGGTGGCATCGAAAGTGTCCGTCCACTGCTGCTTGTACGGTTGGGGAGCTTCAAATCTTAGTTCTCCGACCGGGGGCTCAGCGTAGGGAAGGGACTCGTAGCTGTAATAGAAACCGTTATCGCGTCCGCGTATCTTGCCATGTGGGAGATCCACGAATAACGGATCGGCGGGATCAATAGCGGATGTGCTAAGCCAATAAAAACTCAGCAGGATAATCAGTCTGGCAGCCAACATGGTGCTCTTTCCGATTTCACAGAAACTGATTTGAGAATTCGAAGTTGTGTCGGCTTTTATTGCTCGACGGCGCCTCGCCACCTGGCCAACCAATCTCGGGGGGGCCATCCCACAATCGGCCACTGCACGCAATGGGATTAGGAAATTTCGCGTGTTTGGCCTAGGTGGGTGGATATTGTCCATAGAATACCCGTATTATGCTTTTGATTTGCCTTTAAAATGCACTGCAGCTTATAGCGCTTGATTTGAACCTATAAATCTGTATTTTCATACCCTTTCGGAGGGTATTATAATAACAGGTCAAACACGCAATCTATAACTATGTGTATTCAAAAAATATAAACAAATCTCTGATCTACAATTTTTGTAATTGGGTGCAATGATTGATGATTCCCATCTTCTTCTATTAATATATATATATATATCTTTTGTATGTATCTTTCCATGTATATAATATCAAGAAAGAGTATCCTGTGGAAGAGTATAAAAAGCAAGGGAACGGGAGACAATGAGAGCAGCTGGAAAATTATAGATTTAGATTTGGCTTTGCTTAAGTGCTTTCATCACTATTATTATTAAATCACATATAAACAATGCGTGCTTTATGAGTCTTTTGCATCTACCATTTTTCTATTGAGCGTTTCTCGTATTGGAAAATTGCAGGTTTCTACCTAAACAGTTGTATTTATTTGAGTACTTATTGACTTTACGGCCTTATTTATTTAGTAGGTACTATTTAATCTACACATCGAGATACTGAATGAAGTACCTTCCCATAGTTACGAGTTTTCCTGCTGCATACTTCAAACTTTTCATTTGAACTCAGTTTCGAGTACACTTTGTTCTTTCTTTTTCTTTGCAGAGTATATTCGTCTCATCGATAAATTTGTAAATACCTCTGGTATATCCTGACGAAGGATAGACAGACTTACCATATTTTGTAAATCACTGAACGATTAGAAAGGAGAATATCTTTGCTTTGGTTTTATTATTTTTATTATTATTTATTTATAACCTAATAAGAACGCCGCCCTTTATGGGATTTGGGTATTTATTGTCATATGTATGTAAGTACTTTTGATATTCAGTTAGGGATACTCGTACTTATGAAAACGGATATGAGTATGAGTATATACTCACAGTAGCTATTTAAATTTCTTTAGGTATTAATATGATTACATTACTTATGGTACTTTTAGAACTCCAAGACTCCTGGCAGATATTTGTCGATCAGAGTCTGGTAATAAGGCCATAGAGCCTCGATGTCTGGCACTACCTCGCTTTTGGTGTACAGATCATAGCGACTGCAAAGGTGAATTTTGGATTACGATTGAAGTCAAGAGTTAAACGGAAAGAGCAGAGCTACTCACTTGAAAATCAGCACCCATTTCTTGGTCTCCTCATCCTTGGGGGCCTCCAGGTGCTTGTAGTCACCACCATTGTGCCACGGATAGAACGAATGGAAGCGAATTATGTTGCAGGCCACGTCGGGAAGCTTGGTTCTGTTGTGCTTGAGCACACTGTACATGTACTCGTCGTGGCCCCAGGACATGAGCAAGTTGTCCACGCCACAGTTGGGCTTGTAGATGCCATACTTGGTATTGTAGGCGGGATTGGCACCGTCCGGATTTCCGACAAAGCTCTCGTCCCGATAGACGATGCTGTCGCCCCAGCGGCAGCCCACAGCGAACGTGTCACCGACAACAGCCCACTGTGGCTCTCCGTAGAAGGCCATGATCTTGCCCAGATCGTGAATGAGTGCCGTCAAGTGCAGCCAGTCGTGTTGCGGAAACTCGGCGCGTGCCCGCTCGGCCGCCTGGAAGGCATGTATGATGTTTGGAAGGTCCAGGTCGGGATCGGATTCATCCACCAGATCGTTCAGTTTCTCCAGAGCTTCGCGCACCGTCATTTGAATCGTATTGAATTTCAGCCAGTGATTCCGGCGACCTGTCGAGAGGCAGGAAGCGATTATACATACTATAGATTCGGCTGAAACACACACTGATCCGACTTACCCTTGACGAAGTCCACCGTCTGATTCAGATGCATCTGACGATAGGTTTGACGCACGCGCTCCTTCAACGGATCTGTTTCGTCCACACTGTAGTCCCGGAACTTGGAGGGATTCTTGTCGGAGAACGTGGGCTCTGGCCGCATCAGCTCCGAAGGATCCAGCAAGTGGATCTGATTCTGTGAATGACATACAACTTCGTATAAGATATGGAACACGGTTTCCCTCGAACAGAAAAGGTTTTACCTCCGCCAGGATTCTCATATTGAAGAAATTCGAACGTTAGAGTATTAGACCAGAAGTTAAACAGTTCCGAGCAATTGAACCGCCGAAACGCTTTTGAGTCGGTGGCCGGACAGGCCGTCCATTTTTATAGGCTGCCGTCCACTAGCAATTAAACAGAATTCACAATCAAAACGCTTCTATATAGTACTCGCTCCTCTCTTCTACTATATTCGAAAATGATTTATAGTACTTTTGTTATTTTCAAATCACGAGAACCGTCTGCTCCCCGTCCCGTTGCCAACAGTTCAGTTCCGTTCTCCTCTCCCATTCGGCTATCAACACTCGTACCTCCGACTGATGCTGCGCTCTCTCTTTCCTCTGCGGGGGGGATGCAGGGCTCTGCAATGATAAGCCACGAGCCTTCCTCATATTTCAGTTGGTTTCAATAATTTTTATCAGACTTCTGAGCCGCCTACGCGCCCACGCCGCTTATCTGGCGCCCCACTGTGTGGGGCATGTGGATGCATTTGTTGCATGTGGATGCATAAACTGCGTGCTGCACTTGACTGATTACGTCGCGACATGCCGGATACACAAGGACGGCTCGAACTCCCAGATATCTGGAGCAAGTGCATGGCCACTGCATTGAATAACGTGATTAAGCGATTGTTAAGGTCGGTGCGCAAGAGATCATTCCTCGTGTAGGAATGTTTTATATGAGCAGTGTACAATCGGTTGTTATTCTTTTTTATAAAAGATTTAGTAGTGGGAGTAGTGGAAACCTTTTTTCACTTGGACTTACTGGGATTCGATGATCTTAATATTTAGTTGACTTCCGTTTGAAACTTGGTGAAAAAGAATGCTTTCTTTTATGCATTTGACAGGCCTGCTAAACACGATCCCAGTCCATGTCTACCACTGAGAAACGTAGGTCAAATGTCACGCCTGAAGCCCCAAAGCAAGCTCCGATAGCTCTCGTTGCGACCTTGAGCAATCGCCAGGAAAGCGGCATAAGCATTGGCAAAAGCCAACGTCCCAGATCCAGCGTCCATGCGGACGTCTAAAAGTAGCAACAACGCCAAGCAATCTGGGTACACAGTCATCAAGCGCAGAAATAATGTGCCATCAAGGGGGGGATTGCCTGAGAAAAGTTATCAGTCGTCTATAAACATGACGTCGATCCCATCCGATCCCATCCGATCCGATCCGATCCCCGGGCTCACACACGCCACAAGTGCGAACTAAAACTTGAGATTTCACACTGCCCACGAATGGGCGGACTGATCGTAGCCACTTTGGTTGTCTCGGACTGTGCTGGATTTGGATGTGGGTCTCGGCTGGACCTGGGCCCGAGCTTGAGGGGCTTGTTCATGTTCCAACGAGGCGTAGTATCACAGTTCGTCACCATCGCCGAAGCGTCAGGGGTCAGAATGTAACGATCGAGAGTGGTTGGTTGTCAATAAAGCTTATCAACTAATATTGGAGGTACCCACATATAGTATAGAGTGCTGGGGGAAGCTAGAAGGCAGTGGAAAAGTTTCATAATAATTGTGTTTGACGCCGACCGTGATGCTGATGCAGTCATCAATTAGGTCCGGACGTGCGAGATCTTCGAATGCAATCACGGAATGCTCGGAATGCACGGAATGCACGGAAGGCAAGGAAAAACTAAACGGAAACTGTTCACGCTGGAAAATTGCGTTATTTATACTCGGAGCAGTGCCAACGGTTGCCAATTGTGTCAATTGCATCTAGATATGCCTTACTTCGTTGAAGGCCATCCGTCCAAGTTCTAGGCTAATAAAGTCCAATTTCTCTTTCCCTATCAGTCCATTAATAATTAATAATGAATAATGACATTATAATTTCAAAAATCGTCCAAATATAGCCCGGGGATCATACGTAAAGTTCGAGGGGCACAAGGAAAAAGCCGCCAGACGCTAAATAGAGCCTAATGACAAACAACGATGATCAATCCGTTTTCCAAGTACAGTAAGCACCGCCTACAGATGGCAGGGCTGGTGCCCAAGTCCCCTGTGGATCACTCCAGTGCAACATTGCGATGCCCCACCGTCCCTACTACGGGCCACGAGACATTTTCATAAATCACTTTCGTGAGCTCGACTTTCGCCGGACAAACTCTTCGAATTTTATTCAAAAGTAATATTTTGCTGATAGATTTGTGCACATGTTTGCCATAATTCATTAGATTCCAGTGACAGCTGGGGTCACCGAGCCAAGCAATAATACCCTCGTCCTCCTCCTCCTCCTCCTCCTCGTGATACTGCTGATACGGGCAGTCGAATGCGTCAAATAAGTATGTATTTATGGACATACATTGGCTTCCAGGCGAATGGAACTGGACTGACTCGAACCGCAGGGCCAGGACCGAAACATTTGCAGGTTGTACTCATTCTTTGATATAACATTTTTAAATTTTTCACTCACGATTGGATAGTATCAGTTTATTAGATTTAAAGAAGGGTAACAGATGGAAAAACAGTCCTGCGGAAGGTCGTTTCGCCTTAGACTCCTCCTTCTATGAGCTGGTGAAGAGTAAGATTCAGCTCCTTAAGATCTGATGAAAACTTTCATTTGTCGTAAGAAAGTGCATTCGGTGGTACAGAGCACTAAAAAGTAACTTCAAATGACGCTGCAAAATGCAAACCCAAGTCTTTAACAGCATTTCCGATCTAAACCGCTTCGGTTTTGGCCAATTTGTTCAGTATGCAAATGTTTTATTTTACAGCTAAAAAGTGTGCAGCACTTTTGAGCTCTGGCAGTGTAAAAAATGCATGTAAAAACTGTGTAAAATTGTTATAGCCTCAGCCCCAGCATAGCCTCCGATTACTTATAGATTCCATTGTTCTTTTTGCCCCAATATTCCTGTTCGATATCAGCTCTGTTGTTCAATCCGAATCCATTAAAAGCCGTTCCCGTTCCCGTTTGGACTCAGCGTCGATTGCCAGACACCAGTCAACAGTTTAATATATTTAAAAGTAGTATACGAGGGATGCTATTTAGTTTTCGGGAATAGCAAATAACAACCATAACTTTTAAATGAAAACGGCTTTATTCCCCCTGATGATCAACACACTTTTGCATTCGTTCGCACCATTGTTCGTAGAAATTTTTCCATTCCTCTTGAGACACCTCCAAAGCATGGGTTTTGAGCTCTTCAACGGCTTCTTCGGCGCTCGTAAGTCGTTAACCTCGCAGTTTTTTTTTTTGATGTAAGGGGAATAAAAAGAAGTCATCGAGTGCCAAGTCATGACTGTAGGGCGGATGAGTCATTAATTCGATGTTTCGACTGCTTAAAAATTCACCTGATTGTCAAGATGTGTGAGAGCTCGCATTGTCATGATGGGGAATGATTCGTGTCTTGGAACATCCCCGCGGTCCATTGCTGTTAAGTTTCCGGCTCATACGCATATATCCATGATTCATCACCTATCACTTCTTTGTAGTACCACCCGTCGAACTTTTTAAGCATTTCCTAACTCCAATCGACTCGAGCCTTTTTTTGAGAGATTGATAAGTTATGGAGTATCCAACGAGAACAAACCTTTATTACAACTAAGTGTTGAGGCAAAATGGAATGTATTGAAATGGAACTAGTGTGCAAGGATGCCTCCATCTCACGATATTACGCATTGACATTAGTATAGCCAATTCCCGAAAGCAGCCCTCGTATGCTAACTCTAATTTAGCTCTATTTAAAGAGAAATTCGCATTAAGAAAACAATACCCTTTGAGTATGAATTTCCCATAATATGATTTAAAAGCGATATTGCAGCTTAGTTTACTCGGCCGAAAGTCGGTAATAAATATCATATTGTGTATGCATTAAAAACTTGTACTTGCATTGATTTTTGTAAGCTTTTTGTAATACACTCATTCTGTTTTAATTCAGTTAATGGACAAATTAAAGAGAACAATAGTATATATGTTGAGTATTTAATAATAAAAAAAAAAAACGACATTTAATTATGGATTTACGTTTACAAAGTTAAAAGCTAGGGTACACAAATATAAAGCGTTTAAAATCACATGTGCAATACCATATTAATAATAGCATTATGTATTGAAGGCCCGCTATGGACGGATCCAATTTACAGTCCCGTCTGCTACGACGAGTGCTGAATAAATCATGACTGGATATCGTGCGAGCTGAAGCTTCTGTTCATTTTGGTTTAAAAGTTTGTCCGTTGGTCCGTTCGTCGGTTTGTCGCTTGTTCGTCGACTGATAAATACGATGGGTAACACGATGGCTTGAACTGGCAGCGGCAGTGGCTCGAGAAAATTAGTGGTTGCTCTGTTTGAGCAGCAAACAGAGCAGCGAGCAGGACATGTAAATTACGGCGCTTAATTAGAACCGCGGCGCGTGCAATGGATTTAATAAAAAAAACTCTCGTTCCCCGCCGCAGCGCTCCAATTAAAAGCCACTGAAGGCTGAGGCTATAAGCGCCGCCACAAGGCCAAAGCCGCTAAGAAGGACTTCCGGGGAATAGGACCTCCTGTTGGCCGCATTTTCCACGTTCACAAAAGGAATCGCACTCTGATTGAGAAATGGCATCGGCTCGAGCACACTTTTGTACACCTTGCGATCGTTGAGCGGTTGGATGGGTCGGAAATTGTTGTTCAAGTGCTCATCGTTGGCTGTTAGCTGGCGGAAGGCGTTGAGCTGAGGGCACATACGTAAGAAATGGATAATCGTCATTCAGGAGAGCGTTTTATGCGATTAGGTTGACCCACCTGCTTCTCCGTTATATCGATCGGCTCCATGAAGTCAATCCAGGTGACATCCTCGCTGCACGGCGGAGTTGTCAGCGAGCCTACGTAGGTATAGTAGTTCAGGAGATCCCATGAGAGGTAGTCCCGCAGGGGCATTGGGTTTGTGAAGTTAACCGACATGCCCTTCCTGCCAATCTTGGCGAGCTGGTTTGTAAAATCCTCGTAGCTCTCAGTACCCTCTTTTTTGACCTAAATATAAAAACACTTGTGGGTCATGCAACCGAGTAGACCTCTTGCCAGTCCCCTTACCTGAAAGAAGAATGCCATCACGGCAAGCCCGTGATCCTTGCCGAGGGCGCTTTCAAAGTTCGGGTACTCCAGATTCCGCAGCACCACATGCAGCTCCGCGGGGTAGGCGTGGTTATCTATCAGATCCTCACTGCCCACCGTGTCGTTCTCGCCCCAGTGAAAGTGGAACTGCTCGAACTGGTATCCGGTAAAGGGAGACAGCTCGGAGAGTGGCCCGCCTCGGACCCGCGGCTCCATGCCCTCCTCATAGGTCATCCTCACCAGCACCGTGTGCCCGTTGTTCGATATGTGCATGACCTTTGGCGTCACCATGGTGTTGAAGAACTCCAGCGTGGGATACGCCTTATCCTCAACGTTGACCAAATCAATGTTTATGGGGCTCTGCTGTTTGCCACTGCAGCGGTTGTAATCCTCGCTCCAGTGCTCGGGGCCGTGCTGCCCCCCATATCCAAAGTCCTGAGCCAGGCCAGACGACGCTGCGGGAAGAGAGGGGAGAATAAGCAAGCCGAGACTGTTGTTAATCGATCTCCCTCAGGTGCTAATTGCTTTGGCACTCGCCGACGTATCGGTGACATCGTCTGTGCCGTTGCCGACAGTCTGGATTGAGATGCGTTATTTGATCAAGCTATCTATTAAAGCGACAACTATTTTTGATCGCGGGGAAAGCTAAAAATACCCTTATGTTGGTCCTACCACTCAAAAGACTCAACTCAATTCGCACTTTGCGTCAAGGCACACATGCTGTACTCCGTCTGTCGTCAGAGGGCATCAGGTGCCTTCAGATCAAACATCGGTCTACACGTAATTGCACATTTAATTAGCATCAATCGAGCAGCAATTATCCATGTAAAGTTTATTGAGTTCCGCCGCCGGGAATACTTTCCGTGAAATATTCCATCTACGAGTATAGGAAAGGGCAAAAACAGTCTGCCAGTCTGTTTCTCAGCTTAGAGAAGCTTTAAAAACATGATATGTCATATATAAAATTTGCATATTAATAGCCGAAGATTATTTTTGTTCGCGTCTGCGATATTATCCACTAATTTGTGGGCAACAAAAAATCCCAACAAAATTAGCAGAACGCTCAAACTGAATTAGCTGTCATTAGTAGTCGATGTGTGTGTTTAGATGCCCAGACAAGTTACAAATTTACGTGAATTATGAACTAATTTTGACCAGCTGGCCTCTTTAGTATTTTCAACCACAAATTAGCAAAACATTGCGGTGAAATTAAATTAAATAGCATAGAATAAGTGGATCACATGGAAAATTGAAAAAGTGCGCCCAGGGCAATCGGAAATCATGCGTGATTAATGGTGAGGCATCGACTAGAACAATCAGAAGGTTAAAGATCAGTCAGGTGACAGTCAGCAAGACGGTAGACATAAATTGAATGTCGTATCGCAGACATGTCCCAGACTTCTGACGATGTGCCAGTCATAAAGACTTCAAGCTTTTAGTTCAACCGCCTTGATTTGATATATCATGGAGATAATCGTTAGGCACAATTAATTCTTGGAATCATACGAGTGGTACAGTACTGTGTTTAGTTAAATGTTTGCCCGTAAACCAGCTTGCACCAGCTCGGAGTGCACTTATTTATTCATTCATTCATTCATTCATTCATTAGTTAGTCTTGGGATATCACTTCTCGGGGAATTACGCAAATATTTGTATAACTAAATTGCCAAGACACCAAGTGCTCAATTGATAAATATGTTTAATTAACGCAATTGAGTATTCAGTGTGTTATTTGCTGGTTTGCTCACCATAGGCTAAGATCAGGGCAAAGGCCACTGTAGCACTAACATTACACCTCCACATGGTTTCGATTCGATTCACTTCTGAGAGACACTTGCCGCCTTATCGGGCTGTCGGGCCGTCGGGCTGTTGGGCTGGCGGGGCACTGCGCTTGTCACCTTGTAAATTATTGTAACTGTTAAAGGCCTGCTGCCAATCGAGAAATCTTGCGGCTTTCCGACGGTATTTGTGTCTATTGTCTGCTGTCTGCTGTCTGTTCGTGCTCACCCGCCAAGTGCGGTCACACAACTGCGGTTAGGGCCGGAGCGGTGCCTAAACTTATATCAGTTAGCCAGAGCTTGGCTGGTGCTGATTGCTTCTGTTGTCCTCTCTTTCTGCTCGATGTGGCCCACTGGTACTTCCAATTCCCCTTCAATTGAATCCCCAATCGGCCCGTGGTCATGAGAGTTCCACTTGGGCATCGACGCAATGTCCGCTCCGCTACCTGCCCCATCCCCTGCCGCAGCCCCATCCCCTGCCCCAGCCCCTGCTCTCAGCGACAGGCGAGTGAGGGGCAAGTTTCTGCGGGTAATCAAAAGGGAAGACGAAAATTCAAATGGTTTGCCACTGCTGTGCTGCCCTACGCTGCGACAGAGTCCATCTGACTGGCTGTTCTTGAAATACATTACAGGAACGGTATGATTTTCGGTGTTTGCTCTCCTTCCACACTCTACACACGGATATCCCAGCGTATGTATCGTGTGATATCCTATGTTCTGGTTTTGATATTCATATTTTGATATTATTTTGAGCTGGAGCTCCTCTGTTCTGATTTTTAACTACAGAAACGTTATCATTCGAAACGAATATACATATTATCTGTTGTATTGTATTTTGCTAGTAGAACATACCCACTTTCAATGCGGGGTATGCTCGAGTAAGCCCTCGCATTGGAAGCATTCCGTTATTTCTATTCTTGCTCTTTTGCACTCACCTCTCTCACAGCATTACAGCATTGCCATGCTTAAGCAAGTTCATAATTCTACGATAGAGTAGGGCATAATCAATGCAGATAGAAGACATACTGAAAATCCAAATGCTAAGGATATTACAAGACATCGTGTGGAAATATATGCTCCAAGCTAAACCGAAAACCATGTAGAGAATCCAACTGTAGTCGAGTATTACAATGCTGAGCGAGTATACAACATTTATGGAAAACAAAGTGTGTGCACTATTCGATGAGGCGAAAGACGAACTTCTTTCCTTGCGAATGACTAATTGTGTGCGTGAGGGGAGGGGAAGTAAGTGTCGAACGCCAAGTTCGATGACGAAGGCGAAGACGATGTTGATAATGGTGATGACAGAGTCGGGGACAGCTGGTGGCGAAAGCCAAGACTGAAAAGTCGGATGCCAAATGCCAATAGTGCACGAGCGCGATTGTGGGAAGCGACTTTCGGGAGAGAGTGGGCTCTCGAGTGGACGGGGTTGCGAAACTAGTACATCTACCAACAAGTCTCTTCTCTGATCATTGACGGGGTCGGGTCGTGAGAGCTATCTCATGTTTATAGAGCTGTACGAGTACTACACATTTCCATATGAACAGTAAATCTGGGCGATACTTAGGTTGATTGCTTTGCTGTTTATCTTGGCATCACATGTCGCAGCCACAAATCGCAATGCAATTGAAATGTACTATGCATGCTTAATGGAATTACTATTGCATGGTAATCGGTGCAGTGCAGTGCAGTGCAGTACAGTGTGGTGCGGCCTGTTTGCTTTGGACTGCGTTTGCATTCTCCCCGGGCATTAAACATTAACAATTTAGACTGCCTTTCATTGCAGTTTGAATCGATCAATAAACTATTTTTACTACCGATTCGACAACCGATCGCATGCCTAATGGTGTTTCCATATGGCTTCGTGTCAACTCAAACGATTGTCTATGTATAATTTGCTCTGATCTGAGGGGAATTTTTCGGCTGACCCACTCACCGGATTGACTCATCTTGAATCTCGAAGCTTGAAGCCCGCGTTTTGGCAGTGGAAACTTTTCCATTTTGGCACTTTCATTGTAGTAAACTCTGATGTACTGGGGCGTGAGGAGGGCGTTTATTAAAACGACCTCCAAGATATGTCAAGCGAGAGCATAATGTCTGGTTCCGCGCACAAACACGACCTACAATCTATTTACAATCTGGAAAAGTTTCCCAGAGAACACTTACGCTTGTGCCCGCATTTTAATAGTAGACTCTTTTTGTATTCTTATTTTTTGAGCAGGTCTCTAATTACTTTGTTTGGGGTTTCGGCTTGGGCTTGGGCTTGGTCTGGGGCTTAGAGCGGGAGAGAGTAAGTGCTTTTTTCTGCCTTTGAGTTCTTCACTGGCAACAAAATATATTAACGTTCACATGTACATATATATATATACATATATATACTGACGGTAGCCTGCGGTGAATGCGTAAATGTTTTATAATTCGGTGCCACAAAGTAGAACTTTTAATATCTAACCCCGGGAAGACGGCACACGACGAATGTCTGTTGGTAATGGGGGTAAAATGTGTGTTGAATGCGAAACTTTTTGCTTTTTGGTTTTTGCTTTCATTTGCCCACTGATTACAAAGCCTTTGCTGTTGCTTTGCCCAGATTTAACCAAACCGAACGAGACCAAACGAAAACCACTTGCCTACGAAATACATAAATGCACAAATATGAGTATTTTGTCGGAATTGTAAAAAAGTCGCAGCGCCAAGAGTTGCCCGGAGCATGACGAGCCACCGTGATTACGGAGAGATATAGATAAGGGTAGGGAGGTGCTTCCATATGTATGTACTGGGGTATGTGTGTCATAGTTCAGATAGAGATGGAGAGAGCCAGTTCTGAACAAAGCTCCCGGCAATAATCCCAGCGACTGTTCAACATCATCATCCACATCCACATCCACATCAATAATCATTCTAATAAGACTCGTTGGCATTTAGCATGGGACAGGGAACAGCAGGGGCGGCCTTTATTCCTATTTATTTTTAATTAAAGTGCAACTGCCGACGAGCTGCGGCTGGCTTTAGTCAATTTACGACTAAAAGTGGTCCAGGAGAGTGCCCCGACCAGGAAGGGCTGCCAGTTTGTCGTCGCAGCTCGAACTATTTGTTGTCGCGGTCTCCAAAACCATACTCCAGGGCGTTTATGCATTGGCGCCTATCATATCGGTATAGCTCCGTTATCGTCACTACCTCTGAACCTCTGAATGAACGCAGACACTGTACTTTCAAAGTGCCTTCAATTGCATAATGCAGTGTAACGTGTCCGGCTAGTGGCACGGAAAGGCTGCGGTTGCCCATGGCACGCGCGCGCCACAGCCGCAACTCCAATCCGAAAAGGGCCTACAGGCATGGCGCGGCTCGCCCATAATCACCCATAAGCTCACAGCTTTTATCAATGGTCCATGCACCATCTACCATCCGCCATCCACCATCCATCATCCATTAAGGCATCAGAAGTGCTAAGCCAATGACTGCTCCTGGGCCCTGCGCCCTGGGGCTTACTTTACTGACCAAATCGCGGCATTCTTTGTCACCGACAAATCATATATGTATGCGAAACGGTGCCATCAGCAAGCCAACTTTTAGGCATGTGGATGCGGTTGGCTTTAAGAGCGGAGAGCCCCCACAAAGAGCACTCGCCAATGCTCTCTCTCTCTTTCTCGCCGTTGCCACATTCTCTCTCTCGGTGCTTTGCAGCTACCAACTGGATGGTCTGCTCGGCGGAGGATGCCACTGCCTGCGACAAGCAACAATTTTCATTGATAAAAACGCCAGCTGCTGGATCCTGTGGCTCAGTCGTACGCGAGCCTTCAGTCAGTCCGTGCCGGATTGGCGAAAGTCCTTTGGGAGTCTGACGAGTCGGTCTTTTCGGTGGATCTCCTTTTTCCGTGTGAGGGTCCCAGACTTAATTAAAACTCGCGTACACGCCGCGTGTCAACAAGTTTATTTCCTGCATAAGCAGCTCAGAGCGGCTTACGAAGACATCAAACAAACGGCTTAAGGCCTTTAAAAAAATCACCATTCAGCATAATTTTACTGGATAAACAGTTGAATTCGCAGGAAAGTTTTACGTCCAATTGGCGCCACTCCACAATCGCAGTTGGTAAACTTTGGGTCCGCCCGATGATAAATTGTTAAGGAACTTTTCCCAAAGAGTTTTCCTTTTCGGCAGCAAGTGGCAATTGAAACGACAATTTCGCAATCAGATAACATTTAAGTTTCGGGAAAGTTACAATGCCGCTCTGGTAATCCAAATAAAAGCCGAGCCGAGCTAAAGTAAATAGATTCAGTATCCTCTGCGATTTGAAAAGACTGCACAATAAATCCAAAAGGTGAGCAGAGTCACTGATTTGATTGGTTTAGCACACATCCGCTACACTTAAACGAACAAATACACTCGCCAAAAAAGTTTGACCAAACTCAAAATATCTCGAATGAATCCTCGAAGAACTAATTTAGATGTAAGCAGCCCAGAAATATTGAGCTGAGAATAAAAAACTCCCTCGTTTACCAAATGAATTGAATCAGAAAAATGCTTGTTGTGGTCTCTTTTTTTTATGTTTCTAAAATGTTTCTTAAAAAAGAAATTTCCCATAAATACGTGTCCTAGAGAAAGCCAACTTTCTTGTTTCATTAAAGATCAATCTATCTATAAAGTACAAATTACTGCATCAAAACTGGTAAGTTGGTTGAAAACTTATAGCGGCACTGTATATATGTATATGTATTACAGGAATACCATGTTGATTGTGAGCCTTTGAGGATATTTTTATAGGATATTTATAGGATATGCTCCCAAATGCAAAAATGTGCAGGCCACAAAAGTACATATATTCCAGCCGAGATTTTAATTTAGGTATTAAGCCTAGATATTTAGTTGAATACAGCCCTAAACACACATTTCACACATAAAAAGTGCAACTTTGTTGGAAAGGTTATTGAATGGATCAGCATAATCGAGGATTTAAACTTTTTAAATCTCTTTACTTGCATTTACGAAACCTCTAGTCAAGTCTCTAGTAGAATCCCCATTCGTTTTCGGAGTAAAATACAAATATTGCTGGAATGAAATTTAACCAAAAGAAACCTAAAAGTACAAAAAGATGTACCAATGTTTTCTTACAAAATATTCAACCAACTCCTTTAAGTTTCATAGTTCTACTGAGCGATTAGCAATTCCAAGGATGATATATTTGTTCATTTTTGAATCATTTATGCCGTAAAACATCTGCAGTTATCTCAGATCTCTAGAGTTAATTTATGTGTCGCAAGTGCAAAATAAATTGCAGCGTTCCCTCAGTGTAGAAGTGTTGACTTTACATTTTTTGTGCTTAACTTTATTTGCTAGCCAGCATTCTGTCTGGCGTCATTTTTAGGGCTTTTTAGTTAACGCTTGTCACATTTATGATGAATAAATAAACTGCGATTCGAACTCGTGTCCAACCATATCCAATGCAACTTTCGATGGGGGAAAATTGTATTCCAGATACATTACTCATTAAGTTGTTCAACAGTCAGTTTATTTTAAGAGGATTTAGACTTCTCATTCATCCGTGAAAACACGGTAACGGGCGTCTTAATTGACAATTGAGAAAAGCTTAAGCTTGTTTGCTCATGGGCCGGAAAAACAATCCAATGTCCGAGAAACACTTGACCATCGCCCCGGCGACTAAGCGGATTCCAACGACATGTTCCATTCCGATGGAAGAAGCTGAAATATATCAAGAATGAGTCGACAAGCTGCAGTGCTGGCTCCATTCCTTTATCTTTATCTTTTTCTTTGGCTTTCTCGGTCTTTGGGCCCCGGCCCCATTTCGGCTAATATCGCCTCCTTTGTTTGTCAGACACACCTGAGTGGCCGCCGGTCTTTGTGACATTTACCAAGTTAACAAGTCGTGGCATCTTGCATCGTCTGACTTATAAGCCCCATGAAGAGGGGCTCGGACCCGGCCTGTGAGGATGCTCCTTGAGCAGCTGGCCTCGGGGAAACCTCTCTTGGCCTGCCCGGAGTGATGCAGGGCGTCCGTATCAGTTTCTCCTCCATGCTGCGCACCCTCTCACATGCCACTGCGAGTGCACTTCTGAGCTTTGGCCTGCCACCGGGTGGGTCACAATGCAATCCGTATCTTAAAGCTGTCGTGCCTTAAATCCAAGCAAAATGAATACTTGACATGCTCTAATGCGACGGCGTTCTCGGTTTCAGCAGCAGAGACCTGTCTCGTGGTCCCAGTATCTTAGCAGCAGAACCGGCATCAGCACCAGAACCATCACCCAGAATCATCAGCCAGCACCCGCATCCATCAGAACTACATTTAGGCCTTTAAGTGCCTGTTGATGATGGCGGCATAGAACTTTCAGTGGCAGCCTTGGGCGGCAAACATTTCATTTAGAATATCTAGACGGGCCAGGGGCAGAGGCAGAGGCAGGGGCAGGGGCCGAAAGAGGTGAGTGGTAAGTGCGGATGAGGACTGCAATAAACTACATACTACATACATAAGTGAAAACTGTGAAATGAAAACTGGCGCGAGCGTAAATCAATACACCCATGAGGGTCATGGGCTCACATCGTAAAAGCAAAAACAAAATCACAAAATAAATATGTGCAGAATTTTTCTTCGACGAGGATGTACCCCGTATCAAGGGTCAAAGGTGACCCTTCTAGTGAATCCTTTGTGGGTTTTACGAAAATAGCAGAATGTTCAATACGCTTGAGAAGTTTTTGCCAAATACGGGTTCACCGGAGCAGAGCTGCCTTCTGATGCTGCATATGAGAAATAAGTGAGGCACATTCCATTCCATTCCATTCCAGGCGAGTCCTATGAGCCCGTTCCACAGATATGTGACAGATATATGCGTCCTGCGTTTCCGAGTGGGAGTGCAGAAACGAATGCCAGTGGCAGTCAGACCCTTTAAAGCTTCCCCCAAACGCGACATGACTATTTAAAGTCCTATAATGGTCGGTATGCATGTTCCTGTACCAGATATGTGCATAATACATTCATATGGTGCTTGTTCGGTGGCTGGTGGAAACTTTTTTATACAGCAATTATAACCAAATTCGTGTTTTCATGGGGATTCCCATATGGGATCCACCAAGGCGAACAGATCCAACGGAACGTGACGAAACTAAAGCCCGTAAATTGTCGTTAATCATGGTGTTTTCCACGCCAATTTGTCTGGATATTGCATTCACAGCAGAGACAGGGGCAGAGGCCGAGACAGAGCCAGAGCCAGAATCTCGATTAATGGTCTTCCAAGCCGAGTTCCAGGAAAACGAATGAAACAGTCTGATGAATTCGACAAGAGCTTGCCAAACCAAGCAGTGACAGTACTACATTTTTTTTTTTTATGTTTTTAAGCATTATAAAATGTTTAACGATTCCTGGAAAGTGCCAAACTATGGATGGTTGAAGCATCAATACTTCAGCCAACAGCAGATAAGCCAACTTTACAACGTCCTTGAAATGGCCACGTTCTTTGAAAATATTTGCTTGTCAATGTATCCATTGCTATTAGATTGCTGTTTTTGATGGGCAAAACAAACCCGTTTACCATGCACTCGTACATTTATGACGCCATCCTTTCATGATGTTATAGTATATTTACAAACAAACGAATATATATATACATACTCGTATGTGTATGTAATCCAAAGGTATTCATTTCGAAGCATCCTTTTGACGAGCTTTGCTTTGCGCTCTTTGATTATTAATTGAATTTATTCGCGTGTTTGTTTTTAGCATAGAGTGCACATTATTGCCCAGATATTTTTATTAGGCTTTAGGCTTTAGACTTTATACTTTGCGTATTTGTTTTATTGGTTTGAGAGCAACAGATCAAAAGAAAACTAATAAAAAAATACACTACTGAAGAATTTCAGCAGGACCTGTATACGGGCTAAAATCGATCTATCTGTAAGCCAAGGCAGAAGGTAGGAAGGAGCCAAAGAAAAGGCCAAATTATGTCCAAGAATAGTTGAACCAAGAGCTCCCGGGACTTCCATCCAATCGTCGAACTTTGTCCCCATAAAAACGTTGTTTGAAAACACGCAAAGTTTTCCCTACACATATTTATGCATAACTTGTCTCCTGCCAAGTTTCCATAAAACGTTTACATTGGGAACACGAATAAATTAGATTTTATTTAGAGCAAAAACAGGGGTAATCCGTGAGCGGCGTGTTGCTGCTCAGCGTGATGTGATGGCGATGCAACGCCTCTTATCCTCATTAACAGCATTGATTGGTGCCCCCACTGGAATCCAATAGCGATTACACTATTCAACACAACTATTTTTAGACATTGATTTAAAGTATTCCACTATTTCTACCCATTTACATATATTGCCTCCAAAAATATATTTATAATTTAATCAGAGAGAAAAGACTAAAGTAAAAATAGGTTGACTAGTGTAGCATATTTATTCATACCTTGTCGTCTGCCAAGTTTCCGTAAAGTTCACCCCTCCCCCGTATCCGCCCTCCTCCAAACACAAACTTGATTTCATTGAAAGCGATTAGGAATAGCACAGAACCCCATATGGTTATGTATCCCTGCGCATCTGGGATACATTGGTCATTTCACATTTATGCGAGTTGAAATGTAATTATCTGCGCTGAGAAGCTGGTTATTAACATCTATTCAATGAAATGCATCCATGTGGTCTTGCTCAATAATTGTGTTAAGAAATAATCAAAGTAGGGGCAGCTGTCCTTCCAGTTGAATGGTTTCGAAAGGCTGCTGATACGGCCAGTACGGCTTACTTTTAATAGCAATTCAAGTACATACCAACTGAATATAAAATAATTAGAGCTGGAAAAGGCCCACTCCCACTCCCACCACCACGCCCACACCCACACCCACGCTCAAAGCTCGGACCGAGTACTATAATTTCTATGCAGCACTCGCCACAATTTAGTAAAGTGATTCCCACTTATCTGCATTGTTCATTATGGGGCTCCCATCAACCTCTGAATGCTTTTTATCCTAGTCCCGCCTAGTCCCCCCCCCCGAGCGCTCTCCGCAATGCAATTGCCATGACAGCTGTTTGCACTGGCGGTAACATCAGCCGAAAGAGCTTTGCTCCGCAAACGAAGGAGCAGCCACTGCAACCACAAGAAATTGAAACTTAATTTAAATAAATTATTGTTGCTTGCTCTTTTGCGCCCGCTCTCAGCGATTTGCGTCCTTGCAAGTGGCCGGATAATTGTCCCCACCCGTCCCCGCAGGCCGTGCCCAGGCCGCAGTTCTCCGGCAGATGAGAGGCGGGAACCTTTCAAACCATTTCCACCAGTAATTAAATTTTGAGTGCAGATGAAATTGTACCGGAAAAATAAAGAATAAGATGCATTTGCATTTGCATTCGGAAGCCAAATCCTGGTGCACCAGCCAAATGTGCAAATTCAATTGAAGGGCCAGTAATTCCCATATAAAAGAGCCACCGTGGAGGTCTGCACGGGCCTAGCACGGGCGATAGATAACACTTATATAAAGGCCTGGCCGATTGCGACGGCAGTGGCGATACATTGAAAGGACTCGACGCGACACGATACGACTCGGCACGACACGACTCGATTCGACTCTAATCAAATGAATGTCAAACGTGCACTAACAAGTCACGCCAGTTCGCACAAAAGAAAAAAGGCTGGAGCTAATGGGCTCCCTAGTTAGAGAGGTTGTCGCCTAACAGGTCTGGTGGGGTTGCTCACATGATTCTATTTCTTTGAAGATTGGCGATGGGGGAGATTCACTTCCTTTGATTCCCCTTCTGTGAAGCGGCTGCTGGGGAAACATCAATCACGTTTCAGCAACTGTCCTGAGCGATTGTTGTTCGACAATTCGATTAATCTGCTTATGACAGCTTCCAAACGTGGCATACAATCAGTCAACATCTATTTTTGTCTGCCCAGGCTGGGAACCGGCCATTAAAGTGTTTTTTGAAATCAATTCAATATGTATTTCGCAAACTGAAGTGCAACGTTGCTCAGATTTGGTTTCAACTAGTTACACCCAATTGACCAATTGCTTATCGACCAAATACGTGGAACTGTTCAAGTGAAATTTCCTACTCTTGAATGAAAACTCAATCGGGAACAGTTTTCCCTTCTTTTGCGCTCAAATTGAACAGAAATAGTTCATTGTATTGCGGCAAATGGCTTGCTAGTTGTTTATATTATCTGATTCTATATTTTGTTCATTTTCTACTTGGCATTCGCGTATTGGCCTATTGGGAGAAAGTACGGCCCAAAGTTTGAGCAATCTGACAAATCATTGTTTAAGTGGCGTTCAGTTTTTGTGTGTGGAATTTCTTGAAAAGTCACTGAAAAGAGCATCTGCTGCAGTCTTTTGAACTGTCGCACATGGCACATTTGTGGGGCACTCAGGCCCAGCCTGTGCACAGCTCAAATTAACTGACAGCCGACCTTAGCTGCTTACTTGCCACATGCCTCTAGACGCCGGCGCCCAAACATGTTTCCTCATGTGTGGCGATGGGAACGCCGTCCTTTATGAATGATTAATTGCCGTTAGCATTGCCAATGCCATTGCTTTTTGCCACAGAATTTCAACAAATGGGACAAAACGGCTCGTTTCGATTTGCAGGAAAATTTATTTCGCATCGAGCCAGAACAAAGGCCGAAAGTTATGAGGGCAAAAACCAAAAACTAGTGTCCTTTGTGCGCGCAGAGCAAGAGCAAGGGCTATGACAAATTTCAATTGGCCAATTAGTGCCAATTAAATGGCATAAAGCACCAACCACAGCAGCAGCCACAGCCAGCGCCGCATTCAGGCCGTTTACAAAAACTGAACTATTTTCCAGCGGGATCTCCCACAAAAGGCAGAGCCGTCAAGAGTTGTAAATATAATAATACTCGCATAATAAGAAGACGCTGGAGCGGAAGGACCCGGGACCTGGTCACTTGTAGTTGTTGTACTCTCGTTGTGCAGTTGTTCTGCTGACTGAAAGCTGAAGTTGTTCTTTTCCAGCTGCTGTTTCTGCACAAACTTTTGTTATCGGAATTTGTCTTTGGCCTCGGCTGCCAAGTGCTCTGACTCTGACTCTGACTCCGCCTCTGGTTCTGGTTCTGCCGCTGGCGCTGGCGCTGGCTCTGACTGAGTCCCGCGAAGGAGGTTGACTTTGAGAAGTTCATGTTTAAGTTTTAGTTGTAGAGCACTTGCGGCAGAACCTCAAGTTCGTGAGTCCTGCAGGGCGCACGTGGCCGGATTCTAGTTATTTAATAAGCAATTAAGTTGCCCTAATTAACAAGGCTTCCCAGGATTTGCATAATCAGTTCTCATCGGAGTAGGTGCCGGACTGAATGAATGCTTGCCTGAATACCTGCCTGCCTGGCCGCCTGTCTGGACAGTCCCTCCAGCAGCTCAGCCGCAGAATTTGGGTTACATTCAGGTGTTAATTGATTTCAGTTCCGTCCTATTAATTCATTGGGGGTGGACGCACCATCATTTTTGTCTCGAGAGGCCGTTCGAGCAAACATATAAATGGCGGCAGACTCCGTGTGGCAAGTTCAGTTGTTGCCAAAACATGAACGTGTTCAGACCTTTGTGAAACGCTGCGCATGTGCCAAATAATAATTGAAATTGAGTTGCTTTTCAGATTTCAAGTGTCTTGTGGTGGAATAATAAACTACACTGTACATCTATCCTTTATAGGCCAAATAAAGTTTCGACCCAATTCGTAGCACACTTTTTCGGGCATTTTTCGGATACCTTTGTATTTAACTCTTGAGCGGCATCAACAAAAATATAGTTAAATATGTCAATTAAAGAGAGGAAGTGAGAAAATACTTAAGTTTGGATTTCTTTCAAACTCCCTCCATCAGAGCCAAGACAATGTTATTGGTTTCACGCTGGTTGTAAGAACTTCTTCATCGAGGGCCCACCTGCTGCTCCCTCCCTGGTTGATAGACAAAGGCTGATGTTAAGTTTAGGTAAGCAATTTAATGCAATCTGTATTCCGAACGAGGCAGCCGAGAAGAATCATTAATAGAGACTTCGGTGGTGGCTATCAAAACCTCCTTTAGAAGTCATCATCACTGGTCATCTTGCATCTAGAGTTGCAATCTTTGTATTGGCGTCTTTATTATGCTTCAATTTCCGATATGCTTGTGATTCGTTTCGCTTGTTCCCTTTGGCCGTATGACCATATTCCTTACCGTTTATTTTAAAAACACTTTCTAGATAGTTCACGCCTTTTCCGTTTACTTATAAATACACAGAAATGAAGATAATCCGAGTAGCGGGTATCGAATTTTGTTTGTCTTAAACTTTGCTGAGGGCCCAGGTTTAACTTTTTAAGTTTTTGGTTGAGACAAGGACCGAGCTGAACCTCTAAAATGTGATTAAATTGATGCTGAAATAACTACTAAGCCATGACCATCCGCAAGAAGGCGGAGGACTAATCAAACCAAGAGCATCGATTAAGAGAAACTACGCTTTTATATGTCCTCTTTCAGCCATCCCCTGGCCGAGGGCTAATTGGTTGTGTCTGTGCACATTGAAAATGCTTCGTGACCGCCGCGTCCGCCATGATGCACTACCAATGAGGACAGCCGGGGAGCTGCAACACGAGGCAGCATTGCCAAATGCGGTAATTGGAGCGCCGACAAGTAAATAAGCGCAATCCCAGCGTCCAAGCGGAACTCACCTCTGAGGCACATCGGGCACACGCAACCTGTCACGTCCCGGCTCCAGTTTGAGTTTGGAGAAGCCCGTACATTTGGCAAAAGGCGAACCGCACGCCATGGTCATGGAGGCCCTCATGGCAGCCCTGCCCACGCTGACGACGGAGGCAGCTGGCAGCAGCCTCTGGCTCACCAGTGCGCTGTCCCTTTCCGAGATGCTGGCCAACAGTAGCACCAGCCCCAACGCATCTCTGGTTGCCACCACCAGCTCTGCGGCCGCAGCGACGGCATCCACAACTTCCGCAGCGGAAGCTGTGGGAAAGGTCCCAGACAAGCACGAGGTGAATGACAATGTATCTACGGTACTGAGGTAATTATCCAAATGACCTGAGGCTAATTCCAAAAGATGAAGGGCTCTGTGTAGCCTTTGGAATTGTATGTACTTGCTAAACATCCTTTGATTACTTCCAGTTCATATCCCGGCTATATACACTATCGCGACAAGTACGACCTCAGCTACATTGCCAGAGTGAACCCGTTCTGGCTGCAATTCGAGCCGCCGAAATCCAGCACGTTCTACCTCATGGCCGCCCTCTACTGCCTCATCTCGGTGGTGGGATGCGTGGGGAATGCGTTCGTCATCTTCATGTTCGCGAACCGCAAGTCGCTGCGGACGCCGGCCAACATTCTGGTGATGAATCTGGCCATTTGCGACTTTCTAATGCTCGTCAAGTGTCCCATTGCAATATACAACAACATCAAGGAGGGGCCGGCGCTGGGCGATGCAGGTGAGTAGCGATGCAGGCAGGAGATTGGGCGCTGCCCCCCACTAACCAACTCTACCCGCAGCCTGTCGCATCTATGGATTTGTGGGCGGCCTAAGTGGCACCTGCGCCATCGGGACACTAACGGCCATCGCCCTGGATCGGTACAATGTCGTGGTACATCCGCTCCAGCCCTTGCGCCGCTGCTCGCGACTTCGCTCCTACCTGATCATCTTCCTCATCTGGTCCTACAGCTTCCTCTTTGCGGTGATGCCCGCCCTGGACATCGGGCTTTCCGTTTACGTGCCGGAGGGATTCCTGACCACCTGCAGCTTCGATTATCTGAACAAGGAGACCCCTGCGCGCATCTTCATGGCCCTCTTCTTTGTGGCCGCATACTGCGTTCCCCTCACCACCATCGTGTACTCGTACTTCTACATCCTCAAGGTGGTGTTCACGGCGAGCCGCATCCAGTCGAACAAGGACAAGGCCAAGACGGAGCAGAAGCTGGCATTCATCGTGGCTGCCATCATCGGCCTGTGGTTCTTGGCCTGGTCGCCCTACGCAATCGTGGCCATGATGGGGGTCTTCGGCCAGGAGCGGCACATCACGCCCCTGGGCTCCATGATACCGGCACTCTTCTGCAAGACAGCCGCCTGCGTGGACCCGTACTTGTATGCCGCCACGCATCCCCGATTCCGCGTCGAGGTCCGCATGCTCTTCTTTGGACGCGGCGTCCTGAGGAGGGTTTCCACCACACGATCCTCATACATGACCCGCTCAAGGTCCTCGTTCAACCGACGACTGCGTCCAACCCCCGACGCGGAACACCGGGTGGAGTCCTACCTAATGAACAACAACCTGATGATGGTGCCCGAGGAGACGGAGGAGAACGAGGAAATTGTCGTTGTGGCTGAGTTTAACAACTCCTCGTACAGCGGCATGGAGCAGAGTAAGTTCTAAAAGGTAAGAGCAAGTCGCACCACTGAAAGAGCAGATGACGATCTGCCAACCTGGAACTGGAAGACACATACATAGATATGAGTGGCGTTGTGGCGCAATCTGTTTAACATCGAATCCTCGGAATCCTCAGTCATAGGGGAAATTTGTCATGCATACTCGAACACACACTGGGGACCCGAAACGAATGCGCAATGTGAATCTCTATGCCACAAAGAAGAGCCAACTGCTTTGTTCGGTCACTGCAATGGATGCCATGCCGCCGAGGGACTCCCACATCGCGCCCCATAATGAAAGCGAACGAAAAATGAAACGGAAATGAAAATGGAACTGGAACTCTTGGCCATTGTGCTGTGTGTTATGAAATCCCTCTTCCTTCTCAAGGAGGAGAAGCCATAGCCATAACGATAGCGACAGCGACAGCGATAGCGATAGCGACAGCGACAGCAACTGAAGAAAGTGATAGCAAAACAAACTCGTATTTAATGAGCTTACGGAATGTTTTGAGGGAATCCGAGTACAATAGTCGAAGTACAGCATGTGCAATAGGAACTGGTAATTATGTAAGTCTAGGGAATTAAGTGGTAGGCATAAGCAAAGGCAACATTAGTACAAAGAGCGATTCGATTGGGAGTCGCAGAGGCCGAGCCTGTGACAGTGGCCGTGGCAGTGGCAGTGGCCATGGCCCGCCGGGCAATGCGATGGAAATACGACACATAATATCAGGGAAAATCATACATTGAATCTGGATAATTGGGCAAGCCGGACGCACGTCTGGCATTAGCAACTAGGGGAAATTTCGGGGGACAGCGACAGGATGATATTAAAAGGATTTTCAGATTGTTTTTGTGTTCGGCCACTATTTGAGGGGTGCACAATCAGCCTGATTGCGACCCATTTCAATTGCATTGTGATGGCAGCTTAGTTGTGCATTAGAGCTTTCAATTATTCAAGGGAAGCCACAGATACATTTTCAATTTCGCAAAGTAAATTAATTTAATTGCTTTTATGTCTTGATGTCTACTCCTGTGGCCCCGTGTACCTTATAGATATAGTGGGATCTGATCTGTATGTTTGTATGTATATCGTAATCACTCTACCTAACTAAGCGAACGACTCTGATAAAGTCAACGAGTACTTGTACCTGTCACGACGATAGAACATAGAAAAGGAACTAAGCAACCTATATATCGAATTTATACCCCATAAATGTACTACTCTATCTGTGTATCACTTTTTTTTTGTATGTATGTATGTATGTATGTGTGTGTGTAAGAATATGTACTATGTCCATGTATTTAGGGACAGTACAATTACAATGGGCCGGAGAACAATGACGGAACAGAAGATGAACCAGTCGCCAAGCATTTTAATTACGAGAATACAAATTTAAGCCATTGTTGGGCAAACCTGTGTACTGTTTCCTTCGAAATGGTGGAGAACAATAGGCACGGACACAAGCACGGATACAGTGGCACTGGCACGGGCACCGGCACGGCCACGGGCACGGGCATGGGCATGGGCTCAGGTCCAGTAACTCGTACCGTGTTGGTTGTAATGGTCCTCAAAACAGAATTGCAGAGAGTACCTGGCCAACAACGTGAAAGGGAAACAGAGCAAAGGGAAAACAATTTAATTAGCATATTTAAAATGCACTTTGACAGCAGTTTATTTTTGTGTGTGCAAGCGCTTGTATCCAAATTAGTTCAATTCCGTAATTGTTTAATAAACATGTTTTGTATTTACGGCAATGTTGAACCAAAGAACCTTCAATAAATGTGTGCAAAATGTTGTAATTAAATATATTTCAAGGGCCATAAGCGCCGCTTCCCAGCCGTGGGTCATCCAACAGGTGCACGGGCCAGCAAATGAAAATATTTCTGAGTATAAAAACGACTGCACAGGACCTAATATAGTGAGTGTGTGTGTGTCTGCTGAAAGATCCCAGCAGCAACTAAATCCACACGAGTCCATTGTCTTTTGATTCCGGCTGATAATGCAATCTGCTGCACACCCCTTCCCCAGCAGCTGCAGCAGCATAAGCAGCCGCCACGGGGCGTATGCTTTATTTGCGCCGAAAGAAGCCGCATGCATTTCCCCGTATTTTTTGAAGAGCGCATACTCACAAGAGCCCCCCACCACCAAGGTATACTGAGTAGAAGGTAAGTCATTCTCCCAGTCTCAAAAAGGTTACATTACAATCATCCGCCTATCTGGATCTATCCGTATTCACGGGGACGTTGTGAGATGCGGCAAGATCCACGGCTCTACTTTATGCCTACAAAGCAAACAAATCATAGAAATCAAACCGCTTGGGAGATGTTTGTATATTAGATTATATCTGTTTTCTTTTTTTTTAACAGTTTTTTATATTATTACACCATAATCTGCCGAAGGAAGTGCAGTAAGTGAGAGAGAGAGAGAGAGAAAGAGATGGGGAAGAAAAGAATTAGTAAGCGCGTGACAAGCGCATTTCTTTCTTCTGGCTATAACAATAATCTGATCTGATTCAGATTCAACAACCTGCTAGATATGGCCATTCTCTTTCGTTACCTGTAGGGGCGGAAGGTGGCGGGGCGAAATTTTGACTTGAAACAGTATGAAATCACGGGAGTCTAGATAAAAAATTTGGTTTCTCTAGCTCTTATGGTCTCTGAGCACTAGGCGCTCGACTCAGCTATTGATGCTGATCAAGAATATATATACCTAATGGGGTCGGAATATTACACACCTCCAGCTTCACGAGTATACCGGCATTTCTGTTGTATAGTGGCTGCCTTCGCACCTTCAATGAAATATACCTTGGGCTAAACGATGTAACAGAGAGAAAGAACGAATAAGAGAGAGCGTTTGCCCACGTACAGTGGACGCCATTTGAATAGAAACCTCCTTTAGTACCAGCTCCAACAGCTGAGAGATTTGCCCAGTATTTCTGGCTGGTGGGGAAACACGGGGCCAGACACGACGCCGGCGCCGGCTGTGAAAGCAGAGCAAAAGCAAAATCCACACGCAGCATAACAATAATTTCAGTCGTATTTTTCCCGACCAGCCCGCGGTTGTTGTTCCAACAAAGATTTCTTCCACACCCAAAACGGAACTTGTTTAAACAGAAACTTTTATTTATTTTACACATATCGAGAAAAGTGATTGCCGGCTACAGAGGCAGAGGCAGAGGCAGAGGCACAGGCAGTGCAGCAGCCGTCGAGTGAGTGTGTGAGGAAAAGTGAGAGAGGAAAAGTGAAAAGCCGGGCGCAATAAGGGGAAGAGAGCGAGTGATTGCCAGCATCCAAGGAAAGCCAACCCACACCCCAACCTCAATCCCTAGTCCAAACACCAGCCGACCCAAACGACTCCCAGCTCCCGCGCTTATGCTCGGTTTCGGTTCGTTTTATATACCCGTAAAGACTACGGGTGTAGTGCCCCCGCGTTTTGCCTAATTGTATTTCGATTTTCCGCTTTTTTTCCTGCTCCCAGCTCCCAAAGGCCACTTTGTGGGCATACAGCATACAGCCATGACGGAGCAAGTGGCGCCTTCAACGTGCTCCACTGTATACTCCACTGTGTACTCGATGGCATGTGTGTGCCGATGCTACAACTCGTATTGTGTGGCGTGCCCGTGCCCCGTCGATGCCCAGACAAATATTGACTAAACAAACGCCATGTAGGCAATATTATTGCTAGCGATTTATCTCACTGCACAATGCACAGCCAGCCGCCCACATCGTTTACAGGGTGACCCCAGACATGCACACCCGTCTGGGCACAAGTGCCCCCCCATATGGGAATGTTTATGTATCCACGGAATCCGGCAGTCGCGTGTCTATAGCCCGGGCCATGTCGACAGTTAACATTCGACATTCGACATTTCATGCTCATCGCCATCGCAATCGCAATCGCCCACTCGTTTATCACCTGCGATTGCCAAGTCTATTAGGGTCGCGCGCCTTAAATTTATTCTCAACTTTGGGGCACATTCCGCACGTTCCCCTGGCAAGCACTTCTGAGGACTCTCTCTGTGGGACAAAATGTCTGGCATACTCCGGCGAACAGCGAAAGCAGACAACAGCGCCCGAATGACAATTGAAAGGAACACAAATGAGCATGCAAAGAACGGCACTCGAGTGCATAGACTAGCCTGGCGGCGGGTGGGATTCCGTTCCTCCGTTATCCATTCTCCTGTCGGCACACTCAAATTACTCATACGACGGGTTGGTTGCCTGTGCAACAGAACACAATGCCAGGCACCACCTCAAGTGACGACGCGAACGACTGTCGCCGGTTGCACCGTCACTCACTCTGGCACCCAGATCCAGTCACTGCCACAGACACCGATTGAGGTGTTGTTTGCACACAGCCTTTGAAGGAATTGTTAATCTGTGAATTCGCACACCCCCATTCGCAGGGCGGCAACTATCCGCGGAGCGGGAATGTGCTCATAGTGTGCCACGAGTATTGGGATTTAATACACTTTCATGTACCCAACACTATCTGAAAGGTGAACATCCCTCGAGGAAGTTCGCTTGGGGCTCCGCTCAGAAACCCTGTGGTATGATGGGATGAAGGCAGAAAAATAATAGAACCCTCAACTTAAGCATTAGTTGAATAAGATTGATTCGAAACGACAGAAGGAGCTGAATCCTTTTTATATGCTGACTGAGGGACGCTCTTTCCGCATGAGTAACGTTGACAAACTCAAAAGTCTCCCCGAGGGGCCCGACCATTCAGATATTTTGAGGCACATCCATCCCATCCACATAACGTTTGGCATGTCCCAGGCCCTTATGAATGAAACATGGCATTCGAAGATTGCGTGAGTACTGTGGGGTGCTACTCTTACTATTCGCAATTTGAAATTCATACCGCATGCTACAACGATTTCACTTTTCTGCTTAGATAAGTTTTCAATACCAATGCTTGGCTGCATCTTCCTGACTTCCCCCGTGACGTCAATTGTTTCGGCTCTTTAGTTCCGATTCGTTTGGGTTTGCTTCATCTGCTCGGTTCGGCTTGCCTTTTATGGGGCAACAACAGCCGCAGCAGCAACAGCAACAACAACAGCAATGAAAACAAATCGGAATAGTTTCCCCTGCCAGCATTCTGGCAGCCTCCCATCTCAGAGGCGATGTATTAATTAATTTGGGCAGCAGCCGCACACTACTCGAACTACACTTTTACTCTTTTTACCCTTGGAGAGGGTAGACAGATGTTTGTAGGTCGTTTGACCAGATTTTTGCATCGCAGACAAGATCTTGATCGGAATTACTCCCAGGGGCTTAAAGTTTTCGATCATACATATACACCCCATAGGAACTATGAATGTGCACACCTTAGGCGCAAAAACCCAGATTCAAAGATGCTAGAGTATCAAAAGATTCGACATGTAAGTCCCAGCTAGCCTTCGCTTCCCTTGCACCGCCCATTGTATTCCCAACTGCAGTTGTTTCTCCCAGTCCCAGTCACTGTCCCAGTCACTGTCCCAGTCCGAGTCCCATTCTCATTTTCGTTTTCATTCTCAGTATACCATTCATTAAGAGGCAGCCCCGGTGCGCACTGATGAGCGCTCGCTGCGCTTTTTGGCAACAGTGCCAGGAGCAGGAGGAGGTGGAGTAGAGGGCTGCTGGGTGTCTTGCTTGGAATGCAATTCACCGTGCGTGTACTCCGCCTCTGCACCGGCACCTGCCCCTGACGCTAGCGCAGTGCCTGTGCCTGTGCCTTCGATACAATCGGGCGGTATATGAATTTATAATTGCATCATTTTTGGGCACACAGGCTGCGAACGCTGCGAGGATGACATTCACTCGGTCACTCAGGCTGCAGTTGTAGTTGCAGTTGCAGTAGACGTTGCCGTTGCCGTTGCCGCTGCAGATGCAAATTCAGTGGCATATACGAGTACATGCGCGTATGACAAATTTGCATGCCATCCCACCGTGAGAAATGCGTCAAATGGTGCGCCTTCTCTGGGTTCATTTCAATAAAAACACTCGGGATGTGTTGCACACAGCTGAATAAAATTTCTTGTCCCCTTTTCTTTTTTTGTTCTGTTTATTTTCATAACTTTGCAAATACCGAAATAACGCATTGGCCCAAAAAACCAATTGAAATATTTATAAACTCCCAAAAACCAATCACTAGCCCGCATCAGTGGCAAAAAATGCCTCAATTGGGTAATCACTGAATGATAAATGGCGCCTAATAATTACTTGTTTGGATAAAATTTTCGGGTTACCGAATACGAGTATTAACATAACAAAACAATTCTCAGGTATTGCCTTATAAACAATTCGTCAGAACACATAAATATGCACCTGTATTTGAGGTACAAATAGGAAGACTAGAATAGATTTATTGTGTGAAAAGTTTCTTGGAACTGTATTTATACACAAAAATTTCTATGGAGTAATAATACTTCTCCCAGATTTGGCAAGCCAAAGGAACAATCAATATGTATGGATATATTCTTGATCGGCATCTTTAGCCCTTCTGTCTGGTGGAAGTGGATGTGTGTAACACCCAGAAGGAAGCGTTTCCGACCCTATTAAGTACATATATTCTTGATCAGCATCAATAGCCAAGTCGATCTAGCTATGTCTGTCTGTCTGTCCGTCTTGATGAGCGCCTATATCTCAGATAAACACTGTGTCCTCTGAGACACAACCTCTCGTTGTTAGATGTGTTCATACAGATGTACGAGTACATATAAGAAATTCACACCATTCCTTATGGGAACTTCATTTCTTTCCTCCAGGCACAAGCAGGGGATGGATGATGACTGAACTTAGAAACTAGTGGAATAGAAGAGGGCCAAAGGACCACGCGCAACCAAGCACCGAAGCCATCAAAGAACATATCATTTTGTGAAGGAACCTAGTATCAGTATTAACAGCATGTTGGACATCACTTGGCTACCCACCGCCTGCGGCTCTCTGGCACCTGCCCTGATACCGCCGGCACACATTGCCATTCTGTGGTACTTCTGGGAGAACTACTCCCGGTACGTGGACAGGCACTTCTGCACTTGCTCCTGCTGGGACACCGTGTTCAAGGGCCCCTACGAGTCGGGGGTGGCCGCCTACAAGCACATGTACTTCAATGCCACTCCCAACAGCTTCAAGATGTGGATACTGACCGTCTTCGCTGTGATTGCCCTGTACGAGTGCATTAAGCGGCTCATCGCCCTGATCCTGCAGAGCCGCGTGCGGTACTCGATGCTGCTGCTCTTCCTGCTGTCCATCTTCTCGCACTACTACGCCTGGTGGGCGTACATCAACTACTACAACGACGACTACTACAACCAGTGGAACCACCAGCTCTTCTTCACGGTAAGCTCACAACTTTCAAAGTCAAATATCCCGGAACATGCTGCTGTCATATGTGCCCCTAAGACTTGTCTTAGCCCCAAGTGCCGCAGCGCCGGTCATCCATAATTTATTGCCAAAGTTCGTTCGATTGCGTGCTCTAAACTTGGACAATATCCTCGCCTGCTGAGGATGGGAGCATTTTTCCGAGCACTTCGCACTTTTCCTGCACTAAGCGCTGGTGGGCGCCCGCGGGGCACAAGATAGCACTGCAAAATATAGGCCCTGCGAGGGCTGCAAGGTAATAAGTTTCAAGTGCAAATCTATCCCCGTAAAAGTATAAACTCAAAAGTTTAACCCCGTTAATGAGCAATTCACGAGGGCGAAGAATGAGTGGGCTGACCTAGAAAATAATAATGGAAATCTGTTTGCCAGCCTCGTTAATCTGATTGCCTTCCAGGCAGCAAATGGCCGGATTGGATTTTCTCAATTTAACCGATTGCTGGTTCCATAACAGCCATACAAACTATTTTCCGCAATTCAAAGTTTTTATTTCTTGAAGTGTTCAAGAAACACATTTCAATTCCATCCGTTTACATACAAATGTAGGGGAGTTGAGACCGCTTCGACATGACCTTTAAATATACCTTCATATATTCGTGGAACACCTTTTGAGCGGAACTTTAACCTGCTGAGTCGAACCTCAGTCGATCCAGAAATGATTCTGGAATTATCTCGAGTGTACATATGTCTGTACATATTACTTCTCGAAATTGATCTTATCTATAAATTTGCATCCCAATTTTCCAGATTACCGAACTGTTCTCAACGGTGCTGGTGATGCACCTGGCCAGCACCACTAATGTGGTCACACCGAAGAAGGTCTTCTGCATTGTTGGCATCGCCCTGCTGCACATCCTCGCCAGCAGCTTCGATCAGTTCTTCCTTAATGTAGTGCGAGGCGAGGGCTACGCCCACCAGATAGTGCGGGACATTGGATTCATGGTGCCCGATCTGCTGCAGCTCTTCGTTCCGGTATGGCTGCTCCGTCAAACGCGACGTGAGAGCTACTCCACGCGGCCCTTCTATCGGGATCGGAAGCTGCATCGCGACATCGTGGCCATGTTCTGCCTGGTGTCTCTGCTGTTCGTCCTGTGCACGGTTTTGTGAGAGCGAATCATGCTGGACGCCTACGAGGAGACGCACGGCAAGATCGAGCCCGTGCAGGATGCAGCGGTGCAGCTGCTGAACCGATATCGAATGCTGGCCAGTGGCAATATCCACAACTAGAGACAGAACTGACGGACCCGCATCGAGGTGGACTGGAGAGGACAATATGCAGCACTTGGCAGTAAGTGCAGGGCGCCAACACGTCCCGATTCCTGTAGAATTTTGTATTTTGATTTACCATTTGTGATAGTTTTTCTTGTCGTGAGTGTTCTTTCTGAACATTTTGTTTTTTTTTGTGGTTTTTTTTTGAAGTGTTGAAGCATATCGGTAAGCATAATCAGCTAACTAATCAAGGTACATAATCAATACAGAAAACTGTAATCTTCCATTTAGAAACAATGTTGACCGATGTTGATGTTGAGTTGAGACATAATCCCATAGTTGAACTAGGTATACACATACAATAGCATAGATATACATATACTAGAATCGAGCGTAGGTGTAGCCTCCCCCTCTAGATACAACGAACATGTGAACACGAATGAGCGTGCACTTGTCCGTAGAGACCTACATAGTGTGTAGTGACATTGGTTATACAAAAGAACAGCGATGGATTATGGATTATGGATGTGGATGTGGATGTGGACTGTGGATACCCTCCCCACCCGATGTTATAGTACTACCTTAACGTGTTACATGTGTGACTTACGACTGTTGTTCGATAATAATAATAACAATATTATACATGTGCATACAAATGGCAAACCCAATATTCCAATACATATACATACATACATACATAGTAGTAGTAGAGACCCAAATCGTAGTAATCAAAATTAATGTTAAACGAGATATTGTTACAAGGAAATCAAAAAACAAACCATCAAATATTAATATTTGGAATAGCCTATACATATACACGTACACGTACACATACACATACATTATATACACATATATACCTATATATTTTAGTATACAAGAATATATTGAATAAACTTTAAGAGACTGAAAATCCAGTAGTTTCCCTAGCATCCGACAAAATGGTAAGTTCCACACACACTTTTCAGTTGTTTATAGTTTTATTTTATTGAAATTTAAAAATTAAAAAAAAACCTTTCATTGTCTCGTTTTTTTTTGTTTTTGTTTTTTTTTTATGTATATAATATAGTTCTATAATCTAGATTTTTGCAAATTCAAAGTTTAAGACGTTTAAACTGCATTTTCCAAAAATACAATTTGCCTTTCGATTTTTTTTTTTTTAAAGTAGCTGATTTGTTTAGCCACAAAACGATTCGATTCACGTGTTCTTTTGTGTGTAAATTAGAAGACATATTTAATTATACATTAGAACAAAACATATTAAAAGTAATGGAATGTTCATCTTTATATGTATGTATGTATACTCGCCATACTCGTCATACTATCAAAAAGTGGCTGGTTTCGGTAAACTTAAAATACAAGTTTTAAACTTAATTTCGCAAACAAAAATGTGTTCATAAAATTAACTAAAAAAAATGGACGGTTTTCTGACTATTGAGAGTGTTCCAAAAGTGAGAGTGGTGTAAGGGTAAGGGTAAGGTGCCGTCAAACAACCGAAGAATAAAACATAAATAACCGGCTGCAAACAAAATACAAATCAAATACAAAACTGGCAGTGCGTGGAAAAGTCTCAATCCAGTTTTCGGCGAGAATTCTCCGCGTATTCCTTTGATTTTTCATTACGATCTTTATATCTTTTCTTTTTGGTGAGTCTTCTGCTTGTCTAAGGCGATTTGAAAAAAAAAAATAATAATAATGTATTTGTGTGTATTCTTGCGACTGGATTAGATGAAGATCTCTGTTCGCTTTCTGACTTGGTGGCCAGTGGTCGAGTGGAGGACTGCGTCATCGGGATCGTCGGCGCCATCGGCTCCATGATCCTCGTGCGTCAAATAGTCGCCCTTGTGGCGGTGCAGATACCGGCCGATGAGGAAGAACATGAGTATCAGCAACAGGAACAGAATCACGAGCAGACCTATCAATTAGTACAAGTTAAGCATGAATCGGCTGCTAATCAAGTAAAGGAAATTCAAGCACTTACATGCCAGCAGCACAGAGTTCACCTCATTGTAGGCCTTGCGCAGCTTTTCCTCATCAACCAGAGGTGGTGGTCGGGTCTCGATTTCGATGGGCGGATGCGTCACTGGCTCAACGCCGCAAAAGTCTTCAGTCAGTTGTGCTATAACGAAGAGGGTGGTAGGCATTCGATGTATATTCTGGGGAGAGACAGCACTTCAGTTCTGAGTACTTACTGCCCATGGACCTGACATTTTTCGGTGGATTCTGCTGGAACATCAGCTTGAGCGGATAAATGTCATCGAACTGCACTCGGGAGACACAGCCGACGAAGCCATCGGTCATGGACTCGTTCTTGCCAATGTACATGTACTGGATGTTGTTGAACTGGGCATCGGCCGAGGCTTTGATGTCGAAGTGGTACTCCACGGGCTCGTAGTTGTCCACCTGCAGGACCACTGTGGATCCGCCATTCTTGCGCATGAAGCGCATGTCGTGGTACTGGCCCAGCCCAAAGTGCTTCTTGGGGAAGATGATCTCCTGCCGCTCGAAGCCAAAGTCAAAGACGCAGCGCAAGTGACCTGCAAGGGGATTAACGGGAGGAATAATAATAATAATTTCTGCTTGCACCAAAGAAGTTTCATCTACGCACCGGAATTGGAAATCTGTATGGTCAAATATTCGCCAGTCAAATTTGAGGAGAATCCCAGCAGGAAGCCTTTGGGAATGGTCGTTGTGAAGCCAACGCGAATGTTCTCCGCAATACTGGAGCGGAAGGAGCCCTCGAACTCGTAGCGAATGATCGAGCTGGAACGCAGGTTGACACCAATCTCTGCAGTCACAGAATTTCCATTAAATAAGATACAATTACTGCCGGCTAGAAGCATCACTCACCATCTGCGCAAATGGGTCCTTTGAATGCGCTCCAACGGCAGTCGCAGCTGTAGCCATCGTAGCGCTCGATGCAGGTGCCATTGTTGAGACATGGACTCGACTCACAGCGACCCACACACCCAGAGCTGATGCCATACAGTCCCCGCTTGGAGTGCTCCTTGAGGTCCACCATCTTTCCGTTGAGCAGCAGGGCGCGGATGCAGCCCACATACCCATCTCGATACTCTGTGGTGGCTCCAATGACCAGATCGGAGGTCAGATGAAGGGCGCGCACTGGGCCCGGCGGTTCACGAACCTCCGCCTTTATGGATCCGTCCACCACCAGACGAGCCTCCTTTCTGTTGCGCTCCACACTCACCGTGTGCCAGTTGTTGTCGTTTAGGTGATAGCTGGTCCCGACATTCACACCGAGGGGCCCGCTGCCCGCCTGGTACTGGAACTGCAGCTTGTTGCCGCCGATCAGACTCAGTTTGATGTAGTCCGTGGGGCCAGTGGCGTGGAAGAGAACCGAGTTCTCCTGCGTGGTGCGGAACTCCAGGTAAATGTCGCCAGAGTGGCCCATGTCGAAGGGTGGCAGGTTAATGGAGGCGTCGGAAATGCGGAAGGTCACCACATTGCTGAACAGATCGTCGCCCTCGCAGCGCAGCGGTCCGAGCGTATAGCGACCCTGTTTCTCGTCCAGAGGGGTGCCCGTGTCGCCGAACTTCACCGCCCGCACTGGCAGATATTCCTTCTCGCGTATGTCGCCGCCATCCTCCATCCACTCCAGGGAGTTGGAGTCACAGTTGCACCACTTGGTGGGGTCGTGGCACTTTCCCAGTATGCCGCACTCGCACTTACGCGACCCTGGCAACGCGCCAGCCCAGTAGTCCATGGGTTGATTGTGGCGCGATAGCCACCAAGAGAACGGACGGAAGTTTCCAGCTTCAGCTATGTGGGCGAGGGGGAGGGAGGGCATAAATCAGCATAAATTATCACGATACGGAGCCAGATACTTACAGGGGGAGTTGAAGAGTCGCGAGGAGCGGCAGGAGTAGCTCAGACGCTGCCAGCAGCTGTGAGAGCGGTTCAGCAGGGCCTCGATCTGCAGTAGATTGGCATCGTACATAATGGATTGCTCGAAGGAGCCCGGCTCCTGGAAGCCATCCACTGTGGTGGTGTGCTCTTGACTGTGGCTCAGCGTGGTGATGACGCGACCATCCGCTGAAAGAAACATTTCAAAGCCATCCATCAATGAAGCAATATTCCTCGCAACTGTGTGACATTCCACTTACAATAGAACTCGCAGGTGACGGGGAAGGGCTCCAGGGGACCACTGCCATCCACATCTAGATTGAGGTTCACCCGCTGCTGCACATGTTGGACATTCTTGAGCGCCAGACAGGACAATGGATTGTTCGCTGAAAAGGAGACATCGAGGAAGTGAATTTCACGGTGCAGCTTCCCTTTTGTCTGCATCCCACTTACAAGTATGACAAACGGCTCCCGCGTATCCCGTGTGGGCGCAGTCGCAGAAAAACTCCATGGAATTCTGGTGGCACACACCCTTGTGCTGGCACGGATTCGGGTTGCAGCGATCAATCATTTGGCAGGCATCGACTACAACTTCGTCGCCGCAACAAACCTCCTCTCCTTGAACCCAGTCCTGGGGCAATTTGTAGTTGCCGTCCACCGAAATGAGCCGCATGCAGCCCACAAAGCCGTTCTTCTCCTTGCCACCCGCTATGTAGTAGAGCGCGCCAGTGGCTATCTGCAGGTTCTTGGTCGTGGTCATCGGCCGCTGATCAATGTTCAGGATGAGGCGATTCCGCTCGATCGAGAGCACAAAGGAGTGCCACTTGCCGTCGTTGAACTGATCGTCGTAGTTGTCGAGGATGATGCGGGGCCTGTCCTTGGCCATCAGATCGATCTTGACCTTTCCGAACTCGAGGAAGACCTTGATGTAGCCTCCGGAGTAGAAGTCGTGGTGGAGCATAACGCCGCTCTCCTCGTATGTGCGGAAGTAGAACGAAACGTTGAGACGCTGCGAGTTCTCGTAGCCCTTGAGCCGCACAAAGGAGCCGCGGGTGGTGAAGGTCACCGGATAGATCGGCGGCGCGGGGCACGCGTAGATTGTGTTCACCTTGTGGTAGAGATAGGCCTCGCCCAGCTCGTAGCTGTCCTTCATGCCCCGAATGAAGTTTGTCGAATTGAAGTAGATGTTCTCGAAGCATCCAGAGAAGTTCTGCTGGACGATGAGACCCTCCTGGATGTTGGGCACGCCGCCCAGATACAGCTCCCGGTTGAGATTCAGGCGACTGAACTCGCCCTTGATGCGGCCGCGCACTATGACGCGGTCCACCGAGAAGATGATGTCCCGCTGGTTGCGCGAAATCACGACATCGTGCCACACATTGTCGTCCAGCAGGCTGCCCACCGACAGAGAGGTCATCAGGCCCGATCCCAGGTCCAGATTCAGCACCATTTTGTTGTCCTTCAGCTGCAGGCCATAATAGTCGCCCTGGGTGCCGCGCGAGTACATCATCACGCCGTTGGCGAAGGCCGTCTTGAAGCGGAACCGAATCGACTCGCGCGTCGAGGCGATGGGATCGCGGCGCAGATCATAGCGCACGAGACCTGTGCCATTGAAGTACAGGTTCTCCGAGACTGTAACCGAAACAAGGATCGAATGAGAGTTGGCCCTTCAATTGTTCAAGGAGCAGCACTTACTGTAGTCGCAGCCGTAGAGCTCCGTGCGCATGGATATGCGATCGTGCCAGCGGGTGGGATTTATCCTCACCCACTGGGCAATGATGGGCACCTCGAAGACGTTGTAGTGTATGGAATTGCCATCGGAATTGCCCTTGAACATCTGTTTTACGTATTGAAAGACATTTTAATGGAGTAATTGGAGTAAATCTACATTTGAATCACTAGTGGCAACCTTTAAGCCTTGCTGACTGTTAGTTAATTGTTTAGTTAAGCCTAGGGTTAGTCACCGTACCTGCGGCTCGCTTGTGGGATTCACATACGAACGCCAGAACTCGCCATCGTCCGAGTACTGGACAATGTACTCCGTCACAAACTCGTCCGTGTGCATGCGTCCCATGGTGGCGATTTTGCGCACCATGCTCGCCTCTCCCAGATCGAGTGTTAGAAAGTGGTTATAGGTATTCTCAACTGGTGTCCAAGCAGCGTTCCCTGTTCCAGCATTAGGTGCACGTTAGTTGCAGTGTTTAAGAGTGTGAGTGTCAGGAGGATAGTGGAGGATATATGCGTGCTACGTTACATGCCATAAATAAAACATAACCAAAACCATAAAAAAGCAAGCACAAAATCAAACAAAAATGTTAATGGATAATGATTATGATAAAGCGGATTGCTTTAGGAGATCGAGCAAAGGAGTTCCCCCAGTCACCAGTCACCAGTTACCAGTTACCAGCCACCAACCACCAGATTACAACACACACATTCCATTATGGGATTAGAGAGAGAGACATTCGTTTTGTTAGAGGGAAAGAGAAGGGAGGGAGATGAACGGCCTCTGGGGCTTACCTTGACGTTGCCGCCCGGCTCTTTATAGTCGGCAAATTCTAGATCGGTTATGCCATAGCTTATGGTGTACTCTGTCACGTACTCATTGCTATGAGGACGTCCTTGCAGGGCTATGTGCGTGACATTGCGCACCAGGCCCAAGTCAATGATCAGACGCTGATCAAAGTCCGAGTTCTTGGCCGACCACGAGGTGCCAGCTTCAGTTCATGGATAGAGTCGCAAGGATGGATAATGGGCGGCAATAAAACAGAAACGATAAAATTAAAAACGAAAACAAATCAAAATCCACTTAAAGTCTACAACAAATGGGGGGGGATCGATCCTGTGGCATCGAAGAGTTTAAAGTCTCCCGCCCGGGGTGGTGTTCCCATTAATAAACCATAATTTACGGGGCGAGACCGATTGACAGCTGCAAGTGGTCGCTGCTGCAACCCAAAAGGTCCTTCAAATCAGCCATAAGAGTGCAGCGGCGGCGGCGGCAGGGGCAGCGGCAGGGGCAGGGTTCAACCCCTGCCAAAAAAGGATTTTGGCAGAGGCCTTTGTAATCCTTGAGGGTTGAGTTGGTGCCAACACTAAATGGGCAGGACGTTTGCACATATAATGGGCAAGCATAAACAATTGCAGCAGCAGTCGGATGGCTTTGTTTTAATTGCGGACCGCGCGCCAAATGCTGCGGAGCAGGTGTGACAAAATAGTGTGAGAACGTAGCGGACTGCAGAGAGGGATTCGATACCCATTCCCATTCCCATTCTCCAAAATCTCCGGTCAATGCCGCATGAAAGTTTCGCTCGTTTGAGCGCTGGCAACCGCAGCAGTCGCTCCCATCATCGATAAAACTTTGAAAGGCAATCCGGGAATGCCAAAAATAAGCGAGCTACCCTTGCCGTGTCCTGTTTGCCGCATAAATTTACCCACCAAACAAACGAACGAACGAACGAACGAACGTTGTCTGGCCCCTGTCTGAGGCCCATTACGGGTCCCCGAATTTGGGTTTATTGCCTGTTAAGCACATTTCCGGCTTGCTTTTTCTTCTATTTTGTTATTCCAGTGTTAGGCAAACAAACTGGGAAGCGCGCCGGCAGGGGTCGGGGGGGGACATGACAACACAATAATTGCCCAAGAGTAGAGATTATAGGATATTTCAGAACATAGATCTAGATTTATTCTACAGATAACAAATCTCCTCCGTCAGCGATCGCTCTTGTGGGGCTTCAGCAGCGCCTCCTTGCAGTAGTCCACCACGCTTCTGTCCAGCTCGGCAGCGTCTGCACTCTTTACAATAAGCTCATCGAAGCGAAGCATCTCGAATCTGGCGTGATCCTGGGGCAGGCAGTTGCGGAATGCGATGGCAGCACAGTACTTCTCCTCCAGCAGGTGCTCCTCAAAGTGCCAGTTGTCCATCGGCTTGTCGTTGCAGCGCAGTGTGGTGCCGATCAGCGGGGAGACGGCCTCCACCAGCGAATGGGTGGTGTCCACAGAGAAGCTAATCTTCTCTAGGTCCACTGTGATGCCTACGCCGAGCTCTTTGACGTAGGCCTCCTTCAGGCACCAGTGGCGCATAAATGCCTTCAGTTGGGCGGGTTCGTTGTGCTGCGGGCGGCCGATATAGCTCCACTCTTGGGCCGAGAACTTTCCCTTCATGAGCCGAAAGAAGTCAGATAGAGGCTTGCCTCCGTTATACTCGATCTTCATGACATCTGTTCCAATGCCAAAGTCCGCCGCCTCACTCCCCGTGGTGTCGGTGTCAGTGGTGATACCAGCCAGCAGCACCAGACGGCCCTGATGCGAGACATTAAAGCTGAGTGGTGGCGGCGGCTGCTTCTCCGCCGCCTCGCTCTGCCCTCGCACCCAGTAGGGCTTGCCGCGCACGTCGCGGGCAAATTGCACTTGATGGTAGGCCGTGGCCGTGCACACGCTCACATATTTACGCATTAATAGCCGACCAATTAGCGAGGACAGAAAGTCATCGATGAAGTGGAACTTCATCAGGCGGGTGCGCTCCTCGGGCTGTATCGCAGCCACCGCCTGCGTCAGCTGCGGCAGCGTGGGCGTCCATGTGCCCAGATCAAAGGCCCAGCGGGTGCAAACGTGTCTGCTCATCGGGATGGCAGTTTAGTGTGAGATAAGTCAATTGTTTTACGGAACTATCTAATTGAGTCAACGCTCATTTTGGGCGTTTTCTTCGTTTTGCGACAAAAAAAAAAAAAGTTTTCGCCGTTCCGCTTGATCTGCTTCTTCTTGGTGGCAGTATGCCCGCAGTGGGAAAGCGAGAATATACCAATTTATAGACTATATTAAAAAATACACTATAAAAATACTGCAAACGGGAGGGGTCTTTGGGGGGTCTATTTGAAAATAATCAACAGAAGAGCTTAATAAAACAGAAATCAACGGTAACTAAAGCATACAAACAAAATCAATCAAACGAAGTTAAAGTAAGTAAATAAAGAATTAATTGTAGTGCGAAACTTACCATTCAATCGCGCCTTCTCTGGCCCCCGCTCACCGAGCGATGAAGTGGCCGTGAGCACTGCCCTCTCCATCAGCGGCTGATTGCATTCATAGTCGGAGAAGTAATCGGTGAAGGCATCTGAAAGCGACGAAAGACTCTCTTTTAATACTCTTTCGCTTGACCCATATGCAGATACATTGTGTGTGTGGAATAAATGGATTACAAACTGTCACAGGCGAAAATTAAATTGAGATGCGAACAATATGTTTGGACAGCGGCCAAGAATTTCAAGTACTTTATTTCGGTCATATTTGTTCGAGTGGCTGCATTTCGGTGCTGGTCCCTGGCCTTCTTGCTTTTTATGGCTATCATAAATAAGGCCACAGGAATAATAAACAGCTGGAGGGTAAATATTCATCGATATGTACTCGCACATGTGGAGCCATGTACGTGTAGCCATGAAAGGATCGCAGATTCTTGTCTCTTATTTGTACCACAATATTATGCATATTGCAAAGTGCCCACTCAGACGGTGGAACAAGTGAAGAAGGCAGACAGGAATTCTAGCGCAGACATCAGACAGGACACGGGACACGGGAAACAAAACAGCGTTCCAGCAACGTTGCAATAAACAACCCCCAAGCGATGGATGGGCGATGGGTGCAGCTCCTAGGTAAACAAGGCCAGGACGGGGCAAAACAACCCTTACACGGGCTGTTCCGGCCCATCCATCCATCCATCCAGCCAGAGTTCATGTACACTTTAAGCTGACTTTGAGCCGTGGAAATCCACAATGATTAGCTATCAGAGCGGGACACGCACGACAGTCCCCGGCCTCGAGTAAGGCAAATAATCAATATGGGGGCAGTGCTACTACTTTGAACTACTTTTACTGCTGCCTTCTATTGCTCCTTTAAGAATATACACGGATGGACATTCCCCGAACGGTCGGTCTTACATAATGGCCCAGTGCGTGCGTTTTTTGTGTGGAATATCTAATCACAATAGAACTGGAAATCTGGCTAATGTTCTCAATGAAATAAATATGACGCGACCGATGGGGAAAAGCAATTTCCGCCGATCTAGAAACGTGGAGTGCGAATGATGGGGCGGGCGAAGCACAGAAATAACTTATCAACGCGTCGGACGGGGGATGTCTATCCGGATGGGGCGCGGGGTAATTGGCAATTTATTGCGAGAAAATTGTTTATTTTTAGTCATAAAAATGTTTGCATTTGAACTCTGAGTTGTTTATTTGTAAGCGCAACAAGCTCTGTTAGTCAGGAGAAAGAGTATTTCCAGACTTTAATGCTCGGGTAATCCGCTCTGTTGACATATGGTGCGATGCCCCCATGGCAGCACGTGCACAGCATCAGCACGAGAGGCAGCATCAGTCGCATGCGCAATGAAGTCACCGGGAAAGTCGCCGGATGCGGCTTGCAGGGAAGCGACATGGCATCCTTCATTCAACCCAAGCACCGACCGGCAATTGTTCCCATGGGTGGCCAACGCATGCATCCGATAAGAAAGAGAATTTCGAGTGCGGCGGCTCCAACGAAAACGAGTTGTTGCTAGTCGGCGGTTTTGTTGTGATCGTTTCGATCTCCCTCTCGCACTCTCTCGCTCTCACGCTCTCCCTCTCACGCGCGATCGAAAGAGCGAGTTGAAAAGCAAAGCACAGAGTAAAAGAAAAATGGAAATGACGAAGAGCGAGTCTTCAGCTTTGGGGAACACGCCCAAATTTTGGCTTACAAACAATTGGTGTTTTTATGCAACTTTCAGGGCGTTTTTTTCAAATAAATTCTACAAAACGAACGCGCATTCATTCATAAATTACGATTATACACTGGACTCACCTGCTTGCACAGCTCTCAGGCTGTTGTTGGCCAGCAGGAGGAGGCATAGGCACAACTGAATCGAAAAGAACGACGCTTCTGTGGAGGAGGACTTGGGCTGCCTCATTCTGGCTCTGTGGTGGGAAATCACTGGATCCGATTTACAAACACATTTATATCCGTTTTCCGTATTCAGTGCAATGCTTCACGAATTTACTGCAGCCAAATGCACTGCGCTGGCAGTCCCAAAGACACAGGGGGCTGGGGCTGGGCACTGGAAACGCGTCCGCGATGTCAACTTCTACGCTAGCAATTTCTTGAAACGTTGTCTTTTAGATGTTCACAATTGTATTTCGATATGACTGTTGCTCTGCAGCTCCTACTACTCACGCCCTCTTTGAGAAGGTGCTTCGTTTGAATTAGAAATAATTAACGCTGCGGGGATGACACACGAACACGTCCCTCTCGCTGCACAGTCGAAATTAGTGTGAAGTATTTCGAATAGGAAAATATCATTACAAAAAAGATGGGGGAAAGAAGAAAATATCAAAATGTCGACGGTATTTAATCGGTATTTCAGGACTAGTCACAAAACAGAGATAGTATGCGACAATAAGTTAAAATAATTTCGATGATCCAATTTTTCAGATCCAATTTGGCTGGCTGACTGGCTGTGTATGCTGGAAGACATCTTTTGTCACAAATAGTGCCTCTGTTATTCGACTGATAGCCGGGAGACGTGTTGCGTTTTAAGTCTCATGCTATATCTCTCTATTTAGAAAAGTTAGAAAAATCCAATGTCATAGGCTATAAGGATTATATTGTAGATTAATTTTATACTTTTTGGTATACTTTTTCGTCCAAATTGAAATTTTATGTGTATTTAGCCTTTATTTTAAAAGTGAGACGGAATATTTCGATATATTTCTGAGAGTCGGACGGTATATTTTATCGATAAAACCACGGTCACACTGATTCTCTTTCTTTTCGCCAAATTTTTGTTGGCGTGTTGACAAAAAACCGTGCTTCCTTGTGGATTTGTGTAGAACAGAAGAATATATCATGTCTAAATACAGCGGTGAGGAGTTTTCCAACAACGGGGTAAGTTCTAGCAGTCTGGCGCGACTGCAAAGCAGCGAAATCATTAGTTTTGGCTACGGCGGTAACATAACCCAACTTTTTTCCCAGATATTTGTAGAATGCATTGATTTCTAAAATTTGTTTATTTCCAGGACTTTTATGATGACTTTGCCCACACCGGCGATCCCGCTCTGGATATGGAGTATGAGCGCAACTACTACGCCAGCCGCATGCCGGAGAATGTCAAGTACTTCTTGATGAACTTCTGCCAGGCCGTCAAGGAGGGAAATCTCTATGATATACAGAATATGTACGAGAACACATTTCCGCAGATTAGCGACCACCACTTTGACAAATCATCTTGGCCAGAGGAGACGGAGGTCGGGGCGCTCGTGGAGAACGACAAGGTGTTTATGATCCTGTACAAGGAGCTGTACTACCGCCACATCCATGCCCGCATACCTGGTGGCCCCAAGCTGGATCAGCGCATCAACTCGTTCTTCAACTATTGCGATTTCTTCAACCTAATCATTTCGGCGCCGAACCCCGTCATGCTGGAGCTGCCCGACATTTGGCTGTGGGAGCTCGTTGACGAGTTTGTGTATCAGTTCCAGAACTTTGCCCAATACCGGTAAGGGATTTTCACTTCTCCCACATCTCCCATCGTACATCCTGATCTTGATAATATCAATCTATAAATTGCAGTGCCCGGCTTACGGACAAATCGCAGGAGGAGATTCAGCAGCTGTGCGTGAACCACAGCAATGTCTGGAGCATTCTGTGCATTTTGAACGTCTTGCACTCGCTGGTGGATATCTCCAACATCAAGAAGCAGCTGGAGGCGATTTCCGGGGGAATCGATCCGAATACTGTGTCCGGAGACTTTGGTAAGCTCTCCTTCTACAAGATGCTGGGATACTTCTCGCTGGTCGGCCTTCTGCGCGTGCACTCTCTGCTGGGAGACTACTACCAGGCCATCAAGGTTCTAGAGCCCATTGAGATCCACAAGAAATCTGCCTACTCGCACATACCAGCCTGTCAGATATCGACATCATACTACGTCGGCTTTGCCTATATGATGATGCGCCGCTATGCGGATGCCATACGCACCTTCTCCGACATCCTGCTGTATATCCAGCGCACAAAGCAGCTGTACAGCACGCGCTCCTATCAGAACGATCAGATCAACAAGCAGGCCGAGCAGATGTACCACTTGCTGGCCATCTGCCTGGTCCTGCATCCCCAGTGCATCGACGAGTCCATTCAGCAGGTGCTGCGCGAGAAAAACTACCACGACGCCATGTTCAAGATGCAGTGCGGCGACCTGGAGGTCTTCAAGTCGTTCTTTGTGTTTGCTTGCCCACGCTTTGTCAGCCCCTGCCCCCCTGCAGCCGATGCGCCCATGGAGGACTACGTAAAGGACCCCATGGAGCACCAATTGCAGGTGTTCATGGATGAGGTGCGCCAGCAAAAGGATCTGCCCACCACACGCTCGTATCTGAAGCTCTACACCACATTGCCGCTGGCCAAGCTGGCCTCCTTCATCGACCCCAATGCCAACGACGACGATGTGTCCAAGCTCTTGATACGCCTGCTCTGCTTCAAGCACAAGATGCGTAATTTGGTCTGGAGCAAGGGCCCCAGTGGTCTGGAAGGCACATTCAAGTCCGGCTCTGAGGTAAGTTCTCCAAGGATCACTCGGCTCGCTCTGAGAAATGTTCTCATCCTTTCATCTTTATAGCTCGATTTCTACATTGACGACGACATGATTCACATAGCCGACACCAAGGTCTCCCATCGCTACGGTGACTTCTTTGTGCGCAAAATCCTGAAGTTCAACGACCTGAATCGCAAACTGAAGAACATCAACATTTAAACCCAATAGTTTACGATATATTTAATATTCCAAACTGGACCGATTCGTTCTGATGATACCAATAAAAGAATGCCTGCGCGTATCCATATCCGCAGGAAAGGGTCCTCAACAAAACAAAAAAAAACCGAACTTTATTATATCCTGCACTCAAAGATTATAGGGGTATATATAGGTTTATACATACGATCTCAAAGTTTGGCCCATCATTGGGCGGAAATCTGTGTCAACATTGAAGATACAAGATTCTCATGTCTCTCTCTCTCTCTGTCGGCTGGATGAGTTTTCGTTGTAAAGAGAGAGAGGGAGATATATGTAGGGGACGATTCGGTATGGAAATAGATCATTACTTGGAAAGAGGATAAACGAAGGGCTAGAATTCACATTGAAAGATAACTATTGGTCGCGCTCCACCTTTTTCTCTCAGTGCCTCGTGACGAGTCCATGCAAAACCAAGACAGAGAGAGAGAGAGGAGCGGTCTGCTTTGCCCCTCGACTTGGAACATTTCGACTGGTTGATTAGGACTAGGGTTTTAACATTTGACTTTATTTTTAGTTTTTAACAATACGTTATTATATAAAATTTGTATGTATGACTATAAGGAAATTCAAAAAACTACACGTATTACGTACTTTGAGTTTGCCACAACTCCACGTACATTGGTGCACATAGCATTCAGCGACCATCAGCAGCAGCCAGTTTTCGTTTTTGTTTTCGCTTTCGTTTTGGTTTTTTTTGGGCCATGGGAATGTGCGTGTTTATTGTATACATAACATCTCAAATTTCTTTCTTGCAAAATTTCTTTGGTAAATCAACGTACTAAGCATTTAGTGAGAGTTTTTAAATTATTATAATTGGGGGTGTGGTGGAGTTGGGGTAGCTATAAGCAGTATTCACACATTTACACACAGTTTAAAAACTCAACTTAGGATTTAGATACACTCTTTCTTTATACACCGTATTAGGTTTGCCCTTGTGCTAAGCGGACTCTGCCGGCTGGGGGCTGGGGGCTGTGGGCTGTGGTTTTGCTTAGAACTAACATTAAAATCAAACAATTTACAAATTACGGACTTGTTTGTTGGGGGTTCGCCGGGACACGGGCTCACAGGGCGTGCTGGTTGACATCGATCAAATAGATGTCTTTGTGATTCTGTAGGACAAAGTCGACAAATGCATTGATGGGTGCGATTTCCTCCAGGGAGGTGCTAGTGCTGCGGGACCACAAGAAGTTGGGGCCGAACACGATGGCCAGATTGGACGAGGTCATCTTGTTGAGATCCTCGCAGTCCATCACGCGCACCAGGAACTCGACAATGTACTTGAAAAGCTCATAGTTCTCTTCGGGCAGTTTTTCGCGTATCAGTTGGGTGACATTTCGGGAGCGCTCCTCCTTGGGCCATTCCAGGAACTTGGTCACATCCTCGTACAGTTCGAATGTGAGCAGCGGCTCTGAGAGATCGCGCAGGAAACTCTTCAGCAGGCCTGCAATCACATGGACATTCACACTCTTCAGGTCCACGTCCTCGCCGCGATTGACGCGCTCCTTGAGGGCCATGATCTCGGCATGGTTGCCCGACCGCCTGAAGATCCCCTCCGTATCGATCACGCCCGTAATCGACAGAGAGTCCACACACTTGCGCACTATCGGGGGTATGGAGTTGAGGCAGGGACTGTTTACAACAATATGCTTCAGGGGCACCCCAAATTGCATCGTCGGCGCCATTTTGTGCTGCTGCTGCCTGGATGCATTTATGCTGTTTGTTAGGTGAGATGCTGGTGCGGCTGCGGCTGACTTGCGGCTGGGGTTCAGCTTGTCGTCAAAGTCGCAAATGTTATCGGGCAGCTTCAGCTTGTTCAGGCCCAGAGCCTGGCGCAGCTCATCCAGGCTGGAGATGTACACTAGCTTCTTGCGGAACTTGTCGCTGATGAAGGGGCTGAAGAAGTTCCAGATGACCCGAATGAACCACGTCGGATGCACCACATACAGAGTCTTTAGGTTTTTACGAAAGTTACGATCCAGCTCCTTGTACGAGTTCCACAGGAACTGCGCCGACGGTTTGTTGTCCTCCTTAAGGCCTTGGTGAAAATAAACGAGTATGTAGTCGTTCTCCACGAATGGTTCGATCTCTTTGATGATTTGACTGGCGGATAAACGATAAGCGAGCTTCGCGTCAGTTAAGATGTTCAGAAGGCACTGATGCCACACACATACCGCACGAAACCCTCCAGCTGCGACTTCTCGGGAAACCGCGATGCGTAAATGCCGAAGACGTGGCGACCCTGCTTGTCGGTGCCCAGAAAGTCGCATTTGTTTTTGGGTGCTTGAAATTGCTCCGACTGTTCTCTCAGTTGATCTTCAAAGTCGTCCTCCAGGGGATTCACATCCTCTTCGGGTTCAAGTTCTGGATCTGCAGGGAGAATCGGGAGAGAGATACCATTACCGATTACCATTCAGGATCGCATTCATTCGAGCCCACACTCACCATCGGCCAGGACAAAGTCACCGACCATAACATCTTCTGGGGGGATAAATCAATTGTTCAATTAGCAGCTGTTAGTTTACTTTACCACAACTTTAAGACTTTAGGACTTTAGGACTCAAACGCTTACTCTCTAGAGGAGCCGGACTCAGGAGCTCAGTGTCGTCGAACTCTAGCTTCGGCTCGAAGTCGTGCAGATCCGAGAGACTGGGCTGCGGCTCGTCCGAGTTCTCGACGATCGGATTGATGGCAGGACCTTGTGGGTGCGAGAGAAGGCGTTTATTAATCTCGTAGGTTTCCGTTGCAGTGGACAGATATTCCAAAACGTAGTCTTACAAGTAGTAATGCTTGCTTTCACTTAAGTATTTTGACGGCCTGAGGCAACAAGTTTAGTTCGGATTGAGTTTGAGTAAGTGAATAGACATGGATCAGATCAGAGAAATTTGTAATTGATGAGTTACTTTCGTACATAACTGATTTGGGATTAGTAAGGTTCAACAGTTCAACGGTTCAACGGTTCAACAGTTCAACAGTTGCCTGTTGTACGTAGATAGTGTGTATGTGTGTGTATGTATGTATGGTATGGAACAGAGGCAGCCACAAAGAATTATTTTAGATACTTGGAGAGAACCAAGGCTACACAGAGACACAGGCACAGCCACAGACACAGACACACACACACATACCTCAAACAAACATTGGCAACAAACAGCTAGCGACAAAACGTACAAAACACAGGATTCATAATAGTACGGGCAATAGTAGTATAGTGAGTACGGCAGGTAGGTATGTAGGTATGTACAGGTACAGGTACAGTGAGGAGGCCAGGCCTAGTTTTACAGCTTCAAATGGGGTTAGTAGCACAACTTGATACCAAAAACAAAGAAGGGCGGGCAGGGCTGGGCAGGCGGGGGCATTAAATTAGTTTAATTGTTAGTTAGTTCTTAAACAGGGGTCCCCCACTGGCGGGGCCCTCAACAGTACTTGGCTACGGTTAAATGAATGAAACACACAAAACAAGCGACGCCGCGAAACAATTCCCAAGCTTTGTGTAAATTACAGATTAAGTTTTTGAAATTTTGGGTTTATTGCTTCGCAGCGGGTTCATTGGCTAAGCTAAGCAGAAAACAGAAATGGAAGATCGAAATTTGAAATCCGCATCTACATTAGATCGAAACGGAAGCGCTCTTACCTGGTAATCTCGATGTGAAACGCGAATGGGTGTCCATTGTGGGACAGACAGGTGTACAGAGTGTGGATTATCGATGCGATGCAATGACGCAGGACGTATCTCAGGCGCGCTATCGAATTGGCATGTAGAACATACAGCTGGAATACAGTGAGCAGTGAGAATAAATTAGCCATAATCGGTCGTGGGCCAACTGGCGTTTCAACCGCTTCAAGCTCTGTGTGCTGTACACATATAGTAGGAGTCTACCGGTGACGTCACACCAAGCTATGTAGTTTCTTGACTATCGCGCGCTGTCGACGTCGACGTCGCCGTTACCGTGGTGGGATGTGGAGATAGTGCCGTGCGCTGATTCACATTCATTCATTCATTCATTCATTCCGAACGAGCGATGGATTGCCGTCGAACGGCAATGGATTGTTTCTTGCTCTTTTATATGAACACGACTGGAGCTTAAGGCAAAGCGGTGGTAGTGGTGGTTAGGCTGTGGGTGAGGGGGGCTGTGGGGCCAAGCCGCCTACGCCCCACCGCATAGTATACATACAGTGCTAGCGAAAATAAAAGGCAAGACGAGAGTCTTTCACGAAAGATAACACAGAGAACGAAGCGAAGCTTATCGCTTGGCACAAATTGGGAATTGAAATTTGAACGAATGAAATGTTGGTATTTAATCCATTTTTTCCAGCGTCTGTGCTTTAGATCTGCTCCTGTGCTGCATGTGTATGTTATTTACCATACATACTAGCACATACAGGGAATATGCAGAGTTCCCTGTGCGAAGGCACAATCGTGCAATCGCCTGACTGACATGGCAATAATTTGCAAGCGAACTGCGCATTTGTGTTTTGTCACCACTTAACAATATTTACTTATTTACAAATGTACTTTTTTATCAGCAACTCGGGGATTGTCTGTAGTCCACCGACCATAATATCAATGCTGCCTAGCTCTATGGCAATACGAAAACGTATACTGCGTCTTAGTTCTATATACTGCACTTTGCACTGTATCTTTGAGCCAGAATGGCTTGCAAATTTACCTTTTATCAATAGAAAAAAAATATCTCCGTTAATTTTCTTATTGCAAGACGTTGTTTTTGCGGATGAATAGTGGTGGTCATTGATCGATAAAATATACCGACCGCCCCTCAGAAATATACCAAAATATACCGTCTCATTTTAAAAATATACCATAAATATACTGCCGAGTTCCTGCTCTATTATACATATTCCTCGTTTTTTATATTCCGTACCATATAACTAACTAAATAGAACCCTCAGCCCTGCCCACATAATTTTATCCGATTAATGAATCAGTTTTCTACTTAACTGACTTATTTTAAATACTGGACTTTGATTTTTCTTGCATCAATTTATGCAATAACAGTCTCGTACAGACAATATAAAGTCTCGGATGATGAAAAACCGAACTTAGCCCACTTAAGCCCCCTAAATAGTTGATAAATAGTTAAACTACTTGAGGTAAATGGCGGAAAATATGAACGAATGAACTGCGCTAAAATTAGTATATTTTTATTATTTTCGGTGGAATATGAAAATACCCCCTTGGCTTGCAATGGAGTATCAAAATCGAGGAATATGTATAATAGACTTTGAATTAGTCAGAGTATATTTACGGTATATTTTTAAAATGAAACGTTATATTCTGATATATTTCTGAGGGTCGGGTGGTATATTTGATCGATAAGTACGCGGTCACACTAGCACTATTCCAAAAAGACAGCCAGCTCCAATTAATTAAAATTTACTTTAAATTTGTTAAAATGGTCGGTTGGAGCCGTTTGCTGTCGCCAGCGGCGCAATTCGCCAACTACCGCGCCGTTCTGCAAGCGCCGGCTTGCCGGAATGGTAAGTAGAGCTTAGATCAGTCTCTGTAAACACATTATCCCACATTACGCAACCAAAACTACAGATCTCCCCTACCTTTGCAGCGTTGCAGCAACAACTGCGCCGGATGGGTGGTGATCATGGACACCACCACATGACAGTAAAGCCATCGCGCTTCCAATGGGACAAATTCAAGGATCTGATGCACTTTTACGTAATGCTCGGCGTTGTGCCGATCACAGCGTTGGTGCTCTACTCGAACATCTTCGTCGGGCCTGCTCAGTTGGCTGAGATTCCCGAGGGTTATGTGCCCAAGCACTGGGAGTACGAGAAGGTAGGACACAGTCACAGCCACAGCATTGCCACTGAAGTCATTAATGGCCGATTTCTCTTTTCCCCGACAGCACCCAATCTCGCGCTTTATTTCCCGGTACATTTTCAGCTCGCAGCAGCAGGAATACGAGAAAGCCTTGCACAACTTGTTTGAGGAAAACGAGAAGGCTCAAATCCGGTAATATATTCTTTTTACAACTAGATCCTGTTTAATGTTGACGTGTGACTTTGCATTTTCAGTAAACTCGAGAAAGAGGTTCGTCGAAAGATGTCGGAGCGAAATGATTACCAGTCGTACTACTACCGCCCGACAGTAGCCAAGTATCACAGAATATCCAAGGAGGCTGCTGATGAGCTGGAAGCTCTGCGGGGCGATTAGGCCAGCTCTTGGCTGGCTCTAACCACATTTGGTCGACAAGTAAATGAAATGTATAGGCCTCAAGTTGGGGAAATAAAGTGTTGAATTTGCAACATCTTCTTACATCCTAATATAAACAGTACAATAGTTGAATAAATACTTAAGACTTAGTCAAGTCGAGTGCGTATCGATTTAGCCCCACGCCTGATTCTTGCAGTAGTAAAGCACCAGCTTGCCATTTGTCCCGTGGCAGTCGTACAGGTTTTTGATTATCTGATCCGGAGCAGGTGCAAACGTCTGATTGACATACAGGAACTGCAAAACAGACAATGGTGTGATTAATCAAGCAACGAAATGCTTACTTCGGGCTGGTGTGGTGGTACTCACAATTTGCTCAGTGGCGTCCAGCTTGAGGTATTTGTGTATGAACTTTTGAATCCAGCTGACTGTCTTGTTGGGGTCCACGGTCCAGGTGCGCTTCTTAATGATTGGCACATTGCCTGTAGCGTTTAGCAAAACACATACTGATACGAAATGAATTCAGAGATTAAACAAATGAATGTGGGTCCGGCAACTTTTTCTTACTCTTTGCAGCGTCCTTGTCGGTGGCGTTGGTAGTTGATAAGCTGGCCTGGTTCTCCTCCGCGTCAGCCATTGGTCCGGAATGTTGTTAAGTATTTGTTTTTTTTGCGAATATGGACCGAAATAGCAAAATAAATATAATATAATCTTGTGACCAGATATCGATCACACTATCGATAAAAGAGACAAAATATTTGTATTATTTTAATAATCAAATTATCAGTCTGTGGGGACATTTATGAGTTAGTACATATTATACGATTAAACTAACTGATTTTGCTAAAATATTTGACTTATATAAGTGCTTCCTCGACATTCCATGGTGTCTGTCACTTAAAAGTCACAGTATGTATTCGTCATCTCTAGCTGATAACGATAAAAAAAACATCTGCGGTTGAAACGTACAATCGGACTGAAACACGTGTGGATTTATATTCATATATTTTGATTAAACAAACCACAAAATAAGCCTATAACTATGAGCGGTAGACTATTTGATGGATCGGAAGACGAGGCTGACGACCTGCAGTTAACGACCAACCAGGACTATGCCAAGACGTACAACATTCTGCGCAAGAAAGAGCTGCTTCAAAAATGTAACTTACAATTCTCTCCACTGATCATTAAAAGTTAACGTTTTGATTGTTACTTAAAGATAAAGATCGCGGCCTGGATGTGTCCGAGTCCGAGTTCGACAGTGACAGCGAATCATCGGAGGAGGATGAGGTGGATCCCCAATTCGATCAAGACTTCTTCAAGACACTCTCTTCGCTGAAGAGCAAAGATCCACGAATATACGACAAGGAAACGCGTTTCTTCAACGAGTCCGAGGACGAAGACAACAAAGATGAGCAAACAAAAAAGAAAAAGTCCAGCAAGCCCAAGCCGGTCACATTGAAGGACTACGAACGAAAGGTTATTCTCGAGCATAATGGCAAGTTTGAGAGCTCCGATGACGAGCAACAGCAGAAGGAGGAGGAGGAGTTTGAGCGGGCACAGTCACCCACTGCAGTGGAGGAAGAGCGACGCCTAAAGGCAGAGTTTAGTAAGGTAATGAGCCAGGAGGACAACGGAGAAGAGGAGGAGTTCGGTGGCATATTTAAGAAACGTACCAAGACTAAAGAGCAAACGGATGCGGAAGAGGCGGATTTTGCCAAGTGGCTGACGGGCCAACAGACAAAGATTGAACAGAATGACAAAGAGCAGCTGGAACCCCTGAAGGAATACTGGAGCAGCAACAAGCTGACGCAGGGCGAGTGTTTCCTCAGGGACTATATTCTCAGCAAGGGATACGCCAACACAGATGCCTCGGAGATACCCACCTACGATGAGATTGTGGGCGACAATGCCCCGCTGTCCGAGGACGAGCAGGAACTGGAGAAGCAGGCCGAGTTTGAGCAAAAGTACAATTTCCGATTCGAGGAACCAGATGCAGAGTTTATCAAGCGTTATCCTCGCACCGTAGAGCAATCGATTCGTCGCACAGACGACAAGCGGAAGGAGAAGCGCAAGGAGGTAAAGGAGCGCAAGGAGCAGGAGAAACAGCAGAAAATGAAGGAACTGGATCTGATCAAGGACATGAAGCGCAAGGAAATCGAGGAGAAAATTCGCAAGCTGAAAGCAGTTACGGGCAACGATGAGCTGGGATTCAGGGACGAGGAACTGGAGGAGGACTTTGATCCGGCAGCCCACGATCGTCGCATGCAAGAGTTGTTCGACGATGAGTACTACAACGTCGATGAAGGCGAAGAGAAGCCAGAGTGCCCCTCGGATATTGACGAATTGACTCTGGAGGACTGGGACAACTATGACCCCAGGAAACTGAATGAAATGGATCACGATGATGTCGAGCACTGTGAAGATGATGATTTCAACATGGACTGCGACTACGATCCATCAACGTCGAAGCAGCAACTGCAGCAGGAGCTGATCGAGAACACACGCGGTCGCAAGGGTCGCAAAGGGCGACGCAATCGTTTCATGGAGATGATTCAGGCGGAGAAGCCAGCCTTTAACCCCGAAGAAGAGAAGACCTACGGCGAATACATCGACGAGTACTATCAACTGGACTGCGAGGACATAGTCGGGGACCAGCCGTGCCGCTTTAAGTACGTCGAGACCACACCGAACGACTTCGGCCTGACCATCGAAGAGGTGAGTAGAGTTCAGAGGTTTCATTTGGGATCTAGTGCTCACTTTCCGGCGACTTACTTGCAGATCTTGCTGGCCAAAAACAAGGAGCTCAACCAATGGGCTAGTCTCAAAAAGGCAGTGCAGTTCAGACCAGAGCATGTGGAAAAAAAGGAGCAACGTTTATACAAAATGAAGGCCAAGAACGAAGATCTCAAGCGAAAGATATTCAAGAGTCTGTATGGGGATGAGGGGTGAGTGTCTGGCTTCAGTCTTCCATCGATGCAAATCTCAAAGCAAATTATTTTCAGTTCCGATGATGAGGATCAGCCAGCTGGGGAGAGTCCCCAACCGGCCGCACCTGCTGACACGAGCAGTGTGTCTGCAACAGCAGCTGCTCAAGTCCCCACTGAGGGCCTGTCCAAATCGAAGAGAAAACGTTTGAAACGTAAGGCAGCAGCAGCAGTTGCAGGGATTCCCAAACAGATCGCAAAGGATAACGATAATGAAGTGAATGATTCAGAGAGCCGAAGGGAACAAGATGAACCTGCCACAAAAAAGAGCAAGGAAGTGGAAGATCAAACACCCAACGAAGTCGAGAAGCAGCAGCAGCAGCAGCAGCAGCAGGAAAATAAAACTAAGACAAATAATGCTGTTGGTAAAAACCAAAAGTCCCCCAAAACAGTGACTAAAGCTAGGCCAGCACAAAATCAGAGTCCAAAAGGCTCAACAGCAGAAAAATCAAATGGCAATAACCCATTTAATAGGAATCAAAATCAAGCGAAGCCTCGAGCCCAGGCGGCAGTCAAAAACTTCCAAGGTAAACGGAAGCAAGGGTTAAATGCATCCTCTGATGGCAATCCCTTCCAAGGCAAAGAGAGAAAGGCGCCAAATGCACCAACAGGGACCAGTCCCTTCAAAGGCAAACAGAATCAAGCGACAAGTCCGTCATCTGGTGCGAATCCATTTAAAAAATCAAACCAGAAGTCTGGAGAAAGACCATTCCCAGCAAAGAAGACGAACAACTTCAAAGCAAAAAGCAGGACAGACACGAATCCCAGTGGAATAACCGACGATCGCCTGAAGGCCTATGGCATAAATCCCAGAAAGTTCCACAAAAGGGAAAAGTATGGAAAAAAGGATAACTAAGGCCAGGCCAGCGTAAGGATCACAATAATAGCAATAATAATATATTTTCTAGTTACATCTTATGTACATACGATTCACATATTAAAAGACTTGAACAGACACAAGCGGTACAAGCGACTACTCCACCACATCGGGATGACCCTCAGGCACAACTTTGGCATCTTCCGTGCTGTTCATTCTATCGAGCTGCAGTCGGCGCTCCTGGATGCGGACACACTTTGGACATATCATGTTCTTGCGCGTGAGGCACACTCTGTGGTAAATGGAGTTGCATTGGTCGCACTTGATGCAGCCGTCGTCGAAGGGGAAGATCACTTCGTTGTTGCTGCAAATCTCGCAAATGTACGCCTTGGCCAGGCACATGTCGCAGGACCGAATATGGTCACCGAATGCCCTGAAGACACCCTGCAGAAACTCCGTCAAGGCGCCGGACTCCACTTGAGTAAGGTCGCTCAGCGAGTAGAACTCATTGGACTGGGCCAAGTGGCGTCTGCCGGCCATCTGCTGCTCCACCAGCTTCTGTTCCATGGCCAGCTTGCAGGCAGCCAGATAGTGGCGCATGTGAACGAGATTTTGGCGCAGTTTCTTCACGGCACAGAGCTTCTCGACGAACACAAACAGCTTCGGATTGTCCTCCTCCAGTCGTATCAGCGCCCTGTCCAGGAACAGCCGGATCTCCTGCAACGCCGCCCGAGACACCCGTCGGGGAGAGAAGTCCCAGTTGTGGATTATGCGAGCAGGCACGAAGCAATTGTCGTTCCAGTTGCACGAGGGGCAGTAGTAGAGGCCACTGTAGTCGCACAGCCGCGGCTCAATCCAAGAGCTCTCTGAAAGATTGATGCGAAATCTGAATAAACGGAAATCCATGTGCTGGACTCGTTAGAGCCACTCACTCAAGTTCAGCAGCGTTTCGCACTCGGCACACTTGTAGTTCTGGGCAGCCAGTCCTATCTCGGGGCAGATCTCCGATATGGGGTGCTGTCGCTCCGAGACCAGGACGTTGGCACACACCCTCTTGACATTGTCGATGCACTTCTGGTGCACCAAGTAGCCGCAGTCGCTGCATATGTACGAGGCCTGCACCACACTCCAGATAATCGCTGTGCAGTGGTCACAGTAGAAGCGCTTGGCGGCGACCTGAAGCCTGTTTTTCCTGCCGTGCGGGTGGTGCGGCACAAAGTGGTGACCCACCACGGCCTTGATGGCATTCATGAGCACCACATCCGACGCCAGAGCCTGGGCCTCCTCCAGCTCTTGCAGCGAGTAGCGGAGGTCCACCAAATGGCGGACCAGCCAGCGTCTCTCCTCGCTGCACTCTTCGCTGAGCAGCACCAGATCGCGGCAGTGGGCGATGGCTGCATTCAAGTCCTGCAGGTTGGCATCGGACGTGAAGATCAGCCGCCACTGCTCCTTCACCAGCGACGCGGGTATGGGCAGCGCCTTGTATTCCCCCTGTGGCGCACTCTCCTCGGACGCAGATCCAACTGTTGCAGTGGGCGTGGGCGAACGGGTGGACGCCTGCGAGTGCAGGTAGCTGGACGCAGTGCTGGCGCTCTCGTTGATGAAGTTCGCCACTGTTCCCGGAATGTTGGTGAGACTGTCACGCCAGGAGCTCATTTTGGACCCAAACAAACGACAACAACAACAGACAAAGCTAAAACAATGCTATTGGGTGGAGAATAGTGTGACCGCGGATTTATTGATAAAACGAGGGGGAACGTTGTGAGTTGCTGCGGACACCGCAACTCTACAGTTATACCCGATACTAAGTCAGTATGGCTCTCCTCCGGCAGACGCCGCTAATATTGAACGACACGACAAAGAGTGCGTGCGAGAGAGACAGAAAATCAGGCTGAGCGTGAAGTCGGGCGCTGCGTAGCCACTGCAAATTGATTTGTTCCTTTTGGCTATAAAAATTATCTGATGTGATCCAGATTCAGCAATCTGATAGATATGGTCGTTATCTATGATTCTGCGTTTTTAGTTTTCTCGAATCTGCAATATTGTGGATGCAACAGATTTTCGTCCTTTGTGGGGGCGGAAGGGGGTGGGGCGAAATTCTGAGATATACGTTTTATAGTGAGATCTAACAGAAGTGCGGATACCAAATTTGGTTACTCTAGCCTTAATAGTGTCTGAGATGTGTGGATGCCCCAGATTTTCGTCCTTTGCGGGGGCGGAAGGGGGTGTGGCGAAATTGTGACACAAAACGGTCAAGGTCAAGATTTTGCACTCTAGAACATATAGAACATTCATATCCTCTACGATTCTGCGTTTTCAGTTTTCTCGTATCTTTGAATTTGTGGATGCCACAGATTTTCGCCCTTTGTGGGGGCGGAAGTGGGCGGGGCGAAGTTCTGAAATATTTTTGTAGCAGTGACATTAGACAGAAGTCTGGATCCAAAACATCGTTGATCTAGCTTTTATAGTCTTTGAGCACCAGGCGCTGAAGGGGACGGACAGACGGACGGACGGACAGACGGACAGACGGACAGACAGACAGGGCTCAATCGACTCGGCTATTGATGCTGATCAAGAATATATATACTTTATGGGGTCGGAAACGATTCCTTCTGGACGTTACACACATCCACTTTTACCACAAATCTAATATACCCCAATACTCATTTTGAATATCGGGTATAAAAAATATACCGTCCGACCGAAATATACCGAAACATACCGCCTCATTTTCAAAATATACCGTAAATATACTGACGAAGTCAGTTGGGGAACAGTGCTGCTCGATTTCACGGCACATGAGTCTGGCCCATACAAATTAATGTTGCCAGCAGCATAAAACGTCAGTATGGAATGTAAGATAAATTGTTGAGGGGAAAAAAGACATTGTGGCGAGGAAAAATCCCAGAGAAAATCCCAAAAAAGTCCCAACAACTTGAGCGCCAAATAGAAATTGTTTGAATGTGAATCATCGATGTTTTTTCTCAAACATCGATGTTTTTAGATTTCATTAGATTTACAATGGAAGAATCTTCTAGGCCATTTACACTATTATGAATATGCTTGATCTAATGATGAAATTAGTTTAAAGTATTAACTGGAAGGATTTAGATTTGCTCCTTTTTCCTCAGCAATAAGCAGAACAAGGATAAAACATTAGGAAAACAGCCATAACTAAAAACCAAAAACTCAATAACTAAACGTAGTGTAAAAAGGGTTTTAATAATTCGTAAATTTTATGTTTCAGTGTTTACAAAAATCACAAAGTTTTTTTTACTTAGTTCAATAAAAATCAAAAATAATAATTATACAATAAAAATCAAGAATAATAATTAATCAGTAAAAATCCAAAATAATAATTATCCAATAAAAATCAAGAATAAGAATTATACAATAAAAAAAAAAATAAAAATAATAAATATATAATAAATGTTTTCCTCCAAAAATTATAATTATTCAATAAAAATCAAAAATAATAATATATATGTACATATGTATATAAATAATAGGCCTGGAGCTCATTTTGGACCTAGGCAAACAAAAAAATTCCAGCTGGTGGCGCCAGTGCTAAATGGCCCCTTTCTTAAAGCGCCATCTATTAGGGTTCACGGAATTTTCAGATAATTTCCCTTTTAAAGCTCCTTCTATCGGTCAACTTCTTGCAAAGCTGTTCCTAGTATTCAGGGAATTTTGAGACAATTTCCCTCTCCCAAAGCGCCACCTATGTGTCAACATTCTGTTAAGCTGTTCTTTGTGTTCGGAGAAATGTCAAACAATTTCCCTTTCTTTAACTGTTCTTAGCTTGCTTAACTGTTCCTAGTATTAAGGAATATTTCAGAAAATGTCCCTTTCTTAAAGCGCCTTCTATGAGTCAAAATCCTGTCCACCTGTGCTTAGTATTCACGTAAAAGCCCCTTATATATTTCGAACATCCTGTCTAACTGTTCCTAGTATTCAGGGGAATTTCCAAAACAGTAATAGATGTCGCTTATGTACATAAGGAAAAAATATGCAAGAGTTGCCGTTGCTCAATTAATTAGGACTACGAGAATTGCAAATCAGCATCCATTCAGACCTAAAGATCGAATTATTTAATACTCATTTGGGAATTGTTATTCGAGATCGATAAATTAAATGGTCTAAAAACAATAAAACGCCAACGGCCATCAGATCACGCATCAGGTTTCGACTCTGGAAAGATTCTGGCGGTAGGTTTATGGATTTCATTTAATAAAACTCCATTCTGGTTAAACATTCGACTGATTCGTCGAACATATCACCTATTCATGGAGTTGCCTCACTTTAAAAGTCTCTTTGCTGCTATATTGAAGGGGCTTAAAGAACAATGCTTGGATGTCGTCAGTCCGGGTCCGGTGACAGCATATTTGTAATTTCAGGAATTTGCTCATTTATTTATTGTGCAGGAGGCGTTGGCTATTAACAATATTATCAACAAATGAGTTCATTATAATAAAAGTAGACTGTGAACATTCCTTACGGATTAGCTGGTGATCTGATACAAAAAATATGCTTTAGGATTGCAGAGTAGGGTGCCTTACCAGTACCAAATGGATATATATATGTATATAACATCATTCCACTTCGCCCAATGTATGCTGCTTTAACGTCCTTTTCAACATTTTATTCCTTTTTTTTTCTCAAATCAGATTAAATGGATAAAAATCTAAAATTAACAAATATCGATCGCCCGGAGAAACGAATTGTAGATTTTCACCACTTCAGGAAGAAGTAGTAAACGGCCATATTTTTTTGGAACAAAATCAACTAATTAAGATGAAATCTCAAGCTAAAACTTGGTGGGGAATTCAAATGATTTCTTCGTTTTATCTCTATAAACGCCTCAGAATCAAGGCTAATCGTCTTGTGTCAATGCTAATTAGGCTGTATTTAGCGACCCAATATGGAATTGTTGTGCAACAATTTCAGAACTGCTATTCGAGATCGATAAACGGTGCTTTGAAAACAGATATAAACCCTGCTAGTCTGGGCATAAAAATCGTAACGACTTCTCCTCTGGAGATCTGTTAATCAGGTTTCTCCGGGGCAATAAAATCAACGAAAGTGTCGCCGATTGCGAGCCAGATAAAGGGCTCTTCATGGGCGATCCACAGATCCCCATTCTCGCCAAGATCTCTATAATTGAAAAGACAAAGCACCTCAAATGATATACAATGTTTCTATTTATTGCCGTTTGCTAAGAAACCTGAGATCTCTCTCTCCCTCTCTCTCTCCCTGAAGGCTGGCGTTTGGCTTTTTTTTTCGCTTTTGAGGCGACTTTTTGGTTTTTATGCAAATCGCAGTGGACGGAACAAGTTTGAGTTCGCTTTCTGTTGTTATTTGCGGCTACTTTGTTTAACGATTTTTCACGTTTTTTGTTTGCCCCAAAATGCCCAACTGACATTTCTATGACTGTGCCCCGGCTGAGTGCAACAGGTGTGCAAAAAAGAAACACTGTATTTCAAAGAGATCTATGTAAATACCAAGACTCGCCGGCGCACAGTGCGTATACTCGAAATGAGTGAGGCTGGCGGCGTGTGAAGCGGCACGGAATGGCCAAAGAATCGTCCGGCCCGGGTGCTGGGCACTGCACTGGCCATTAAACAGATTACATGTTTGGTCGCTGATTCACGGCCACAAAAGCCGTTTAAGCCCCGGCGATACCAACAAACTCCGGCGATAACAACTGCAACGCGCGAATGGCTCCATCCTAGACGGGAAAAAATCACCAGTCTGTCGGCCAGACAAACACACAGCAGACCAAATGAATGCACAGACATGCGTTGCATAAGGGGAGTGGGGCGGGAATGGAGCGCCCCCCCTTCGTTGGGGCACCATGGGGCAGTTCAAGTGCACATGGGCAACATGAGCGACGATGCTGCTTGAATAAACAATTGGCGGGCTTTGGGCTTTGGGGCAGGGCGGCCGGCATGCAAACAACGAGCAACTCTTGTGGCAATCAGTGTGGCAGGGAACAGGGGGCTGGTGGGGTGGTGGGCTGGCGAGGCGGTGGGGCTGCGCACGGAGGCTGAGACCGCAGGAGACAATACGTTGCAACAGGAATTGCAAGTTCGATAATGCATGGCTCTTTAAAATAAAGTTTGCTGGCAATTGCAATGCTTCTGATAAGGCACACAAAATTACGCATACGCCGCATATACCGCTGCTGCGCTGCTGTCCCGCTGCTTGCGTCGCAGTCGCAGTCGTCGTCAGCGTTCCCGAGTCTCGCTCTTTGGCTCTCTCTCGTTCTCTGCCGCTCTCTCGCTGTCCAGACAACAACTTGTATGAATGTGTTTTCTATTTTTCCGGCGTTTTTACCGCATGCTACCACTCCTACTGCCCACTCCCACTCCCCCTGGGGCAGCTACACAGCCTTTGGCAGCTCGAATCAACTGCTTTTCAAATTATTTATAGAATTCGGAATGAGGCGCCGTGCGTTAAGTTAGTTGTGGTTCTCCCAGAGGCACCGACTCGAAAATTATGCTTAGTTTTATTGCGTATGAATAATTAAGGGCGACAGCCCTGCCCCACACGCCACATGTGGGACCAGGGGCACATGTTGTTGTCTATCGACGACGCCAGCCTGCTCCCAATGGCTCCTTGTCACTCCTTATTGCTTCTGTGCTACTTTGCAAGGCTTCCAAAGCCGGCTGCGGACCAATTTGCGGTGTCTCCACCTCTGTCCGGCCCATGCGTCAAGTGCAGCGAAAGTGTTGCCTGTGTGAAACGTCTCCAGCCGGTCCTATTTTTAGCCAAGGGTCCACCAGGTGCACTGGTGCACTGGTGCACGGGGGACGCTCTTCGCGTCCCCCTCTAAGATGGAGTGCTAAGCGGAGCTGCTATGCCCCTGGACTCTGCCGAAAAGCACTGCAGATAATGAATGCAAAGTGACTTAAAAATAAATATTCATTCAAATATAGGAAAGCTTGCTATCGAGACTAAAAGCTGTCCACCATAATCCAAGAATTGTATTCCATTTCGTGTATTAATTGGAATCAGAATAATCCTATTTGTGTGTTCCCAATTTAAATCAAATTTGTATCAAATATCATCCTGAGCCCTAAACAAATCAAAGGCACAGAACACATTGTTGAGTTCTTGCTTTTAAACATTAAACTACTAGTGCTTTTAGGGAAAAGTGCAGTGGGAATGCTGCCTACCAAAGTGATATCGAAGTTCGCCTCCAATTCGGACAAACAACACTTATAATAGCATTTAAAGTTTTGTGGCTCTCTGCGGTGATGCCCAAGCAACAGCAGCATCAACGGCACTTCCATTCAAGCAGCTACCAAAACAGTAGCAGTGACGCGTCGCAGGCGCCAGCCGACTCCACCGACGCCGCCTACGATGGGGTTCGCTGCTTGGCTTTGGCTGTCGTCGTACTCGTCGTCGTCGCCGTCGTCGTCGTCGTAGTCGCTTGCGTCGCTGCCGCTGGGAGCAGCGTGGGGCTTTTGCGCCACTGTCAGTCTCAGTCTCAGTCTCAGTCTGTCTGTTGAACGGAACGCAAGCACCGCAGGGTGAAACATACGCGGAATCAGTGCCAGCGGCTTCGAGGCGTGCTCCACCAGCGACAACGCGCGAATTCGAGTCTTGTGTGAGTGCGGGCTGCGGGCTGCGCCGGGCCGGCTGGGTGCGAGGGAGGATTTGTCCGATTGGTGTTCAGCGGTGTTCAGCGGTTGCTGTGGCGGATGAGATCCTCAGATTGCTCCATTTTGTGCCCCTTTGTGCCGAGTCCAGCCTTTGTGCCCGCTGCCGGACAATGACAATGGGCCTGAAATGGACTTTCTGGACAGAGCAATGTCAATGCCACGGCTGTCACAGTGCACCCCTTCCTCAGTCTTGAATCGCATTGATCATCCTCCTCCAAGCATTTCATTTTTTGTTTGAATCATCGCTCTATTGCCCATTTTTTTGTAGTGCAGTGAATGCTGACAGCGGAATACGGAATACGGAATACGGAATACGCCACACGAAAACGGAATACCCGCTCCAAATACAATAGAGCTGGGAATAAAGAAAAGTGTCGGAGCATTGTCAAGTGTCCTCCGAGAGCGGAAGCGGCCGCCCGAAACTATGCAGCAGTAGACACGCCGGAAATCGCCTGGGAGTACGTGAAAACATCCATTGTCATTGCCAAAGAGCAAAAAAGAGGCTGAGACAGGCAGAGCCCGTGCCCGAGCCCGAGCCCGACTCGCCTAAACTCGACTCACAGGTAAGTCTCCCCACTGACCGCCAACTATTTTAAGCGATTACCTTTAAGGGGAATTCTTTGGTCACGTAAATGCAGCCACATTGCTCTGAAAGCCCACTTGAAGTCGATTATTCCCGAAATTGTTTTTGCGAAGGAAATGGGTAAGGGGGATGGGGGATGGGGGATGGGGGATGTCCATTTTGTATTCGGTAATCGCTGCCCACCCCATCAGACCACAATGCGATAATTGACTCGGGCGTCGCTTTTATTTGCTTATTAAATAACATTTAGTTGTCCGCGCAGTTTTCCATATCACTTTCATTCATTCATGGCGAAGGCAAACCAAACACGACTATACTCGTATTGTACTACCCGGCAAACAAAGCAGAAACAGCGGCAATGAACTGAAAATTAACTATGCATATTTGTGCAGCTCATTAATAAATGCGATACTACGACTCCGACTCCGACTCCGAGTCCGAGTATATCTTAGAGCCAAACACCGAAAGATGCGAAGAAGTCGTTGACGCTGCTGCTGACGGCATCATCGGATTCGACTTGCGAATGCCCTTGATGGATATGACAGCCAGATGTTGACTCAGAATGGTGTCAGAATGTAGTACTTGTAATGTTTTGATACACCCTCAAATATACATACTCGTACATATTGTATCTATTAATTCTCGCCTGATATCGGTGGTAAAAGATAGGTGTTTCTCCTTGCCAATTCTCGTGGTGCCTTAGGACTTCCTGTCAAGCAGCGGTTGTAGTGTTCGTCGTACCACGTTTCTAGCAGAGCAGCCCCCACCTAGACTCTGTCGAGTTGCTGCCAAGATTTTACTGGCATTAGGAGCTCCGGCGACAGCTGCTGACTTTAATGATCTCTCCACGGCATCATTTCGATTGACCGATCTGCAGCGCACTGCAGCGGAAATTGAAGCTGTCTGCGGGGCTGGGCAACCCGACAACTTCCCGCCTGCGAATTTATAGATTTATGCGTATTTTTTAGGCGGGCTAATGGCGGCATACTTATTATAATCATGTCGAAATGCATAATCTTTGGATATAAGACCTGAGCTTGGAGCTGTCGCAATCCCTTGGCATCCCGCGGCATCTCTGTCGGGCTACTTTTCCAGCGAATAGATTTCATGTCTGTGACATGAAACCAAATGGCATTTAATTAGATTTAGATTGACACAACTTGAGTTGGGATTACAACTGATTCGCTTCAGGTGGAGACAGAACGATTGATCTGCTAGATATTGTAATTTGCAATCAAATATTATTGCTTGTAGTGCAATTTACATATATGAATGTTCATTTAATTACAGTGCACGCCCGTTGAGCAAACTAACCAAAATTGAAAGTGTTCATTTAAATGAATTTAACAATGGAATAACAACAATATTTACGATCGCAATATATTTGACAGCTATTTATAATTACTTTGAATGCAGTCTTAAAACTTTTCTTTAGATAAAAATGATTAATGATTGTAATGAAAATGGCACATACATATGTACATATAAGATGGAATACATACTCCAGTGGTATAGTATCGAGTATAGTCCCTGCTGTAAATGCTTTTCAACCGAGTGTCTAGCGTTTATCACTCCCTGAATTAGAGGAAAGGGAAAATAAGAAGAGAATCAAATGAAGGTCTTACTAAGAATAATCATCATCATCATTTAAGGGCTCTTCCACAATAGGAAATACCTTCGTTGCTTTTGTGACCCCCCCCGTGGAATTTTTTTTGGAATCTGTAATCTGTTTTCTCCTTCTTGCTCCTGCACACGGATTGTAGTCGACTCCACTTTGATTTCCATGGGGGAAATCTTAATTTAACTCAATTAAATTGTTATCCATCAGCCACTCCCCCATCCAGCCATTAAATTGGCAGGCCAAAAAGTTGTGACAACAACATTTTCAATGCACAGTTGTTAACCATGAGGCTGACATGGCTGTTGACAGTGTCGAAAGTTCTCCTTTGTTGCCACTGTTGCTGGGGCTCTAATTTGTGGCAGCAACACCAACTGGCAGAAAAACAAATGTACTTTGATGTAATACACATAAACATTTGCACGACGCGAACAACGGCAAAGGGAATGACACAAAAATTAGTTGCAGCACGCCGCTGGAGAGTGGTGGCACGAGCTATGGTGTTGCCATAGGCCCAGAACATGCATAGGAACCCCATAGAAACACCCCAACATCGGGCAAAATGTGTGCCAATTCAAGAGTCTGCCCGGGTACGTGCCATTGCTATACCATCGAAACGGGGCAGAGCCGTTACATGGGCGACAGATCCCCCAGAAAACAACATATTAATCATCTATATGGCACCATGCAGCAGAAGCGTCATCAGAAGCGTAGAGGCAGAGGCAGAGGCAGAGGCAGTGCGCCGTGCGCTGTAACAGTTTCCAGCCAAATGAGTCATTAGAAATAACCATAGTTGTTCGCTAAAAAAGCTATAAAAGAAAATACAAAGAAACTCAAATCTGTTACAAAATTGCATGCGAATTGCTAGGTTCCAGGAGACAGAGCCCCTCCCCAACGACGCCACGCGGTAATCACGAGTGGAGACTGACTCAGAACGAAGGGAGACAAGTAGGGAGAACTCCCCGCGTATTAATAGGGTCACTGATGAAGCTGACTAGCTGAAAGCAAAATATTTAAATTAGAAACAGGCCCTGTAATTGCAACTTGTTGCTGGATCGGCGACCGAGCACTCACGTCTTACAAATGCAGATAAGTGAAACCAGGCGTTTGCCGGAAATATTGAGAGGCAGCCTGTCGGGGGGCAGACGGAGGCAGACGGGACAGGGCAGCTTCCAAGGCTTCCCCACAGCTCTCTGCATCTTAATGGAAATGATATTCGAAAGAGTAAGCTCCTAAATCAAGTGCGACGGCAGCAGTAGCAGGGGAAAAGTGGCAAGATAACAAAATACAAGCCATTCCATTCCAGAGGAGAGGAACGGGTTTGACGAATCAACGGGCCAAGCGCAACGCAGCTCAGAGTGCCAAAAAGCCCAAAGATTGAGCCATAGATGGGTTCATGGATAGAAAGATGCACCATTGCGGCCCACAGATACGTGTTTCAGCGGAGTGAAAATGCCTATTTGTTTACATAAATATTCCATAATGTTGCGCATAATTGTTGGGCAAGATAATCGTAAGCGTGAATTATTTGCAGTGGGCGTGTCGTGCAGGTTTCGGATTAGCCCCAATCGTGGCCCTAATCAGCATACTGCTGCACATTCCCACGATCCATTCCGGGGCTATTTAAAGGTTCCAGTTACAGACCAAAAAATCGCTGAATACAACTCAGATTCACAGAATTTTGCCTTGTTTTCGCTATTGTCATCGTGCACATATTTATATTTATACACACACACATACATATGTACGAGTATATTCGGCCTTGGATTGCAGATTCATTCGACATTCATTGTCGTTAAATTGCACGCACTTTGTGATCGGGGATCGGAAGGACAATGGTCATTGTCTTTTCATATTTATGGGTTTAATACTTTAGTATTCACAATGTAAAACAAAGAGATACATATGCTCTCCGATCTTGTTTATCATCCATAAGATGCCGCCTTCAATTATGATTCCACGTCATTTCCCACGTATTGTATCACATTTTCATCACCTACCAGAACGTTTAATACTCTTAATAACAGAGCTGTCTGGCCGGGCGTGAGTGCGCCTTTTAATTGCCCTTGTGTGGCACTCACCGATAGCTATCTATCGGATGCCTAATAATACCATTTAATGTATGCAAAACGCTGTGCGCCGTCACCCGAGCTGGCGCCTCGGAATCGCTCTTGGACAGGCCTCTGTCTCTGAGATTGGAATTGTTAACAATAATTGGCGGCAGTGGCAGCGTCAGTGGTAGCCGCCTTTGAGCGCGTGCGCAGCCCGACTTCCATTTAGTCTCAATCTGAATTGGAACGCCGCTAACTGTGGGCTGATTGGGGTCTTACTGGTTTATTTTTGGCTCTTATCTGTGAGCCCCATCGAAAGACAATTAGCCAAATAAGTCGACGCGGGGACGCAGCCCGTGCCAAGTCCTAATTAATTGGCATGCATTGTGTGCCACTGCCGCTGCTGGTCTCGACTTGAAGTGATGCCAACTTGGCAGCGATTATCCGCCTCGATAGGCGCGACTGGAGGGGAATTATGCAAGTCCAAAGCTCTCAGGCGGGTGGCTCTGGGGCCAGTTTCTTTCTGAGTTTCTGAGTTTCTGAGTTACTGAGTTTCTCAGTTTTTGTGTAAAGTGTCATAAATCTGGAATGCGTTCTCATGTTTCGCACCGGGCTTAGCGGATCGGCGTGAGGCTGGTTTTCGATTGTGGTTGTCCTCCAGCTGGTGATCTTTTTTTCCACAGCTCATTCGCAAATTAATGCAAACGTTGAGTCGAAATTCATGCATACTCATTAACCAGTAATCAATTTGACGTAATGGGAATCGCTTTACATATAACGACTAAATTTACTGGCTCACCGTACTCGTATTGTTAAGGCTCCATGCTCCATCCATTCGGAGTGGAAGCGCAATTACTGAAATTTATTCTCGATCTGCATCTGCATCGGCATCGGCCACTAGAAACTAGTTCTCCGACTAATGATGCTTGATGTCGAACACGGGCACTAATTTGAATTTCAAAATCATACGTATTTGAATGGAAAAATATACACAAACATAAACTATATGAAATGTATTGCTAATGGGTATGCCACACGTGAGAGGAGAGATTGGATTGGATTCGATTTGATTATTCACTCAGAAACATTATGAAAATGGACTTGGAGTTTCCCCAATAATAATGTTGCCCCAGACAGAAAGACGACATACGACTCCTCTCTGTATAAAGAATAGTCTTTGGGCGGGTACCAAAACGGGTCTCTGAATGATCCAGAAATGGTCTGAATACGAAAACTCGAAAAACTTCCTTGTTTAGCCAGGATGGGATGTGTCTATCTTAGTTCTTAGAATAATATGGGGCACTGGAGCCC